TGACTATCTCGCCAATCGGCGAATGGAGTTTAGCGACGGGGCATAATTTTTTGCATTTCAAGCAGGTCAAAATATCTGCAAAAATCCGCTTTCTTGCAGGTTTGCAACATTTCTTACATTGCAAAGCAAAAAAGGCAAGAAATATGAAATGCAAGAAATTGCAAAAAATTGTAGGAAACTGCAAGAACGTGCAAAAAATAAGCGCCATCTAGGCACGCGCCGTAACATTTATCCGTGGGGCGTCATTTCTGGCGCCTTGAATTTCCTGCAGGTCAAAATATCCGCAAAAAACCATTTTCTCCCCGTTATTTATGGCAAATGGTCACTTTCACCTGAATCATTTCAACCCCTCCTACCACTCATTTCTACTACTTTAATTCTATCCATAATAAATTTTAATACGACCAACAATCATTTTTTTACCGGTACTTACATACAAATCGTTACCGGAGCGCCATTTTGTGACCACACACTCATATCACTTGCGGGGCACGTAATAATAATAAAATAAATAATTTAGCGGCACCATTGAGCCAATAAATATCGATCGCGCAGATCCGATGATGACTTGACGCGCAATTTTATTCCTCCTGACAGTCCGTTATCATCGCGGGGAGAAGGCTCAGAGACGTTCCACCTGAATTATTTACTACAACGCGAGAAATTCCGGCGGTGCTGTACGTATTTTTCCCGGCTTTCTCCTTCTTCTTCTTCTGTCAGTGATGAGTTATTGACCACTTTCTGAGATCCACGGCTTTACAGTGGCACGTAAATATTACGTAATACTTACACCAGGCGCCGCGGAAGATAGTTTGGACGGTGGGGACAAGTCGAGAGTCGCTTTGAGAAGCTTTCCTTGAGGATTTTTACGCCGATAAATTTTTTCGATAAAAATCCAGTGCTGGGCAGGATAAAAGAGTAATCTCAAAGGTAACAATCTTGGATTAAGGACGTTTGAATTAAGGACTTTTAATTTTTAAGGATTAAGGATTTAGGATTTAGGATTAACAATTTTTGGACTCCCAGATAAATTTGAGGTGCGATCGTATAAACTCAAAATAAATATACACATTTTAACCTTTCTATTCTAAAACGAAACTGTTAGTTAGCCTGGAGCGGTTAACGAGTCAGAAGTCAGCGTAAATGAGTTTTAGATAAGCTAGCCCATAAATGATCAATTTATAATTTTGTATTTCTTTGAAACTAGTACGATGTTAACATCCTAAACTTATCTGAAAGTCCAAAAATGCTAAAAATTTCAAGTTTGCAAAAGTTAGTGACCACTTATACCGCATTTTAGGCAAACTTCTCATTTGCAACTCATCGGCATTAACAAATGCATTACATGTCCTAAAAGCAAAATTACCGGGGGAAAATTGCCCCTCTGTCCCCACTTTTCCGCGGCATTTAAGGCCAACTCATAGTTATGTCATTTTCGAGTACAGAAAATTCATTGCATATCCACACGCCAAAATTTCCGTGAGAACATTGCCCCTCTGTCCCCACATTTCCGCGGCCACTGACTTGTACACAGAGATAGCCAGAGATAGAAGAAGAAGACAGGCTCCTCTGCTTTCTTTTTCTCTGCCTTTGCAGTGGTGCAGGCGGAGGGAGAGAAGAGGAAGAAAAACATTTTATTTTTTTGTGGCTTTCTCTGATTTTTATTTTATTGCGAGTCTCCTCCCAATCCCAGCCCCACCAAGTCAGCGAGAACACAATGCAGACCAATTCCTCTTGTCCGTTGGGAAACTGCCAGAAAGAAAGCCAACAAGACTGACTGCGAATTGTTGCAGTCTCAAGCTCTCTGTGTCTGTATGAACATCATTAACGTTGCGATATTTCACTCATTCCGAGAAAAAATAGGGCATACATGGCTCTATTTAACGATACAAGGACAAGACATTTTTGGGCAAAAATATCAACAGAATGCAAAATCAATCATGTTTTTTATTATCTTGGGAACATAAAAATTTGTGGAAAAATGTTCCCAACCAGAAAACTTATCAACATTACAATATTTCACTCACTTTAATCCTCATAAAAATATTGTATGTAATATTGTATTCACGTGGGACTTGATGACTCATCATCAAAATCAGCACATTTTTAATCATTTCTCTCTTCTGGGAATTTATTTTAAAATTCTGGACGACAAATTTGTAGTCAGTGAGTTGATTAATGGAATGGCGGTGAGTTTTTCATGCCAGTTTTGACAAGTTCCAATTTTTCTGAAGGCTTCTTAAACTTGAGATCTCCTCTTTCAAAAAGGGTCAAAATCTGGAGTGTACATTTTCAAAACATTCGAAACTCCCTGCTCTACTAATTTGTCAGTCAGAAATTTAAAATAAATTTCCAGAACCGAGAAATGATTAAGAATACGCTGATTTTTACGACGATAGAGTCATCAAGTTCTACGTTAAAACAAAACAAGCCCAAAATTTTTCTACCCTAAAAATATGCACAGCATCCCAAAAATCAATCATTTCTCTTCTCTCTTTTCTCTTGAGAAAATAAATATCCGTGGAAAAATATTCCGTAAAAAAGCTGCGTAGCTTTATTATTATTTTTACTAGTTGGAGAAAGTTGAGATGAGTAAACCTCCGACACGAATGGATTAAACGGTCCGTTGGAGAAAGTCAAAAGAAAACTTTGTCTACGAAATAAGCAACCCAATTGCCAAATAACACTACCCAACAAGAACCAGTGGCCGCGGAAGGGTGTGGGGACACGGAGGGGCAATGTCCCCACGATGTCCCCATTATTTCCCCATGTTATATAAATAAACCCCTCCATCCCCTATGCGGCAATGTTAATGTCCCCCGATGTTCCCCACGGCTTCCGCGTCCACTGTTTGTCTCCTTGTGAAGTTGATATTAACGAACAGTAGCCGCGGAAGCGAGGGGACGGACGGAAGGACAATGTCCCCACGGTTGTTCGATGTCTCCATCATCTGTCCATATTATTCAATCTCCTATCTATAAAGTTATTGTCCCCCAATGTCCCCCGCGGCTTCCGCGGCCACTGACTACCCAACTACATAGGCGCCGGGGAAGAAGATGACGATAACTGAAATGGTCCAAGTCTTCCCGACTTTCTTTTCTCTTTTATTTAAAAAAGATGGGAAAAACAGGGTAAAAATTATAAACTTTTTTTCTCCCCTAGCGGACGACGACATTGCTCCGCATGTTATTACACTAATGGAAAGTTATGTGAGTGAATATAGTCGTGAAAAAAGTTGGTTGCATGCGTTAGAATGCAGAGGTGGGTAAATTACTTTGTGAAAATGAAGTATTTTGAGTTACGTTCTTCCCAGGGTTTAGCTTTCTGGGGGTGTTACACCCACAAAAAGATGAAAATCTGCATGACAAAGGTAACATTCAGTCGAAAATACAGGTTTTGTAAAGAAATTACAATTAAAATACATTTAGTTCACAATTTTTTTTTTAATGCAGAATTTTGACACCGAAAAAAATGTTATTTTTTTTTATGAATAGTGTTTTTTTTGTAAGATTTACTTTCTTCTTGTATCTGATTTTCGTATTTCGTGTAACAGCCCCCGAAATCCAAACCCGGGTTTGGTTGGATTTCCAAGTATTTTGCCCACTTCTGGAAATTTTCACTTCCCAAATTTACGATACGTTTTCTCATATTCGGATGCAAATAAATGTCCGATATGGAGAAAGCAATAATTACACAAAAAAAGACGTGTTTTGCTCAGAAATTCACTTTTTTTCGTGGTCAAAGTAAACTTTTTGACAATTTTTTTTAAGTACAGCATTTCCACACCCACAAAAATTTAATTTCTCCATAAACCCGCATTTTAGCAAAACTACTGCGTTACGAAAACACGTGTTGTGCGAAGAAATCCACATTTTACCAGTGTAAAAATGCATTATTTTAAAATATAGCATTTTTCCAGCGATAAAATATGTCAATTTCCTATAAACCAGTATTTAAACACGTATTTTCGTAAGAATTTTGTTAGATTTTCGTCTTTTTTTGTTGATGATCCAGCCCTAGAAATCCAAACCCTGGGAAAAACGGAGCTCAAAACGCTCTATTTTTCCAAAGTATGCATGCATTTTGCCCACCTCTGCGGCTTCCATGTGCATATTGCTCCTGGGGCGAGGTACAAAGGGAAAGTTGTGGAGAAAGTGGACGACCTCTCTCTCTTAAAAGTGAGAAAGTGGTTAAGCTCTGTCAGTGTAAATAACCCAACAACTTTGACACGGATAAATAAATATCGATTGATCGATTGATACCAAAATTCACTCCGACATGCTAAATCCTTATCTAACCCTGTCAAAATTAGCAAAGATTTATACAACCCTGGATAAATTTATTGGTCTTTGTGTCTTTTTTAAATGTATCGATTTAATGCCAAATTTTAATTAAAAAAAAATCATTCTAATAAAATATTTGTTAGATAAAAGTAAAGCTTGGCAAATTGGTTGGAATTATAATTATTTTTTAGTAAATTTATTGGCTGGTCCAATGTATCAATTTAGTACAAATTTCGATTTTTGTTTCCTAAATTCATTTCAACAAAATATTTTCTCAATAAAAAATAGCAAAATTTGACTTGGATTGTCAAATTGTCTTGGATTTGATAAATTTATTGTCCTGTCAATATGTCGATTTGCTGCCAAATTTTGATACACAAAATTCATTATTCTAACAAAATGCTTATCTAACCCTGTCAAAATTAGGAAAGATTTATACAACCCTGGATAAATTTATTGATCTTTGACTTGTTCAAAATGTATGTATCGATTTAATGCCAAATTTTAATTTTCGAAGAGAAATTAATGCTAACGACGTATGTCGAAGATTAACCGTTAGTACCACATAATTTTTGCAAAATTGTCTTGGATTATGATAAATTTATTGTCCTGCTAATATATCAATTTGTACAAAATTTTTGGTTCAAAAATTCATCATAAAAAAATATTTGCAAAATCAAAATTACTAAAAGATTTAATCATTTTCTTTTATTCTAGGCTTGTCCTCTGCAAAATTAACAATGGAACTATTATAATCCAGAATAGACAAGAAGACTGACCGTGCAGATGAAAAAAACTTTAAAAGATTAACTAGTTAATTATTAATTAATTAATTCACACAGTCAATGCAATGCAACAATGTGCTTCCGTTAAACTGCTACATAATTAAGTAATAATTACCAATTAGTTAAAAAACAAAAACAAGCATTCACACTCCTTATCCTACAACACATCGAAATTTTTACCAAATTCTCAATTCTTTCAAAAACAAAATTCTTTTTCCTAAACACGACTTTCTCCTCAGCAATAATATTTCTCGATACTTTCACCTGCATCACTTTTACTTTTCGACAACAACGGAATCCATCCATCCATCAAAAATGTGTGTAGGCGTCGTCAAACAAATGTGGTGACAAATAAAGAAAAAAGCAAAAAAAGTTGACAATTTTTTAAAGTGCTCGCACAAAAAAAAACTTATCGTCTAAATTCTGCCTCAAAAACTTGGAAACTTTCTCCCTCAAAAAATGGCAAATAATACGAAGATAACCGACGACAATGATAACTTACTACCGGAATAAAGCACACCTGCCGACGCCACGTTAACGTAACCCACGCAAAAAAAATTGTCAAACTTGCCCCGGTCGCGAATCCCTAAGTAACTTTTTTAACACGCAAACTTTCCCCCGGTAATAAATCCGTAATGAAATCATAACTCATCTGAGCAGCCACCTGGGAATGGAATGCGGTTGGTTCGAAGAAAAGTCGCTCCTCGGTGAAAGAAATGAAAAGAAATGATGTGCATTTTTAATGAAAACGATACGTATAACTCGGAGAGGAGCAGGCAGTGAGTGAGTGAGTGAGAGATGAACTTTATTGCCATAGGAGGACGTCGAGGTCAGTGTAAAGTGTGACAGAGAAAGAAGGACGTCACGTGAAGAAAAATGGGGTGTTGTTGCTTTAACACGTTGAGGGGGGCGGCTTTCTTCGTCGCGAGTGTGCAAATCGTGAGTACTTTTTTTGGGGGGAATTTGGTTACATTTTTGGGGAATGTTTGGGTAAATTTCTGCCGCATTTGTTGTTTTGCAAAGCGAAAAATGTGAGGTGCAAGAAATATGACAAATTTAGCGTGTGAATTATTTCTAGCGGCAGAAAGTAGCTTCTTGCGCCGTTTTTTCTGTCCGTATTTCTTGCACGTGGTTGTTTGTTCATATTTCGTTTCTTGCGGGTTTGTTGTATTGTACTTGCGATACAGAAAATAAATACAAGGTCCAAGAAATGTAAGAAAGTGCAAGAAATATGCGTCCAAATGTACCTTATGTAAATAATCCATCTGGAGATTGACTTGTAAACCTTCTTTAGAATTTCTTATTTGTACAACCATAATGCCTGTAAGCGATATTTCTCGTACGTTATGCTTGTTTAAAACAAAAGATAAAACATCAATCTCGTGACGTGCAAATTTGCTACATTTCTTGCACTGCAAAGTAAGAAACTGGAAGAAAGTGTAGCCACGCGCCGTATGAAATACATCGGCGGGCCGTCGTTTGCATTTCTTGCAGGTCAAAATATTTACCTACAAAAAAACACTTTCTTTTCCTGCTATTTTAAGCTACTGATTACTTTCACCCTGAAAACTTTAAAAAATTTCACCCTGAAAACTTTAAAAAATTTTGTGCTCCTTCTCTTTGCAGTACAACGGTTTGGAGTGCATGCTAAAGTTTATCGCGTTTCCGATGCTCTTTTCATCCATGCACGCCTCCAAAGATCCCGTAAGTTCGAACAGAATTTAATTTCCAGAATTATCAGGATTTCTTCTTGACCTAATTTTCTTCTGTGCAGGCGGAGGCAACGTCGTTCATCTCTTTCATGCCGGGAATGGTCTACTCCATCCTCTACTTTCTCCTGGGGTGCGCCATTTTCAGGGGAATTGAACAGGTGGGTGGTCAACATTTCGAGTGAAAAATCCCACCCAATAATCTCCCCTTGTAGATAAAAACAAAACAAATAATCTGTGTCAACGAACATAAAAAAGTGGCGTCATAGAACAAAATGTAAAACATACGCCATGAAAATTTTATGATTTGTGACCTTTGACCTCGTCCTCACGGTCAGGGATTGGTCGGAGGTCAAAAGGTTATTAACGGCGTTGATTTTGCAGTAATATTTCCTTTAAAATGACATGGACGGACGGACGGACAGACACATAGACAGACGGACAATTTGACACATGGACACAGACAGACAAAACGATCACAATAAGCGGCTATCCCTCCCTTAAAGCTGATTTTTCGGTAACGTTTCCATTAAAATGACACGAACACACGGACAGACGGATAAACTGATACACAGACCGACGGACAGACAAAACGATCCCCATAAGCGGCTGTCCCCCCTTTACAAAGTGAGCATCATCAATCCCCTGTAAAAAATTAGAGCTTGGGATTTGCACAGCTCAATCCAGTAGAACTTTGAGCTTAATAATATACAAGTAGTCCATCCTCAAATTGCGCCTCTTTTATTACGCCGAGGACTAGGATTGTGGTGTAATTGGGCCTCCGTCCATCCATGTTTTAGTGGAGAGGCGTCTTCTTATCCTTAGACGAGGCGTTAATATTTATGAGCTGGTTGCCCCCAAAGTGGAGGAGACCCAGCCAGCCAGGCAGCCGCAATTTCGTGTTCATGAATAACTAATCACTCTCTTGGCACCTTTCCCTCAACTTTCCAGGCAACCAACGACTCAATCCAAGCCACGCACGCTGATCTCTTCTTCCTCCGCTGATTAGGTCAGTCAGCCACGTACATGACTGAGTGAGTATTAGCGAACTCTTATGCAAGAACACGGGAGAAAGTGGGTTGTTCACTAAAAAATATGCAAGCAGTGTTTCGTATCTTACTGGTGGTTTGCTGTATTTCTTGCACTGCAAAGCGTGAAACTAAAGATTACGAGGTGCATAAAACTGCAAGAAAGCGCAAGAAATACGCTCCATCTAGCCGCGCGGGGTACAAATTATAGCGGCGGCGCGCAGTTTCTTGCGCCTTGCATTTCTTACAGATCATCGTAGCAGAAAGAACGGTTCAAACTAAGAAAGGCAAGAAATTTGAGGTGCAAGAAATATGCGGGTTGCAGATTTCTTGCACTGTAAAGAAACAAACGTGAGTAATGCGGAAACTGCAAGAAACACGCGCGGTACAAAATTATGGCGGCGTCGTGTAGATTCTTGCGCCTTGCATTTCTTTCCCGCGGGTCAAAATGGCTTGTCAAAAACACCTTATTATGATTATTTCTTGAAAGAAATGCTAAGTGTCGGAAAGGGCAAGAAACTGTAATCAGTCTGAAAATTGACCTATTTATAATTTGTTTTCCGCATTTGTACTTCAATAACGTCCATAAACAATATGTTTCGCAGGTTAAGATTCTTTTAAAAAGTTAAGATTAGTCATCTATTTCTTGGCTTGTATGCAGGTTTCTTTTCATTTCTTTCATTGTAAAGCAAGCCACACAAGGTCATTAAATTGCACTGATTAAGGAATAACATGTGAATAAATGACTACCACAACCAACCAAGAAATGCGAGGTGCAAGAAAGCGCAAGAAATATCTAGCCACGCGCCGTGTGTGAAGTATTCGCAGCAGGAAGTAGTTTCTAGAGCCTTGCATTTCTTGCAGGTCAAAATCCTCGTAAAAAACCCACTTTCTCCCCGCTATTTCGTGCAAGCCGTTAAAATACTTTCACTCGAAACACATACTCATTTTTGAGGATTCTTACTTGCCAAAAAGCAAGTATGTACTTGATCGTAACAAGTTATCTTATGTTATGTTATGAGAATGGGGATCTCATTTTCACCCATTTTACCCAGAATAACATGAAGTGGATACTTATCCTTGGGGAGAAAGAGAGATAAGCTGGCAGCTCGAAACATAACAAGCGTGCCCAATTCTCAAATATTATTCTGCGTGCTGATCCCACAAAGAGGTTTCTTTTCTTCTTCCACCTAATCCCCACTCGCGTTGGTTTAGCAGGATGTCCGTGTGTTCCTCATAAAGGAGGAAAAATGGGACAAAATAAGGTTCATTTGAGGAGAAAATGGTCTCTCTTTCGTGTGTATGCAATATATGCAAATTGGAACATTATGCTGATCACGACCCCGTTTTTGATGTGTGACAAAGTGACGTTCGCTTCGCTACATACGAGTGAGATGACTTTCACTTCGGGGAGAGAAAACAGTGGCCGCGGAAGCTGTGGGGGCATCTGGGGGACGTTAGCATTGTAAATACTAAATCTTGCACTAAATATTTGTTGGAAGTTTGGAAAAGATTCCATTTTGTGTCGTTTTTTTGGTCAATTTTTGTCCTCTCAAATTTTCAGTGGCCGCGGAAGCTGTGGGGACATGTGGGACATTAACATTGTAGGATAGGAGAGGGCGGGGCTTATATAACATGGGCAGATGATGTGAAAAGACGCCATTTTTGACGTGACAAAGTGACGTTGGCTACATTATAACATGACTTTCACTTCGGAGAAAGTAGTGGCCGCGGAAGCCGTGGGGACATTAACATTGTAGGATGGAGGGAAGGAGGGGTTTATATAAGATGGGGAGATGATGGGGACATGGAAAAACCTTGGGGGCATTGTCCCCAGATGTCCCCACACGGTTGCGCGGCCACTGGGAGAAAGTGTACTCGGGGTTAGGTTAGGTGAGCATGTTCTGCGTACTTGTAAGTCGGCAGGTGATTGCTTCCATTCCGGGCAATTAGGCCAAAATTAGGTTCCCGTGGTTCTATCCACGTACGTAGATCTACATCCGTGGATTGGACATGTTAACAAGCTCATCGTGCTCCCCGGCTCCTCGCGTGATTATGCATGTTGAGCACTAATTACTCTCCCTCCACGAGTTTGCCGCAAGTTTAGTTTTGTTAATTATGCTACTTTGGGCTGGGCGGATGATTAACAAATGTTTCGGGTGGTTCATCTCTCAGACTGACAATTTTGGAGGTCTCGCAGCGGGTGAGCATCCGATTTTGAGCAAATTAATGTCAATCGACTAAAAATTTAACCCTTTCCTTCGTAACGAATTAAGATTAAATTTGATTAATATTAAATTTTTAATTAAAAGATTAAATTTGCGAAAGTATGATCTTCGTTTGGCAGAGATATTTGCATCCAAAGAGGAGAAAACGTGCAGTAAAGTTGGAAAAGTGTGTAAAATTTGTCATCTTTAAGACGCTTTTCTCCTCGTTTATTTTGTGAAAGATTGAATTTGTATTGTGCAGCGCCGTTTAAATTTTTACATAAAGTTAGATAATTTTGATTTATTCTAAAGTTAGATCAAAAACAATCACCTTCGCACGCTTGCCTACTAACAAATTTTTTGGGCACAAATTCATATAATTTTTATAAAAATAATGCCTTGCTTATTCAATTTTTAATCAGTCTGTGTCCGGATTCATAAACAAGGTCAATTTTCCCTCGAATAGGAGAAAACGCGCAGTAAATTTGGAAAGTGTAAAATCTGTCGACTTTAAGTCGCGTTTTTTCCTCTTCGGATGCAAATACCTCTACCAAACGTGCCAATCGTGCATTTTGCAAATTTCATACTACTTAAATTTGTGATCGATTGACACTAATTAATTTGGCCAAAATAGGTTGACATATGCAAGTTTGGCAGACATATTTGCATGCATCTGAAGAGGAGAAGGGACAGAGTAAATTTGGAAAGTGCAAAATTTCTCGACTTTAGTGTGCGTTTTCTCCTCTTAGGATGCAAATACCTCTGCAAAATGTGCCAATTTGGAGATGGTATTGTTCGCAAATTTCATATAACTAAAATTTATGACCGATTCCACTAATTTGCTCAAAATCGTATCGCACCCGCTGGGAGACCTCCATTCCCAGGGCGTGTACTACCAACTGTATTTTGTAATATGCAAATTCTCATGCCTCCCTATTTTTTTACAGGAATGTGCCCGCACCATAAAATGGGGCGGGATCTGTTTCGCCATCACGGAAATCAGTTTCTTCATCCTGCGCCAAGGCTTCAAAGTGACCCCGACCCCGAAAGTGCCGCACCTCTCCACGGACGAGCAACCCTTCGAGATGAACATTTACAAAACGCTGTACTACTTCCTCTTCACCATCGTCGGCGGCCTGATCTACATCTGCATCCTCTTCCTCTACCTCCAACAGCTGTCCAAAGGGCAGGACGAGTTCTCCCAGTTCTTCAACATTACGGCCCGCGCCCCCTGGTCCACCCCGACCCCTACCACGACCACGCAGGCGCCACAACCGCCCCCCTCCGCGCAGCAGGACCCCCACCACTTGCCCCCCGTTACGACCTCCTCGGCGACAAATAACAACTCCTCCCTCCAGTCCAACCTGAACCCGGGGGGCAGCAGCAGCAGCAGGGCCCCCAAGGGCAGGGGCAGCGCTCATCAAAACATTCTCATTCCTCGTCCAAACATCATCATTCCAAAGGGGGTCCTGGGGATGACCCTTCCCTGCAGCAGCAGCAACACCTCCCCCACTCCCAGCACAATCACGCTTCTAATGTCACTCAGCAACATCGAAAACAGTCCCGGGGTCCGCCGTCCCATCAATTAAACTTGGTCGATCCTGGCCCCGGTTCGGGTGGGGGTCCCATCCTGTCCCCTCCGCCCCCTATGGATCCTGGGGTGGGTCCGATGGGGAAGGACCCTTGCGGTCCGGGGTCCCCTTCCTCCCCGATGTTCCCCTATTTCCTGATGCGTAGGGGAAGTAAACAGCCCCCACCGCCGCCTCCCCCGCATAACATGAACCATCTCCCGGTCGGGCGGTGTTTGATGGACGAGCCGCCTCCTCCCCTATCATCGTCAGGGTGGCACGGGCCCCCGCACGGGGGAGGTCGGGGCCCTCCCCCCATGCCCCCACTGCGCGGCGACTTTTCCTCCCTGGACCCCGGCGGTCCGAGGGGCTCTGAATCCTTGGGAGTCGGCCGGAACTTGTTGTCCCCGTCGAGACTCGTGGTGAATCATGGGGGTGGGGGGCACGGGGGTGGGGGCATGTGTCCCCCCCAATTCGCCCCCATAATCCCGCCCTTTTACCCCGACTCGGGGGAGGATGTGGGGCGCCGGGACAGCTTTCAGGGTTCAGGGTTCGGCAGTCCGCACTACCAGAGTCAGCCGCAGAGCGGGTACTCGTCTCGGGCGGGTGGGGGGCCGGAGAGCTTGTACCAGAAGATCCCCATGAGTCCGGGTTTCGACTACTGCCTCAGATAGGGAAAGGCCCCAAGCCACCCCCAACCGCAGTACCAACTGTGTTTAGATCTGGGGCGGCTTTATTACTGAGAAATATTGATCTCGTAATGAAAAATTTGATTAATTTGAGGAGTCCAGAAATGTCCCCAGGGAGGGGTAAAAATTTTCCTACCCCTACCCCTACCCCTCCCCCCCATCGATGACCCATCACAACTACCACAACACATTGATTAACTTTCAGACTTGTTTCCAGATCTTCCATTAGTTTTTAAGGCATATTTGTAACCATATTTGACAACAAAAACCCAATAACTATTTAATAATGGTAAAAATGACCCTTTTTGTTAAGGGAATCGTCATTGGTAGTTCCTTAAAAAAACGTGTTTTTATCATGATAAATGAATCGATGATGAGCAATAACAACAAAAGAATAAATACATAAACTGCAATAAAGTTAATATATGTACATCCTTTTTAAGCAGAATACTTTGCGTAAATTATTGTTGTAACGTCCCAATTAATTAATTAATTACTGTTAAAACCTGTTAGTTTATTGATTCTGTTTGTAAGAAAAATGGTAAATCAAGTACCTAAATAAGAAGAGAGTGATGAGGAGATAATGATGACGACGCGAGCAGGAAAAATACAAAAATGCGGTAACAAAGTTGTCACCGAGGTTAATAGTTTGGTTAGGATTATTAAGTTGCAAAAAATTGGCCATAGACTCAAAATTTGCAATCAATCTGCAATAGATAATTTTTGCATTAAATTGCAAATTATTAACATAACTTACGTAAATCCCCATTCTTTTGGCAAGATAAAATTAGCCATGAAATAAAAATTTGCAATCAATCTGTAATAAATTCTTGCATTAAATTGCTAATTATCTATTTAATCAAGCTCCCCATTCTTTTGCGAATTAATTGCCATACTCATTTTCTCAATAAATGGTTCCCAAATCCGCAAAATATGTTTCCACTCGGTCTCAACTTTGGTACCACATTATTTGCAAATTTGAGCAGCGACTTGTTGTGGCGTCATCTTTGTCATCATCATCATCGAAAAATCGTAACGTTCTCCGTTCCGATGAAAAAGTAGCCTTTTAGAGAAAAAAACTACATAAATATTTACTATAAAAAACGTTCAGGATAATACAAAAAATCGCTTTTTATTACTAAATACAAGTCCGAGTGATGCTTAATACGACGATGGAGTTAAAAAATATTTAGCAAAAACACGACGATGAAATGAAAATGGTGCAAAAAACTACTGTTGAAATAATAAAATTAGGTAAACTGTAGCCGTATTTGTAGCAGTATTATCTACTAAAAAATAACAAATATTTAGACTTTCACCACTTGTAAAATTTATAAAACAGCGCAAAAATTACATCTCGTTAATAGCAAGTTTATAATAAAAATTAATGTTAAATTATTTACCATTGCCGTGTAAAGTCTGAACAAAAACGTACTTGGTGAAGGATAAAAGTAGAGGAATAGTTTACTAAATATTTATAAAATTACGATTAAAGTTACGAATAAAGCTTTCTCCATAAGTTAAATGCATACATAATTAATTCTTACAATTAATTGTGTATTATCTATATTTAGCACAGAACAATTATGAGTTAGTAATTAATTTAGTTTAAATGTATGTAATTAATTATCATCAAAGTATTTAAATAAGTTGGTAATTTGATTATTCATACATATGTAAAGTTCAAATATATTTGTGAAAAACAAATATTGAACTTAGGACTCGATGACGCATCATGGTCAAAATCAGCACATTTTTTTTACTGATTTCTTGGGTTTGGGAATTTATTTTAAAATTCCGAAATTCGAAAAATTTGTAGTCAGTGAGTTAATTAAGGGAAGGTTTTAAGTCAGTTTCGATGAGTTCCAATTTTTCTGAAGGTTTCTTAAGGTTCCCATGGATGACGAGTTGGCGCGTAATCTCACTCTGCCTATATCCAATGTATTCAAATGCAATTTCTAAAATCGAATCAACTCCATGAGTTTTGAGATAAATGCAACTTTTGATATTTCAATCTAAAGCTAATTTTTGGTACTACAAACAAGTCGATTTGAAAAAAAAATTAAAAAATTAATTTTCGAGGAAATTTATTGTGAAAAATTGGCAAACGCATTTTTTATTTTAGATTTTAATTTTAGAAATTTTACACAACACAATTTTAGAAATTGCATTTGAATACATTGGATAGGGGCAGAGTGAGATTACGCGCCAACGCGTCATCCATGGGAACCTTAAACTTGAGATCTCCTTCTTCAAAGTGTCAAAATCTGGAGTGTATATATTTCTTAAAAAAATTGGGAACTTTCTTCTCTACAAATTTGTCGTCCAAAATTTTAAACTAAATTCCCAGAGGCGAGAAAGGATTAAAAATGTACTGCTTTTGACAAAATTTGACAATGAACCATCGCGTTCTAAGTCAAATTGAAGTTCTTTAATTAAGTTCCGAGTTAAGCAGCGTGGTTAAAGTTATACATAAAAAAATCTCCTTTAATTAATTATCTTACTTTACAACTGGACTATTTTAACGAAAAGTTCAAACTGCTCAAAAGTCAAAAAATTTATGCGATCCCATCTCAAAAAAACTTAAAACAAAAACGCGTTTCAATCAATAATCAATCAGTACTAAAGAAAAAAAATTCGATTGAATTCTTCTCTGCACTTCACTTCAAAAAATAATAAATGCACCATTTGACAAACTTTCACAAATCTTCACTAGTAAAAAAAATGAAAAAAGTGGTTTGACATTTTTGACAAATTCAGAAAAATTCGGTCAAAATCAATGAAAAATGAAGATGTCATCGTATCAGTGTCTGTAATATCATTAATTACTCGATAACCAGATGAAATGAATCGGTAGACGAATGTTGATAAGCAAGCGATAAGTTCAATACAACCATCTCCGAATGGACAGTATTCTAAATATTGTTATCATTATCATTATTATGTATTATTATTATGAGATACAATAAAGAAAGAGTTACAAAGAGAAAACATTCGAGAGCTATTATGGTTTTTGTATATTAATAACGCCGTTAAATAATTTTTTTGAATTGTGTTTTTTTAAAAATATTAATAACGCCGTTAAATAATTTTTTTGAATTGTGTTTTTTTAAAAATATTAATAACGCCGTTAAATAATTTTTTTGAATTGTGTTTTTTTTTAAAATATTAATAACGCCGTTAAATAATTTTTTTGAATTGTGTTTTTTTAAAAATATTAATAACGCCGTTAAATAATTTTTTTGAATTGTGTTTTTTTTAAAATATTAATAACGCCGTTAAATAATTTTTTTGAATTGTGTTTTTTTTAAAATATTAATAACGCCGTTAAATAATTTTTTTGAATTGTGTTTTTTTAAAATATTAATAACGCCGTTAAATAATTTTTTTGAATTGTGTTTTTTTTAAAATATTAATAACGCCGTTAAATAATTTTTTTGAATTGTGTTTTTTTTAAAATATTAATAACGCCGTTAAATAATTTTTTTGAATTGTGTTTTTTTTAAAATATTAATAACGCCGTTAAATAATTTTTTTGAATTGTGTTTTTTTTAAAATATTAATAACGCCGTTAAATAATTTTTTTGAATTGTGTTTTTTTTAAAAATATTAATAACGCCGTTAAATAATTTTTTTGAATTGTGTTTTTTTTAAAAATATTAATAACGCCGTTAAATAATTTTTTTTGAATTGTGTTTTTTTTTAAAAAAGATCAAACCTTATTTCGTGTCGTGCGGATTCATACCTGTTCAAAAATTTCGTATTCAATCAAAAGTTAGTCATTCCGATTTCTGATTGAAGTTTTTCATTCACATTCAGTCATTTCCGTTAAAACTCAGTTCATTTCACTTCATCCACAGTTATTAAGCATAGGGTGAAAAATGACATGAGTGAGAAATTTTCGATTCATAATTATTCATCTGAAATGACCGAATCTTTCGGTCATTTTCATTCAAATGACAGGAATTTCATTTTCATTCATTGTCATTTACCAACCATCATAATCACCCAAATGAATGAAAGTGAACAGGTATGTGCGGGTTTAATACATTTCTTGCACTCTAAAGTAAGAAATGCAAAAAATGCGAGGTGCAAGAAACTGGGAGAAATAAGCGCCATTTAGCTACGCGCTGTATGAAGTATTTACAGCGGCGGGGCGTCATTTCTTGCGCCGTGTATTTCTCCCAGGTCAAAATATTCACCTGCAAGAAGAAACCACTTTATTTCTTGCGAGTGGTTACATATTTCTTGAACGAAATTCGAAATGTCATAAAGTGTGCAAGAAACTGTAATCGTCTGAAGATTAACTGGTAAATTTGTTCCCTCTTATTTATTAATTGTACATCAATAACGTCGCTAAACAATATTTTTCGCATGTCAAGATTCTTTAAAAAAGACAAGATTTCCATACTTTCATCTCGTCTCTTGCAGGTTTCTTTTCATTTCTAACGAAGCAAAGCAAGCCACGCAAGAAATGCGAGGTGCAAGAAACTGGGAGAAAGTGCAAGAAATATCCAGCCACGCGCCGTATGAAGTATTTACAGCGGCAGGGCGTCGTTTCTTGCGCCTTGCATTTCTTGCAGGTCAAAATATATACATAGTTGCAAAAAACTACTTTCTTTCCGCTATTTATTGCAAGTGGTTAAGTACTTCCACTCGAAACACAAGATCATAATGTACATAAAATTTGGAATTAAATAAATCTCATAAATGTTCCTGCATGTATACGCCAGAAGATGAGTATTCAATCTAAAGCGATTCGTACATTCTTTAAATGCAAAATACAATGGTATAAAGTATGACAAGTTTCTCATCTTTTTTCATATTGCCTCGTATTTTTCTGTGAATGACGTAATTGATTTATACTCTACATAATTTACGGGAGGTCGACCTTCTGGAGTTCTGGAGTTGTTCTGGAAGGATATCCAGACAAAATTTGGTCAGGTCAGTTTTTGCAGGTTTCAAAAATATTTTCTAGCAATTTAGAAATCGACTGCCAACTTGAATCATATTCATTCAACTCAGATTTTCTTAGGATTACAGAGAGTAAAATTAGTGATATTATTGAGAAAATTCGGATCAAACGAGGCATAAATCGAATGAAGCTGTTTTTGAGCTATTGGTGAGGGGAATATTTCTCTCAAAAATAATCTAGCACAACAGAGGCAAAGAAATTAAGGGAGATTTTTTATAATTCTCAATTTTCAATATGATTACGCAACATTTAACATTGCATTGCATCTCACGCATGGAATAAGGTAGGATCGGATGAGACTTGGCGAAAAAGGATGCACTGACAACTGGCTGAGCGATGGGAGTTTACTGAAGAGCAGAGCAAGCAGCTCGAAAAATTGAGAATCTGCAAGGCAATCGGACTAGTAAAATTGCTTCCATCTCAGAATTTTCTAAGCGGTCAGGTCCAGCTCGTACTGCGACGGGAAGCGGTTTGACGAGTCCGATTGCCTTGCAGGTCGATCTCGCTCTTCAGCCAGGCCAGGCCATCGGCCAGCCAGCCAGCCAGCCAGGAATAGGAATCCTGATGTGACCGGTGTCACATCAATCAGTATGTTTTTGCCATAACTTTGCCAAGTCTGATCCATAATGATTTACATAATTTTTGCACACCATCTCGTCCATAGTGTTGTCGACATGTTGACGATTTACTGAGCTTATCGTTGACGACCGTAGTTGACTGCAAATCGGATAAGAAGTACTTAGGAAAATTATGAATAATTGCAGACTCGTCTTATCCCACCAGGTTCAGTTTTGGCGTGTTTTTTCGGATTTAGCGACAAAGTTACCTTCACGATATCGAACAAAAGATAAGCCATAATCTGCAGAATTTCAGAGTAAATCGGTATTGAATACGAAAGAAGTTTGCAGTCCATGGATTCTAGGAGCTTGATTTGGGGAATCAATGTCACTGAGGGCAAGGTGGTGACAAAAACGGCATAATTGAAAGACAGACAAGTATGACGGGTACATAAGCTTTGACACGGGTTAAAAAGTTAAACTCGCACATTCTATTATGAAATATGAAATTAATTAATCCCCCAAACACCCCCCCCCGTTAATAACCTTGTCATCCTTAATCCTGCAAGTACAGAAACAAAACGTTGATTGGTATTTATATGATAAAAAATCCGCCTTTATTATATATATTATCAGGTTACGAAATTCGACAATGAACAAATTGATATTGTATTTATTTAATAATATGTTTCTTGAAATTAATTTGTAACGCTTTGGGGAGGAAGTCGAATAGGTGTGACGCCTTTAAAGACGGCCCTCCATCCACCCCCGGTATTGTTAAGGCTCGTCTTGTACCGCACCTCGGCGGCGGATGTGGTTCCAGTGTAGGTCGAAATGGTGTCCTTAAATAAAAACGAGCGTAATTAAGTTGGCATGCATTTCTCCAACAATATTCTTAAAATGGAAAGTCTCACAACGTACATATGCTCACAGATTTTTGAGCAAATTAGTGTGAATCGATCACATATTTAATTAGGATGAAATTTGCGAAAGGGACGATCTCCCAATGGGCACGTTTGGCAGAGATATTTGCATCCCAAGAGAAGAAAACGCGCAGTAAATTTGGAAAGGATAAAATTTGACAACTTTTGAACGCGTTTCTTTATCTTTGGATGCAGATATCTCTGCCAAACGTACCCATTGGGAAATCGTGTATATTAGAAAAAGTGGAATTCGTTTATGAATTCGGATTTCGGACACAAACGGATTAAAAATTGAATAAGGAATTACTTTTATATAAAAGAAACGAATTTTTTGTCCAAAATTGTTTAACAAATGCATATCAAATTTCAACCTTCCAGTTCCACTGCGCACTGTCCATCTGAGGTACAAACTATACTATCAAATCTGCCTTAACTAATTTTAACGGCGTTAAACAAAACAGAATAAATGTAATCGTTCATATCAAATGAAGTAACGAAATGAAGTAACGAAATGAAGGAGAAAACGCGTCCCAAACTTTACACTTTCCAAATTTACTGGCCATTTTCTCCTATTGGGATGCAAATATCTCTGCCAAACGTGCCCATTGGGAGATCGCGTCTTTCGCAAATTTCATCCTAATTAAATTTGCGATCGATTCACACTCATTTGCTCAAAATTGGAGAGCATACGCTGCGAGACCTTTTTTGTTAATTAATTTGTAATACAAATTTTGTATGCAAACTCACCCCCGGACAAAATCTGGAGAAAAGCACGCCTGGCAAGGTCGGGTTGTGTGGATCTGTGGAAAGTATTTCGACAAACTCGGTAGAACAATCGCCTCCAATTAGGAAATCTGAAACAATTAATTAAGTAATTGCACACTTAATTTTTAGCTGCTTAACCATCTTAAGTTTCTGTCTCTTTTTACCCGTAAAGTTCATCTGGACCACGAGCCCAGCCGGGACACGGACTCTCCAACGACAATCCGAATCAAGAGAGTAATTTCCGGGATACATTGGACTGCTGTAAGTTTGAAACAAGAGGAGTCTCATTTTGGTCAAACTCTACCACCCGGTAATCAGTTCATTTTCTTTCTCCTCTTATAACCAACCTTTCGGAGAGGATATTTTTAATTGTGGTGATACGTCGTCATTAATTTTGGTAAGTATTACCAAATTAATTATTTATTAACTAATTAAATCGTGCAATACATCATATAATTCTATTAATTGTTTTTTTCTTTATTTTATTTCAGGACATGGAGATGGGGGATGATCCATGGTCGGACGAAAATTCGTTCGTCTCCACCCAGAGGACAACCAAGAGAAAACGATCAGAGGAGAAAGTTGCAGACGAGGAGGAAGAGAAAGTTCCCAAAGCAGGAACATCCATCCCTCTCGTACCTAATACATCGAATATGTATGTTTTTCTTCTCTCCTCCCACGTATTGTTATTATTCACTGTCAAATTTATTATTATTATTATGTTACAGTGAAAAGGGGAAGAAGAAGAAGTCTACTCCTGTCAGACTAGTCGTTGAGAAGAAGAAGCACCCCCTTGCTCCCATCGGGAAACTTAATCCCCCTGCTACGAAGGATAAAGAAAATCACGGAAATTAGTGAAGCGCGAGACGATGTAGATTTTCAACCTGTTGGATGGACATTTCTTCCTCAAGATGAAGATATGGATGTTGATGAAGAAGGTTATTTGAGGGATGGGAGGGGGGTGATTGTAAGAGAAGGCGAATTACCAGAGAAATTTCAAACGAAATACATTGGTTCTTCAGCGAAGAGCGGGACTAAAGTCAAAGGTATTTTGACAATTATTAAATTGATGTGTTTATAAATAAGGTCATCATTTAATAAATAATAAATCTTATATTAGGATCTACCGATAAAACAAAGGTGGAATTGGCCGAGAAGACGATTCTACATTTGATTGGGTTTGATCCTGACACCTCTCCTGCCAGTAACATATACGAAGATTCGCCCGACTGGGTCTTGACTCCTCAAGGAGTGAAATTGACGGACGAACAGAGGGAAATACTTTTCCAAAAGATTTTTGCCGCAGGTGGCCGTGTACCCCTCATTGGAAAACCCGAGCTGAGCATTATTATTCACAAATCGCCAACCAACAAAGTAATCCATTTATGTTTAGAGCTTGTAGAGGAAGGAATTTATAAGGCCAGAAGATTCTGCACCGAACCAGGTACATTTGCATTTTAGTGAATGGTTTCCGGTTTCCCCATTATTTCAAACTTGCATTAAATATTATTATTCTAGGATGTTACACCTACGACAGAACACTTGCTTCTGACATCCATCCGAAGTGTTCTATCCATAAAGATCGATCATTCCATGCGGTATTCAAAGTGACAGACTACACAAATAGGTCAACCCTAGTTCAGTTACATACAAGAATTTTCATCTCTGTCAACCACAATGCCACCGAATTAGAAAAATACCAGGAGGCGGAATTAGTTATGTGTCGCAGGATCATTGACAACAAACTATGGATGAAATATTGCAACCCCGATAAATTACTAACCGAGGATGATGAAGATGATGAGGACGTTGAACATGAAGAAAAAGACGATGAAACCACAAAATATCGTCATATTCCGAGATCCATTTCTAGGGACTACTTTGAGAATGAAGAGGACGCTCTCAAGAAGTTGGCACTCGAGTCGGTTAGTGAATTTGATTCGAAATTGTGCATTGTAAAGTAATAGTTGGAAATGAAGCATAATTTTTGTATATTATGTAGACGGTTGGTATGTTTATGAAGCTTGCCCCGGGGACACAACCTTTCAACAATCTTGATGATATCATCCCCTTCGTTTATGGGATGGAGGGCGAATTGGACGAGCGTTTAAAAGAGTTGGGGATGGAATTGAAGATTCGACGATCACTCCCACCAGATGAACAAAAGAAAGTTCCATATCCATTTCCTGGAGAATATTTATTTGGCTCGACAGTACCACAACAGGCCGAGAAAGGGAAATCGTTCCTCTACGTCATCATGTCAAGAGAGATGTGGTATTTTGGCTGGTCAGATACCCCCGGGTTTGAGAAACGTCTGAAGGTTGGGACTAAGACTGATGGTGCAAGTATGTACTATAATTTAACACGTTCAGAACCTCGTCCCCCCACTGTTACCTGTTACTTGATTGGAAAGTGTGATGATGCAGATAAGAAGATTATTGAGGCTAAATTAATTACTTCTGGTTATGTTGCTTATTTGCTTGGTCTACATAACCCTGTCCGCACTGTCCCTTCTCCACGAGGTTACTCTATAAACAAGTGTGTCTCTTTATATCTTCTAGATTCTAATTCCTGGAAGGAAATTTGTGCTTTTGTTGCCCTTTTCTGGGGTTATGAACCAATGCTGGCAAAATATGTAACTGTAGAATAATATGATTTGCAAATGAAATAAACTTATAAACTTATGCGAAAATACTTGATAAAAATTTAAATATTTGGAAATGTACAAACGTCATCCACCTGAAGCTGCCCCCGGTGTGGAAAAATGCGCCCCCACAGCCTCGACCGGATGTTGTCGTCGTGTACGAAATGTCGTACCCTCGACTTAACGCGATTCGGGTGAAGTAGCGAATCCAGAGGACATTGCTCAAAGAAAATATCGGGTTTGGTAGGGACGATCCGCAGAATTTTCCGAGACCGCGACCATTCGGCGATCCATCGCGGACCTAATTCAGCCATTTTAGTTAACGTAAATCTTTAAAATCAGTTTATCAGCTCTGGAAATTCATTTTAAAATTCTGGATTACAAAATCTGTCCACTAATTAAATTACCGATACGACAAAATAATTAAGATCGGATTTTTAAGACTACAAGTTTTTGAAATTACTTAATTAATTAATTTAGCAAGTCGTTGCTAATTAGAAAAATATACATTCCAGAGTTTGATCCTTTTTGAAGGAAATTTCAAGCTGAAAAAGCCTTCAGAAAAATTGGGACTCGTTCAAAGAACTGGCTTAAAAAACTCGACGCCATTCCATTAATCAAATCACTGACGGCAAATTTGTCGTCCAGAATTTTTTAAAAAAAGTTCCCAGAGCAGAGAAATTATTAAAAATGTGTTGATTTTGGGGATAAGCAGTCATCGAGTTTTGCGTTAAATATTTTTAGTATTGCTAATATTATTAATCAGTAATTAAGACCTCCATTGCGGCTTCGGAGCATTCCAGGGACGTCGCAGGTGTTCCAGGAAGTAGAAACTTGTTGAAATATAGCGAAATATAGGTTCCATTTCCGGCACGGATGGAAAACTGACAGTTTGACATGACCGGCGAATGGGAGGGGAATTCAGGGGAGAAGATTCGTCCCTGATGGTTCTCGTAGGTTCGGTTGCAGCCTGGAAAAAAATCAACAAATTTATTACAAGGTCACAATTTGTATGAGCATAAATTTAAATAAATCCCACCAGCCGCCTTGTACTCGAGTTTGAAACCTCTCCCAGAACCGGAAGAGTCCGTACGGAAGACCAATTCGATGGAGCGTCCCACAGAGAAAAAGTCGGGCGGAGTTTGACTCCCGCAGTAGCGGACGTCTTGCATGATCACGTCCTAGAAGAATTTCGGCATTACTTTTATTCTATACTTGGGCGAATATTTGATTAGGACTTGATGACTTATCACTAAAATCAGCACATTTTTAATCATTTCTCTGCTCTGGAACTTATTTTAAAATTCTGGACGACAAATTTGCCGTCAGTGAGTTGATTAATGGAATAGTTTTTGGAGCCAGTTTCGACGAGTTCCAATTTTTCTAAAGGTTTCTTAAACTTGAGATCTCCTCCTTCAAAAAGTGTCAAAATCTGGAGTGTATACTTTTTAAAAAATTGGGAACTCCCTGCTCTACAAATTTGTCGTCCAGAATTTTAAAATAAATTCCCGGAGGCGAAAAATTATTAAAAATGTGCTGATTTTAACGATGCGTCATCAAGTCCTACGTTAACCTACGTCAGCCTGGACATGTCTGTGTCTCCAGTCGACTGGTCCATTTCCAATGAAAAGAATAGGTCCGCTAATTCCCTCGGGAGAAGTGTACTAAAAACCAAACCGAGTTATTTTCTTACAACTTCATTAATAAGTTTGTTCCCTTTTAAATTCCGCACCGATGTGGAAACATCCTTAATTTCGAGCCAGTCATTGGAACAATCTGAACTTGGGGGAATGTCCATCTCGATGAACTTTACGTCGACCTCGTCGAAAAATGAGGCTCCATCAATAATCCATTTGCACCTCGTGTTGGGCGGATATTGGGACGGATATTGGGGCGAAGTTAGTACTTGTGACTCGGTGGTGGTCGCATTAAGGACGAAATTTCTGCCACAGGGGGCTGGAAATTTGTGAAAAAATAATGAGTAATAAAATTATTTAATGTAGGACTCGATGATTCTTCACTTTCACTTGAATCGTCAAAATCAGCACATTTTTAATCATTTCTTGGCTCATTTATTTCAAAATTCTGGGCGACGAATTTGTAGTCAGTGAGTTGAATAATGGAATGGCGATAATTTTTTTTAGGCCAGTTTCGGTGAGTTGAAATTTTCTGAAGGTTTCTTAAACTTGAGATTTCCTTCTTCAAAAAGTGGCAAAATCAGGAGTGTATATTTTACAAAATTGGGAATGGCCTGCTCTACAAATTTATCGTCCAGAATTTTAAAATAAATTCCCAGAGGAGAGAAATGATTAAAAATGTGCTGATTTTGACTGACAATGCGGTGACGCCAGCGGTCTCGCTCAGATTTTAATGAAATCACGATAATTATGTGCCCTTACATAAATAATTGAACACATGTTTCGGGATTTTTCATAATGCTCAGTTTAAACAAAGTTGTGATTGTATAAGTGGCCAAAAATTCGCATTTTTCTCCCTCAAAAACAAAAACAAAAAAAACTTTACGAGAAAAATGCGAATTTTTGGCCACTTATACAATCACAACTTTGTTTAAACTGAGCATTATGAAAAATCCCGAAACATGTGTTCAGTTATTTACCTAAGGCTACATAATTATCCAAGTTTCATCAAAATCGGAGCGAGACCGCTGGCGTCATCGCATTGTCAGTCATCGAGCCCAACGGTAATTAGTTAATCAATATTAATTATGCTACGCACATTCTCGGCTCGTAATTCTTGCCGTAAATCCGGGAAAGTTATATGAGCTATCGGTAACAAATCGAATCCAGATGTAATTATTCGATGAAGAGATTGCCGGTGGGGTTTGTGAGCCGCAGAATTTTCCCAATTTTTGAGAAAATGGTCCTGGACCGTCCCACATCTGGATCGGAAAGAGAAAAATTATTCGTTAAAAATTTGTAAATGGTGGAAGCCAATTTGTAAATGGTGGAAGCCAACAACATTTTTAAGCATAGTTTTATATTTATTTATATAGTACAAGGATAAGAAAACCAGGTTGAAACCATTTTAAATCAAAATGAGCTAAATTAAGCAATTTTTAATGTTTAAATAACACAATTTAGCAATATTGAATTAGATAATTTTTTTGAAAACTTTCGAAATATGGCATCCTGCTTATCCAACGGGTAAGTTAGACACGTTGGAGCGATGGTTTAAGGTGCAACATCTCGGATTTTGTCAAATTTTGGAATTATGAAGTTCAAGCTCTAAGTTTAAAAATGGACGATTTGATTTTCCCCTTCGAGAAGAATGGAATGCTTCCTCCGCTTGGTAAGAATCGCCCATTTTTTTTTTAATTGGACCTCAAATAATTTGACAAATCGTACAAACTTTCTCAAGAAACATTGGTTGTATTGACTTCAACTTCAACTTCATAATTCCGAAATTTCAATCGGAGTGTTACACTTCACACTGTCGCATTGTAGAAAGCAGCATAATAAAGCTTATGATTATTGTAAATGTTGAACCTCAATGTAATCGTATGGACACGGATTTCCGGTATCCGTCACACTTTTCCCCGGCGTGCGTCCACCCCCTTCGAGATTAAAAAATTGGAAGGTAACGTCCAAAGAGTGAAAGTCTGGTCCAGCAATGAGCCACTGGCAGTCCAACATGGGCTCGTAATTTCCATTCGAGGTCACACTTTGGATCGTGACGGGGCCCGAGGACACGTTCTTTTGCCCACCGCAGCCTTGACTTTCTCCTAAAAATTATATGAAATTTTCATGGAAATTCATCCATCACAGTAATTCGTTCGTGGTCAGATATGTCCTTATTTACGAAAAATACCTGAATGTATTTCATATTTATGAAACAACGCCAAAATATTTACGGAAAAAGCCATAAAAATTAGATTTTCTCAAAATTTGGATTTTTGAATTTACTGCTTTGGACTTTTTGTTGTTGAATTTTTAAAAATATCGTCTCACATCTTTGAAATATTTACAAAATATATGTATTCTTGAAAACCTACAGTGTGCAGTGTTTATATAGCCCGAGTCAGGGACAGAGTCCACTTCTAAATGTTTGTCAAGTGACCGGTACCAACTACTAATAGTTGGTACCGGTCATTATGGGAAAATTTTTGACGATTGCGAATTATTCTTAATCGTCGCTGCAAAATTGCAGCTTCTTTAACCAATTCGAAAAACCCCACTGGGTCCTCCTGGCAAAAAAATCTGAAATTTACTTCACATTTATTAAGCTGATCTAACTCTGCAGGATCAGGCCAACTTTTAGTCGTCTACGCCCGTTTTCTTAACCAGTGGGGGTGACCAGTGTGTGCAAAAAGTCAGCCTTTTTGCTATTTGTTCATGCCTTTTTGCGTTCCTTTTCAGCTTAATTTCAGCTCAATTAAATGATTTTCAAAAATCGGTATGGGTCACCCTCTCGAGTCCCTCCAGATAAAAAATTTGACCAATTTCATTTCATGTTCTTGCTTAAACCCCATACGCAACCTGTCTACCAAATTTCAACTCGATATGACGATTTTGACAAATCAGTATGGATCACACCCTCGGGTCTTTCAAAATTAAATTTTTTCCAACTTGAATTCATACTCTTTCATTAAACACCATTAGCAACCTCAGTGCCAAATTTCTGCCTTCTATGACAATTTTGAAATTTTGATGCATAATACCCCATCCACCTATATGACCCCCACTGGTCAACCACTTGACCGATTTCGCCCATCTTCGAACTTAACTCCTCATTTGACCCATACTACATGTGTACCAAATTTCAAGTCGATAAGATGAGTTTACCGAGAGTTATCGTAGGACGGACGGACGGACGGACATGATGGTTCCATAAGCCCTGACTCGGGCTAACAAATATGTGGAAGATTTCCGAATTTTTGAAATAATAGTGGAAATATTGATGTGTGAAAACCAGAAATATGTAAACCATTTCGAAATTTTGGTTAACGAACACAGCCACAAAGTTTGAGGGTCGGTCGTTATCAAATAAAAAACTTGAAAATATGTAAATACATATCCCCCCACTTATCATTTCATAACGCACCCGCCGTAAATTCCACCACGCCAGAAAATCCGCCATGCTGTATCGTCCAATCCGTGCTAAACTGTAGCGTCATGGAATTTCCTTTGGAGCTGAGAGGATGGAAATCTTTGGTCATATTTCCGCAGAAGGTTCCCAACAGTTTGTCGTCCCGGATTCCCTCCCCGTCGAACAGTTTGACAAAGTCGTACACGCATCTGGAGTGGAACTCGAGCTCGAGGGTTTCAAACCGGAAGCGAACGACGCGATTTGCTGGGGCGCGGATGACCCAGGTGCAATTCATGTGGGGCGCGGAGGTGAATGGGTGTCCCGGAGAGGAGACGAGACTCGGCTCTGTGATGAAACCCCCACACCGGAAAATTGAATAGCGGGCGAGGAAGCCTTCATTTTGGAATTGCGGTCTGGAAGAAAATATGGAAATTAGAACTTGTTGGATTGATTTTGTAAGAAAACAACGGATTTTGTGGAGTAACGAAAAAAATTGATGGGAAAATTTGGATTTCTAATAATTTCGATAAAGTTATGTTGAAAATTTAGATATTTTTATATAAATACAATTCAATGTAGTTCAATTAAAAAATTGATCTGAAAACAGGGAACTTTCATTAAAATCGAGATTTCTAGGAACGCCCTTGTAAAATCCGAGATATTTTTTTATGTAAGTGCTTTGTTCAGTAAAAAGATCGATACAAAAACCGAGAATTTTCATGAAAATCCGAATTTCTAAAACGCTAATTACTACAAAAACCGAAATATTTCTATATAAATGCTTTGCTCACTAAAAAAATCGATGCGATAAACTAGGAACTTTCACGAAAATCGGGATTTCTACTGTAAAGAACGAGAAATTTTTGTGCAAATGCTTTGCTCATTAAAAACCACATCCGAAAAACCGGACACTTTCAGGAAAATGTGGATTTCTATTAACGCAGAACGCTACTGTAAAGACTGAGATACACATTCACATTTAAAAATGATATTGTTTCATAAAAACGAGATTTTATCTTAAAAATCACGTCCACGCACCGATAATTATACGAAATCGTGACGGCACCCTTCCCCACAAAAGCGGGGGGAAGATTCGTCCCGCACACGACGCCGGGTTCGGTTTGCGGTCGACTTGAACTGTTGCCCTGCCACATGGTCAAGTTGACCTCGGGACACTCCTCCAGTACTTCGGATCTCTTGACCCCGTACGACGAGGGGACCGTGATGTCAAACGGGGACAAGAATTCGAGCACGACGTAGTCCTCCGTCCCCGCTTGGATGACATAGTCGCACCGTTTCGTTACCCAGTTTGACTCCCAGCCGACAAAGTTCCAGTAATTTTCTTGATTGAGGGAGGAAGAGTGGTTGAATCGGTCGAAATGAGCGGATCGGATGGTTCCTGAGGAGGGAGAATTTGCAAATGTGTGAATTTCAATTAGTTGCAAATACACATTTTTCCAGAGTAAAATACTTGTCCAAATAGTGTTTTGAGCTCCGTTCTTCTCAGGGTTTTGGATTTCCGGGGCTGTTACACCCACAAAAAGAAGACAATCCACGTGGAGAAGGCAGCAGTTACTCGAAAATGCAGGTTTTGTGAAAAATATAACTTTTTATCGCTATCAAAATAAGTCGTTTTCACATATTTAAAAAAAATGAAGTATTTTGACAGATAAAAAGTAACTTTTTTCAAGAAACATGTATTTTCGACTACCTTTACCATCTCCACATAGATTTTCGTATTTTTGTGGGTGTATCAACCCCGGAAATCCAAATCCTGGGAAAAACTGAGCTCAAAATAATTTAAATATTTTGACCCAGTATTCTGCCCACTTTAGATTTTCTCTCTGTTTAAAATTCTTACCCGAGGGTTCCTTGAAAAGCCCCCCGCACGGAGAATACCACACGAGAGAGAACCCATTCCCGTCAATGGCGGTGTTCGAGACGAATCTAACTTTTATCGAGGCAGTCGTCGTATTTATGGCGGGCGGGATTTGACGACCGCAAAATCGACCGAGAGGGTCCCATCCGTCTAACAAAAAGAGAGATATAAATATTGAATTGTTAAATAGAAATGTACAAAATTTTGCAATAAAAATTACCAGAATTTCCCTCCTTCTTGGCGAACAACTCGACATAATCGTTACTGCAATTGGTCGACTGCTCGATGTCAAATCGTCCATCGAACATGAGATTGATCACGTAGCCCGGAACGGACCTGGAAATTGAGAATTTGTGTCCGGCGTTTAAAAGATTTTGATGCTTCAATAATTGCATAAACTTTGATTACTTACTCGATGATCCATTCGCACTCCGTGTTTGGTGGATATCTGCAATCGCAAATTATTTAACGTAAGGCTCGATACCTCATCACCAAATTTCTAATCATTCCTCGCCTTTGGGAATTTATGTTAAAATTCTGGACGACAAATTTATAGAGCAGGGAGTCTCCAATTTTTGGAAAATATTCACTCCAGATTTTGACACTTTTTGAAGGAGGAGATCTCAAGTTTAAGAAACCTTTAGAAAAATTGGAACTCGTCGAAACTGGCTCCAAAAACTATTCCATTAATCAACTCACTGACGGCAAATTTGTCGTCCAGAATTTTAAAATAAATTCCCAGAGGCGAGAAATGATTAAAAATATGCTGATTTTGACGATTTTAATGTTAAGTCATCTAGTCCATCGTTAATTAACCGATTTCCCGACAATTATGTAAATTAATTAATTAATTGCCTTCTCCTACTGCCTCCTCCTCCTGGACCACTGATCGGTCCCACCGCCGGCACCTCGGGGGACGTCAATCGTCCATATTTTCTATGAATAATTCCCCCACATCCTCTCGCCACCTTTTCCGTTTGAACGCTGAAGCCACGCCGGCCCGGATCGGAATTTTCATCCGAGTGGAACTCGATCCAGACATGGGACGACATGGAGACGATGTCCGGGGGCGAATTCGATCCACAAAACTTGCCCAGCATAGGAGACGTTTGATACTTCCCGTTCCGCACGATGACATAGTCGCGGTCGCAACCTTCGTCCCCACCACCGCGGTGATCGTCAAGGTCAAGGTCGAGGAATCGGATGCGGATTTGAGAAGCGGGTGAGTACTCGAGAATCCAGATGCATTCGGTGGACAAGGGATAGGCTGGCAGAGAAGAGGCAGATTTAATTAGTGATTAAGGTCATAGATTAATTTGCGTAATTAAGTTGACATTTTAACTGCATTTAAAGCGAGCAAATTGGGTTTTGCAAAGCGCGTCACAAATTCATATTGCGTAATTAACTTGATAGTTTTACTGCATTAATTAAAATTTTTAATTCAAAACTTTACAAAATCTAGGACGTAAATTGGTTTTTAAAAACGCATGAGAATTTTTCAGAATGTTGCATAATTTTGGAGCGATTTTTCATCACAATTAAAAAAATATACACACTTTACGCGGTTACAAAGGCGTTAAAATTTAAAAATGTAGGTATTTCCTTACTCGCCGGCAGGGATGGTCAAAATATTTTGTGAAAATACAGTATTTTGATCTCCTTTCTTCCAAGGGTTTGGATTTCCGAGGATGTTACACCCACAAAAATACGACAATTTACATGGGGAATACAGCAGTCAGTTGAAAATACGGGTTTTATGAAGAGACTAACTTTTTATCGCAGTCAAAATACTTTATTTCTGGGAAATCGTGAAAACCAAGTATTTTGACAGCAATAAAATGTTAATTTTTTCATAAAACTTGTATTTTCGACCGACTGCTGTATTCCCCATGTAAATTGTCGTCTTTTTGTGGGTGTAACATCCTCGGAAATCCAAACCCTTGGAAGAAAGGAGATCAAAATACTGTATTTTCACAAAATATTTTGACCATCCCTGCCCGCCGGATAAGTGAGAGTCGTAATATTATAGTCATTTTACTCAAGGTTTACAAAAGTTACAAAATCCACGTCGTAAATTGGTTACTACAAAGCGCGTTCACAATATTTTGTAGAGATTTGTGAAAAACAAAATTTCAGAAAAATTACACACTTTACAAAGGCGTTAACACGTTTCTTACTCGACGGATAATTGAGACTCGTAATATTGTCCAGCGGACCGGCCAACCTTTCTCCGCACGAAGCCACGCGATACTCCAAACTGAACGTGGAATTGACCCAGGCCGCCTCGTAATCTACTTGAATTTTACTTCCGGGCAGGTACAGCTTCATCCCGGACACGGAACCGCACAGCTTTTTCCACGCCGCTTTGTACGTCACGTCTGACGGAGTGATGAGTAGCGACCCTAAATTTTAAATCGGTTTTGTAATCAGATATCTATTAACATTTGAATAAGGGTTTAATAATGGCACCCTTTTTCAAGCTACACCGGGATTTTCTAGCGAGTTATATCAAAAAATCGAGTAAAAAATTAGAAATCACGTGGCACTTATCATTTTGTTGAAGGGCCCCTTTTAAGAAAAATACTGGGGGGCAAAATACCCACGAGCGCCTTGGTTCTTGCTAGCAATCCATGTGCCTTGGTTTTATATAACTCGCTAACAGAGATCTGTGAATGATTAAGATTTGATAATCCTTAATGCCTAATTCAAACAAAATTGTAAGCAATTAATCATTAATCTCGAGGAAGCATGTCTAAATTATTAGGCCTTAATCATGATTAGAATTAAGTTAATTGCAATCATTAAACGTAGTAAAATAAAAATTATCTTAATCCTTAATCAGGATTAATTAAACCGCAATCCTGAATCCCGCAGTAAAAAGGATTGTGAATTAATCATTAATCGGTCCCAGCAAATCTAATATTGAATTAATCCCGGAATAATATTAATCCTTAATCTCACAAAAAAAACATTAATCGCGTATCTCAGCTCGCTAAAAAAGCTTGGTGTAGCTTGAAAAAAGGTGCCATTAAATCTAAAAAAAACCTTGAGGACAATTCGGATCGTTGGGACCACCCCAGGGTGGAATCCGTAACGAGTTTATGGTCACAATCGTCGTCCCGTTAGTTTCTCTGGTATACGAAGATGACGATCCTGTCGACCAGTAGCAGAGCGCGTTCGTCGTCGTGTCAGGCGTCCCGGTGGAAATATTGGGCGATAACAAGGTCCCATTTCCAGGAGGGAGCAGACCCCCACACGAACGAGGAAGGTCGGTGCTGTATCTCGCTTTGAAACCACGATGCGCCACGGAGTTATCCGAACCGAAGTAAATGGTCATTTCGTTCTGGGTAGTTTCCACGGGGGGAGGGAGATTTGGGCCGCAAAGGGTGCGATTGTAGAGGCGTGGTAAGTCACGCCAGCGACCTTGGAAGATCTGGGACCAGTTTACATAAAAGTTAAGGAAGGATTTATCGCCAAAATCGGCACATTTCTAATAATTTTTCAGCTCTGGCAACTTATTTTAAAATTATGGGCGACAAATTTGTATTCAGTGAGTTGATTAATGGAATGGAGGTGATTTTTTTTGAGCCAGTTCCGATAAGGTCCAATTTTTCTGAAGGCTTCTTAAACTTAAGATCTTTTCCTTCAAAAATGGTCAAAATTTGGAGTACATTAAAAAAAATGGAAACGTCATGTTCTACAAATTCGTCGTCCAAAATTTTAAAATAAATTCACAGAGCCGAGAAATGATTGAAAATGTGCTGATTTTAGCGATAAGTCATTGAATCCTATGTTAAAAATAAATAATTCATTTTTTTCTCAAGGAGAATAATTCCTTACAGAAACAGAGTCATAGCAAAACCTCCTCCCTCCCGATGTGTACGTTTCTTCCAAGTCGAAATCCAAGAACTCGAGGCGAACTCGTCGATCTTCTGGGGCAACGATGCGCCACGAGCAGTGTCGATAGTGTGGGTATGGGTTTGGATAGTTGGGCGTTTGAATGACCCCACTCGAAGCTCGGAATACTCCGCCGCATGCTAAAAAATGTGCATAATTAGTTTTCATAACTGTGTAAACAGTAAATTCGACGAAACTAACGTTCATTTCGTGCAAAAAATGCGACCCTGAATCCTTTCCGCGTCGTGTCTCGGGTATCATCGGAAATAAAACGGATCGAAATTTCGTTCGTGCTGGATTGAATGAGGAATCGTTGCGTGGTGCAGATCGTCCAATTCCGCGGATATTCGACATCTATCGATAATAAAAGAAACATATTTAGATAAAATTTTGCACAAAATTTGCATATTTTTTATGTTATAAACAGTTTCTTGCGGGGTTTTCCCCATTTTTTGCAATGAAACGGAAGAAATCCGAGGTGCAAGAAATGTATTTGTACATCAATAACGCCGGTAAAAAATATATTCCAAATTTCAGGTTTTCAGGTAAAAACATAAGATCACACTTGCATTTCATGGCTTGAGGGGTCTAAATTTTTGTACTGGAAACTTTCCAGAGGAAAACGAGGTGCCAGAAACTGTAAGAAAGTGCAAGAAATGTGCACAATCTAATCACGCGTCGTATGAAATAATATAACGCTACGGCGTAGTTTCTCGCACCGTGCATTTCTTGCAGGTCATAATATCTGCAAGAAACCACTTTCTTTCTCCCCGTTATTTCTTGCAAGTGGTTACGTGCACCCGAAATATTTACCAGCCATGCTTGGTTCCGTGACAAATATTCTGTCCTGATCCTGCCGACAGATCGGGTCTGTCCTAACCACAATGGAAGAATTGCTGCTTTCGTCAGCACCACCTCCCGTTTCGGGCGTCGCGCCCAGGTCGACTTCTTGAAAACGGAGCTGCACATAAGTCCCCGATGGAGAGCGGATTGTCCAGAGGCAGTCGAGATTGACATCGTACGGTGTTGGATATCCGGGAGATTGGATTCGGCCTATCCAACCCGTTAAGAGACCTCCACACGTGGCTGGATCGGAATAAAAAATATAAAGCTTGTTAACAGAGGGCGGATATGTATTTACGAAATAAAGAACGGAAAAACATAAAAATACGAATTTTCACAAAATTTGTATTTTTGAAATTAATCCTTGTAATCCAATTTCTTTGAGCAAAAAAATCGCCCCACATTGTTAAAATATTTACACAATATATACATTTTTGAAAAATATGTGAAAGATTTACGTATTTTTCAAATAATAGAGGAAATATTAATATTCCCGAAAATCTAGAAATATGTGAGAATATATAAAAATATTTTGAAATTTGTTTGATCTAATCGAGTTAGGGGACACACCGACAAAGTTTGACTATCGGTCGTCATCAAATGAAAAAATTGACAATAAATTCATGTCCGTCCTCTGCTTATTAATTCGCAGATAAAAAATTGTAATGTTAAAAGCAAACCACGCACCAATTTTGACTTCCGCCTTGAAGCCCTGCCTCGGTTCGGGAACGTCGGTATAATACCGGACGTACATAATGTTTCCAGTGCTTTTCTGTGTCCCTGGCATCGTTCGACAGTGTCTCCCAATCAGATTTGACATTGCGGTGCCTCCATCGTACAATTCTATCCCGGAACGTTGACAGCTGAGAATGATGGAAGATTAATGTAAATTTGACATAGGCGATAACTCATCGTCAAAATCAGCACATTTTTAATCACTTCTCGCCCCTGGGAATTTATTTCAAATTCTGGACGACTAATTTGTAGACAGTGAGTTGATTAATGAAATGGTGTTGAGTTTTTTAAGTCAGTTTCGATAAGTTTCAATTTTTCTGAAGGTTTCCTAAACTTGAGATCTCCTCCTTCAGAAAGAGTCAAAATCTGGAGGGTATATTTCTAAAAAATTGTCAACTCCCTCCTCTACAAATTTGTCGTTCAGAATTTTAAAATAAATTCCCAGAGAGGAGAAATGATTGAAAACGTGCTGATTTTAACGATGAACCTCCTACGTTAATTTCTTTGCTTTTGCGTAACAAAATCTCACTTCGGAGACGAGAGATCGAAGTCGAACTGGAGCAGAAACCTAAGTTGGACAGCTTCCCCTTGTGGAACGGAAATACGCCATTCGCACCTGTTAAACGATAATTGTTGATAATTTCTCAGTGGGTATCATGCAAAAATAGACAAGAATCTAACAACATACTCTGTAAATGGGGGCGGAATATTGGGGAAATTTGGCGATGAGATGATCGTCGAGGGAACTTGGTCTGTCAAGTAAATTTCTCCGCCACAACCGGCCCCCACTTCTTCGTAAACTAGGGAGAAACCCTATCCAAAAAAATTAAGTATCATTAACTCTGATATTCCAAAAGTTCCCAAGTTTTTAAAAATTTATTTTACCCTTCGATTACTCGTCCAAGACCGGAAAGAGACATGAAGTTGATTCCCACTCGTTTCCGGCAAGCTTGGTGCCGTTGAGCCGCAATATCTTCCGGCACCGAGAAATGGGGAATTTTCACTGCCACCGTTGCGAACCTGTGTGAAAGAAGAGGGGGAAACTTTGAGAAATTTATAGTAGGCATGCTTCACTTAGCTCGAGTCAGGGTTACACAAATTTTTGTCCGAATTGACTGGATGGTCGAATGTTTGTTAAATATTTTGCATTATTTTTTAGTAGGTACACAATTTTTTAAGGATTTACAATCTTTGGCCAGTGGCTCTATCGTTTCTTTCAAATCTTGACCTTCGAAAAGCTGTATTTGCTAGGCACAAGTATTTTTTAGCCTGCGTATTACCAAATTTCAGAAAATTTTAAGGAACTTTATAAGACAATTTTATGGGTCACCTTATTTCCAATTTCACCTCAGAAACTTTCATAGCAAGGCATTAGCAATCTATTATGTAGCAAATTTCAGTTTGACATTGCACTATTCTTAAATTTTTGCATAATTTCCCACCAACCTACTTATGTAAATGACTCTCATCGGTCAACCGTTTAACCGATTTAGCTTATTTTCGAACTCAAGTGTAACATACATGTTTGCAAAATTTGAACTCAATCGATTCAGCCGTTTTGGCTCTAAAAACGGATAGACGTGCATGGAGATTCCATAAGCACTGAATCAGGCTTAAAAATAATACTAAAATTTGATTTTAGGTTTACAATCAATTCATCCGACACACATCCAGAAGAATCTCCGTAAATATCCAGAAATTCGAAACGCGTGGAAATAGTTCTGCCCGGACGGACGATAATGCTCCAGTCGCAGAGGGAGGGAAAGTACATTCCAGGATAGCCAGGAGACGTTATTTTTCCACGAGGCTCGCGCGAGTAGCCGCCGCAAACTGGAAATTAAAATTAGGCATTTTTAAAATTGGGTTTTGAAATGATCTTTTTCGAAATATTTTGTACCAGCCGACAGCGACAGATTGAACCCAGGTCTCGCATCGGAGGAATCCGTGATCATCACGATCTGTAAAAATCTCCCGGACGAGAGAAGCGTTCCGTTGATCTGGGTTCGATGGCAGAGCGTCTTATTCAAGACGTAGTTGGGAAGGCCAAGTTGACCTGGGGAAAAGTCAAAGGTCAAATTTACTATTGAATTGAAATAATTCCTTCAATTTGCTGCGATACGGAAAATACTTTGCCAAAATGTACAGTATTTTGAGCTCCTCTCTTCAAGCGTTTGGATTTCTAGGGCTGGAACACCCACAAAAAGATGAAAATCTACATCGAGAAAGCAGGGCTTTCTAATTATCCACTTTTCTAATTAATTAGCAATTAGTAATTAGTTCCGAAAATTTTGATCTAATTAATTGTTTAATTAGTAATTACTTCTGAACAAGCAAATCTAATTAATTTTTAATTAGCTAATTAATTACTTCTAATTACTGAATAATTAACTTTACTATATTTTTTATGAATTAATTTTACAACATTTAAACATGGCTAATGCCTCGAATTAGTCGTCTTTCAGCGAATGTAAAATGTTGAATTATTTTGAAATTTAAAACAAATTATGAACTACTTTGAGATGGCTGGGGAAATGAGAGCTGACCTTAGTTGTGCCGGTAATCGCTTTATTTGGACAAAATTTACAAGCAGTCATTACGTTGTCGCTGTCAACCCTTTTAAAAGTATACCATCCATTCACATGATCAAAGTTCTTAAGGTTCTGTACAAGGGAGTCCATTACATTCAATATATGTCAAAAATATATTGCTATCTGGTTGTTTTTATACAAAGGTTTAAAGTTGCAACTACAAGTATAAAAAAAGCTTTGAAGTTGATAAAACACGCATGGTATATTTGCTGCCGACAAGAAAATTTTTTAAGGGCAAAACGAGAAATATGCATTAAAAAATTAATTTTGTTTAGAAAAACAAATTAATTAGTAATTGGTTTCTCAATCATTCTAATTAATTAGTAATTTTAATTAGGTAGTAATCTACTAATTAACTTTAATTAGTAATTGGTAATTAGACAGACATTGCTATTTAATTAGCTAATTAATTAGATTTACTAATTAATTAGAAAGCCCTGCGAGAAAGCAACAGTAACACGAAAATCTGGGTGGAGAAACACTAGTCAGTCGAAAATGCAGGTTTTGTGAAGAAATTGACTTCTCAAAACGGATTATTTTCGTGATTTTTTAAAAATGAAGTATTTTTACAGCCATCAAAAGTTAATTTCTTTACAAAATCCGTATTTTCGCCTGATACTTGTCTTCTCTACGTAGATTTTCGTCTTCCAGAAATCCAAACCCTTGTAAGAACACAGCTTAAAATCCTGTACATTTTGAGAAAGTATTTTGCCCATCTCTTCCAATTTGACTCACTCACCATCGTAAATCTCAACCTTATCGAATAAGCAGTTTACATTGGACTCCATGTCGAAATCCTCCACTTGAATTTGAATCCTGGTGTGCGGAGGGGAATTGATAAACCACACGCAGCGAATATTGTGTGGGTAGACGAAGGGATAATTCGGACTTAGCAGCGTGGTCACGTTTCCATCGATGGAATAGTTGCCTCCACAGCCTGACAAAATTTGGGCATTAATTTTTACCCGTTAACGTATGTAGGACTCGACGACTCAAAATCGTAAAAATCAACACATTTTTTAAGTATTTCTCGCCTCTGGGAATTTATTTTAGAATTCTGGATGACAAATTTGTAGAGGAATTCGTTACCAATTTTTTAAAAATATACACTCCAGATTTTGACCCTTTTTGAAGGAAGAGATCTCAAGTTTAAGAAGCCTTCAGAAAAATTGGAACTCGTGGAAACTGGCTTAAAAAACTCAACGTCATTCCACTGACTACAAATTAGTCGTCCAGAATTTTAAAATAAATTCCCAGAGCCGGAAAAATGATTAAAAATGTGCGGATTTTAACAACTTTTTGACGATGAGTCCTACGTCAAAATTTATAAGTAAAATTCAGTCCATGTACCCGTGATGTTGGACAAGTGAGCCAATTCAGAGCTTGCTGGTTGAACTTGATTCCACACGAGGCGGAACTTTCCACTCCAGTAGGGTCTCACGTACTGGACGTAGACGATATTTCCGGTCGAAGTTACGGGAGAGAGAGACGTCCCAGAACATGATTTAAGCAGAATTGGGGCTTGTTCATCGTACCCGTCGTAAATCTAGTTTCAGTTTTTTAAGTAAAATTAATTAAATCATTATTTGATTTTTAATTAATATAACTTTAATTGCACCCACAATTATCCGTACGAACCCGGCATCACAGTCGCCTGGTTGGTCGACATAATTGACTAGATCGACATCAGTAAACGCGACTTGAATGGCGTACGACTCGTTGACGGAAACGCGCCAGGAGTACGTTCCCGTGATCGTGTTGACTTGTGGATATCCGGGAGACTCGATGACTCCGTAGGCTCCAGAGAGTTCGTTCCCATGTTCTAAAATTGTGAATTGATTAGTTAAAATGGAGGTCTCCCAACGTATTAGATCAGATTTTGAGCTAGTGTCGATCGATTACAAATTTAAGTAGTACGAAATTTGCAAATGACACGATCTCCCAAACGATTGGCAGAGATATTTGCATCCGAAGAGGAGAAAACGATCAGGAAAGCTTAAAATTTGCCAATATTAGGACGCGTTTTCTACTTGATTTGTTGTGAACGATTAAATTGTTATTGTTTAACGCCGTTTAAATAATTTTAGGTAAATTTTATATATTAATATGCAATTTAGATTGAAGTGGAACGCTTGGAAAAGAATTTTGGACAAAAAATTCAGGTCATTTTTATAAAAGTAATAGCTCCTTACTCATTCAATTTTTAATCCGAAATCCGAATTCATAAACAAAATCCAGTTTTGCAAAAGCCGCGATCTCACAATAGGCAAATTTTTCAAAACGTTAGAAAAATTTTACCCGATTTTTGTTTCACAAAATTTTACACATATTCTCAAAATTGTGAGTTTAAAGTTTAATTACTAACTAAAAATTGAGGTCTCCCAGCGTATGCGATCCGATTTTCGGCAAATTGGTGGAAATCGATGGCAGATTTAATTAGGATGAAATTTTCAAAAGACACGATCTCCCAATCGGCATGTTTGACAAAGATATTTGTATCCCAAGAGGAGAAAATGCGTAGAAAATTTAGAAAGTGGAAAATGTGTTGACTTTAAGACGCATTTTCTCCAAAAGTGCTAATTGGGAGTCTTTTGCAAATTTCATAATAATTAAAGTTCTGATCGATTGCCGCTAATTTGCTCAAAATCGCTGGGAGAGACCTCTATAGTTAATTAATTAATTAATTAATTACCCGTAAATATTTGTACTAATTTTGATTGCAAATACCTAAATTGTAATCGGCCCAAAACCCGACCGCCTGTCCTTCTCCGTCCGTTCGAAACATGACCCACAAACTGGTCGCGGCCGTTAAATTGGCGGGGATATCGTTTCCACAAAAATGACCTAAAAGTCTTCCCTCCGAGTCGGATTCGTGAATTTCGACAAAATCAGTGTTACAATGGTCGCTCGACTCAACTTCAAAACGGCGGAAGGAGAGTTGAATCTTATTTCCTAAAAAAAAATATATAATTATTTTCAGAAAACAATTTCTTACTTTTAAAAATTTACTTAGGATTCGATGATTCATCATCAAAATCAGCACATTTTTAATCATTTCTCGCCTCTGGGAATTTATTTTAAAATTCTGGACGACAAATTTTTGTACAACAGGGCTTTCCCAATTAAAAAAAATATACACTCCAGATTTGGACACTTTTTGAAGGAGATCTCAAGTTTAGGAAGCCTTCAGAAAAATGAGAACGTATCGAAACTGGATCAAAAACCTCATCGCCATTCCATTAATCAACTCATTAACTACAAATTTATCGTCCAGAATTTTAAAATAAGTTCCCAGATTTGGTAAATGATCAAAATTGCACTGATTTTAGTGACTCCTACGATAACTTACCCGCAGAAACCTGTATATTCCAAATACACTCAATATTAGGTGGATACCCATTCGGATAATTAGGACTCGTAAATGAACCATTCATCGACGTCAACAGCGTCGTCGACCCGCATGCCGAACTCGCAAAATCATAAACCCCCCGAAACCCGAACCCTCCCCCATTTTCGCCAATCTGCAGTCGAACCAGGAGCGAATTTCCACGACTCGTGAACGATGGCGGGATCTGGGTCGAGCAAAATTTCCCGAGCGAGGGAGCCTCGACGTCTTCGCCGTCCAAAATTTCGACAAAGTTTATGGCGCAGGATCCCGTCGACGATGGTGACGCCGGGGTCTGCGGCGGGTCGGAGTGGATGGCGAGATTGGTCACGGTGAAGGTCACGTGCTCATCGGGTTCGGGCGTGGACAGGATCCAACTGCAGTTCGTGTTGGGGAGAAGGGGGCTCGGATAATGGGGCGAGGTGAGGGAACGCGACCAACCCGAGGGAGTGATCCGGGCGCCACAGCCGGTCGTGAAATTGGCCTTGAATCCGCGGGATGATGCGGATCCATCCGTTTTGAGTCGGAGGTACATTTTGTTTCCGGAGGAGCGGATGAGTGGAGGGTAGGGTAAGGAGGAGCCGCAGTGCATTAAGAGGAGGGGGTCGTAGGTGGAGACACCGTCGTAAATCTGGGGGTAAAAAAAAGTGTGAAAATTTTGTAAATGTTCTTGGTTTTGGCAATGTTTCGGGAAGGAGTAAGCATTTGCAAGAAATAACGGGGAGTAAGTGGTTTCTTGCAGGTAAATATTTTGACCTGCAAGAAATGCAAGGCGCATGAAACTACGCCGTTATATTTCATACGGCTAGACGCATATTTCTTGCAATTTTTTGCCCTTTGCATTTTTTACGTCTCGTTTTGCAGTGCAAGAAATGCAGGAAACCTGTAAGAAACTAAACAATCTCGCGTGTTTCAGGTAAAGTGTAACCACGTGCAAGAAATTACCGCACGAAAGTGGTTTCTTGCAGCTAGTTGGACCTGCAAGAAATACATGGCGCAAGAAAAGGCTTCCCGCCACATAATTTATACGGCGCGTCGCTAAATTGCGCGTGTTTCTTGCACCTCCCATTTCTTGCGTTTCTCGCTTTGTGGTACAAGAAATGTAGCAAACGAAACACTGCATTTTTCTAATTTGTTGTCTAAACTCTTACCGCCACATGGTCATAACTGCAGTTGATATGTCGTTCCACACTAAAATCCATGAATCTCAGCTCCACCACGTGATTCTGGTCGACTTCAATCAACCAGCCGCAGTCGTCGTTATGATCATAATTTCCCGGATAATTAGGCGACTGTACGAAGCCGTTGAGGGTCCTGAACCTTCCCCCACAACCGCCCGCCACGGCGCGGACGGAGCCATAGAATCCCTTCGAGGGGACGGAACCGTCCGAGTAGAACTTGATGTACATGTTGTTTCCGTGCGACGTGACGATGACGGGGGAGCCGATGGAGCCGGAACTGTGGCACAGCGAGGTCAACTGGGGCGACGTGGCGTCCGATCCGCCGTACACGGTCAGCCCGTCATATCGACAGTCTTCGGATCGTTCGATTTCCAACTCGTAGATTTGAAGCTCCACTTTCGTGCCGAGTTCGGTCGTCACGTGCCACAAGCAGACGACGTTGTTTCCATATTTGTTGGGGTAGTTGGGAGATCGGAGGTAGTTGTAGGAGCCGATGAGGCGTCCGCCGCAGCCTGGAAAAAAGGCAAAAATAATTAGGGAAACGATAATATTTGCGAACAATGAGAACGTGCAACTTGCAGATTTCGATTGGTCGAATTTTAATTTATTCGGGGACAAAAATAAGTAGATCTGTACTTTTCATTTTTCTTAATTTTGTTTTCGAATTTGAAGAATTGCATTTTTTAAGTGAGTTTCAGAAATGCATTTTCAGAATTTTTTGAATTTGATTTTTTTGTGGTTTCTAAATTTTGAAGAAGCAGCATAATTTTGAATTTTCAAAAAAATGTGAAACCGGTTACCGTATGATGTGGATTGGATCAATTCTACTTTGATCAGGGACAAAAATTTCTCTTATTTTGTGTTTTCGAATTTTAAGAATTGCGTTTTTGCACTTTTAAAAATGCATTTTCAAAATTTGTAGTTTCTAAATTACAAAAAAAGAAGAAAATTTTGAATTTTCAAAAATTTGTCTTTCACCATTAACTTTCCACTCTAATCGAAACCCATTCATGGCGTAGGAATAGTCGGACACGAAATTGATGGAGAGCGTGTCCTTGGTCGAGGAGATGAGTGGGGGTCGCGTCGAACCGCAGAATTTTCCGAGATCCGTCACACTAACCGCGTCCGTCGTGTGGGTGGGACGCTTCCATTCTTTGAGCTAACCAGATAATTAGCATTTTATGTAACTGTCACATTTTTCTGGGGATGTTCCTTACGTTGACAAAGTCGTAGACGCATCGCTCTCCGCCGCGAGGAGGACCCTCAATGTCAAAGTGAGAGAAGGAGACGTTCAACTTATTTCCGAGGGGGGCTTGCAACTCCCACGTGCAGTTTCGATTGTGTGGGTACGGATTTGGAAAATTGGGGGATTCAATGACCCCATGAAATCCGGTGATTACTCGGTTGCATGCTAAATAAAATAAGTTGATTAATTATTTAATGAGTTGGAAATTAATTAATACACTGGTTTAAATTAATTTCTTCTCACTTGCTCTATAATTCATCTGAAATCCTCTCCCCGTTCCACCATATCCGCTCAAGAACTTGATCCAGACCAGATTTCCGGTCGTATTAAGGCTGAGGACGGAGTCGGAGTGACAATACTTGCCAAGCAGGGGAGCCCTGTGGTCACGCCCGTCGCGGATCTATAAATAAATTTATTTATTTTAAGTTATAGTAAATATTTGTTAGTCTCATTCAGTATTTTGCTTTGGACGAACAATACTACTTTTTGACTGGACGGACACTGTCTAAAAGCGTCCTACATTTGAAAATAGGGCACAATGTTACAAGTTACTTATTGACAACTTTTTTGCAAATCTACGTATGCAAATCTACAGATGTGAAATTTCCCGTAAATTTTGAGCATTTTAGTGTATGTAATACCACAAAATTTTGAACCACTTTGATTTCACCATGTTTTCGTAAAATTTTGGGAATTTTTTTGTTTTACCATGAGAAATTTTCTAAACCATGTCATATTACATATCAAAATGCTCAAAATTCAGGGGAGTACACATACGTGAACAGATTGTCGAAAAATTCAGTAATGAAGAACTTATAACATTTTGCTTCATTTTGGACATTTAGGACGTTATAAATTCGATGTCCAAACCCGATTAAAACCATTTGTGGATGCTCTATTTTGGACATTGGTTAAAACTTAAAACCACCGCAAAACCCTGGTCTTATTTTTTACCACGCACCTCGATATACTCGCCCCAACAGGAGGAAGAGTGTTGAATGTCCAAGTCGACAAAGACGAGTTGCAACGCGCTGCCTTGATTGATACTGATCGTCCAAATGCATTCTGTCCGAGAGCCGTAGTTTTGCGGATAGTTTGGCGACACGATCGATCCCGTGGGGGAAGTTAGGGCGCCACCACAGCCTAAAATATGAGATAATTGTACAATTAAGTTTTAAATGGTTGGATTTAATTAGTGTTAACCTGTCGTAGTTCCGTCCCACGTGATCATGAATCCTCTCCCGGCATGTGACATGTCACTCACGAATTTGAGGTGGAGTGAGTTACTGAAGGACGGGATCATTGGGGGTGGTTGCACATTTCCGCAGAACCGACCGATCAGTGGGGATGTCGTGTAGGCTCCATTTCTACGAAAAATTAGCGTACAATTAGGCTCAGGACCAATTAACCAAGGACTCACCATCTAAATCGTCAAGATTTTTAACAAGTTTTCAGTTCTAGGAATTTATTTTAAAATTTTGAATGACAAATTTGTAGAGCAAGTCTTTCCCAATTTTTAGAAAATATACACTCCAGATTTTGACACTTTTTGAAGGAGGAGATCTCAAGTCTAAGAAACCTTCAGAAAAATTGGAACTCGTCGAAACTGGCTCAAAAAACCAACCGCCATTCCATTAATCAACTCACTGACTAGAATTTGTCGTTCAGAATTTTAAAATAAATTCCCAGAGGCGAGAAATGATGTAAAATGTGCTGATTTTGGTGATTCGTCACCCAGTTATACGTTAATTTATTAGATTGTGTTGCACCTAATCTCCAAGAAATCATAATTGCACTGCCGACTAGATCCTCCCGCTTCGAGGTCGAAATCAGAAATATTGAGTCGAATTTGTCTCCCCGTTGGAACTTTGATCGTCCACGTGCAGCTTTTGCGATTCGGGTAGAATTGTGGGTAACGAGGAGAGCGGATGATACCATATTCCGAGAAGAACTCGCCCCCACAGACTAAAAAAAATAATGAAGTCATTAATAAAATGGGGACAAAGTCCAATACATAATTTATATCTATCATGTTTTCAAACCTGTCGAAGTATTTAAGAGGACAAAATTTGCCATGAAACCGTCATGCGCCACGCTATGGTCAGACTGGAAAACGACCGTCATGGTGTTGTCGGAGGATGTGAGGACAGGAGGAGTATCGTGGCCACAAAATCTTCATGAAACCAATACGAGATAGATAATTAATCAGTTTTTAGTGACAATCGAGATCTCCCTGTCCGATTTTGACCGAATTAGTGCCAAACGATGACAAATTTAATTAGTATGACATTTGTAAGAGACACGATCTTGTAATTCGCACGTTTGGCAAAGATATTTGTACCCGAAGAGGAGAAAATGCGCCCTAAAGTCGATAAATTTTGCGTTTTCCAAATTTACTGCGGATTTTCTCCTCGTCGGATGCAAATATTTCTGCCAAACGTGCCCATTGAGAGATCGTGTCTTTCGCAAATTTCATGCTTGCTAATTATATCTGTGATCGATTGACGCTAATTTGCTCAAAAGTCGGAGAGCATACGATGGGAGATCTCCATTGAGAATTTTACCCACCTTCCGATCGAACTCCCATTCGTGAGTAGACTAGAATTATCGAAAACTTGGACGAAATCGTATCTACAACCGGTCGCAGCTTCGAGCGAGAATGAGATCCACGTGAGTCGCACTGCTTGCCCGGGTAAGCCACGCAGAACCCAGGTGCAGGAGACGCCATGCGGGTAAATTTCTGGATGTCCAGGGGAACTTATTACGCCATGCGAGTCACGAATTATCCCTCCACAACCGGTATCGTAGGTGGAATAGTTTGCCAAAAAACCACGATTTTGCACGCTCGAATCCGTCTTAAACTTGAGCCAGATGTAGTTGTGGGTGGACACGATTCTGTCCGGGGCGGAGGTCGGGGGACCGCAAAAGTGGCCGAGAAGGGTGGAGTTTTCCGTGTCACCGTCACGAATCTGGTAAAAAAACGAGTGTTTAAGACGAATATGCAAATTGGATGACTATTTATACACTTCAGCATTTCTTTTCTTGCGGGTTTGCTACATTTCTTGCCCTCCAAAGTTAAGAAACTGTAAGAAAGTGCCAGAAATAAGCGCTATCAAGCCACGCCCCGTATAAAGTGTTTACAGCGGCGGGGCGTAGTTTCTTGCGCCTTGCATGTCTTACAGGTCAAATTATTTAGATGCAAGAAAGCGCTTTCTTCCTGGTATTTCTTGCAAGTGGTTACGTTACTTGCACCCGAAACACGGATACATTTATTATTTACCTCCAAATAATCAAAGTAGCATCGCACGTCGGACACGGATTCGATATCAAAGTCCATAAAATCGAGCAGAATTCCTTTCCCGGGAGGGGCAGAGATTAGGTAGACGCAGTCTCTATTTTTCGGGTAAGGGTTGGGATAGTAGGGCGACCGGATGAGGCCTTCCGCTTCAGAGAAGACTCCGCCACAAACTAGGCAAAAATTAGGAAATTAGTTGACTGCGAGGGTTCGATTGATGTCAACATTGAAGTTAACATTGTCACTTTCGAATTGAAATAATCGTCAGGGTCCACTCACCGGCTTCATACTTTGCAGAAAATCCACCATACGCGACAGACTCGTCGGATTTGAACTTGACGAACAAAGTGGATCCTGACGATTGGAAATCGGGTGGAATGCTAGAGCCACAAAAGCGACCGACCATCGCACTGTTTGGCGTAGGCCCGTCGTGAACCTGGCGATTAAATTATGACATAAAATTTTAAAAAAATGCAGGTAAAATGGTTTTGTGACTGTACTTCAACATAATCGTATCGGCAATTTGAGGACCCTTCTAGTTGGAAAGTATTAAAGTGCAGAGTTATCCGATCCCCGGGGGATGGGAGGCGAATCAACCAGTCGCACTCCAATCCATGCGCGTACGGTTCGGGATGTTCGGGAGACGAGAAGACGCCGTTCGGTTGGGTGAGGACTCCTCCACAGCCGGGAATTCCTTAAAAGAAATGCATGTTTCAATTCTTGAAATCGATTTTTGTATCACAATTTTTGATTTTATTTTGTGGGATAAATGTCACAGGATAAGACTTGAGGGCTCACCCGGCACTTCGGCAAAAGTGATGTGAAACCCGGCATCCGTAGAAGAACCATCGGAATGAAAGCGGATTGAGAGAAACGCACCGGACGAGACAATCGGCGGTGGGAGGATCGTATTACAGTAATATGCGAGACTGGGTGCGTTCTCTTCGAGGCCGTCTCGAACTTGGAAATAGTCTAAAAATATAGGGAAATTAGTTTTATATTTTTTTTACAAAATTTTTAAAGTAGGACTCGATCAGTTATCACCAAAATCATCACATTTTTAATCATTTATCGACTCTGGGAATTTATTTTAAAATTCTGGCAGTAAGATTTGTAGTCAGTAAGTTAATAAATAGAATTGTGGTGATTTTTTTTAATCCAGTTCAAGTCGAAACTTTCGACGAGTTCTTATTTTTCTGAAGGCTTATTAAACTTGAGATTTCCTAACTCTCTGCTCTATGAATTTGTCGTTAAGAATTAAAAAAAAATTAGTTCCTAGACCCGAAAAATTATTTAAAATGTGGTGATTTTGACGAGAGTGAGAGTCATTATCGACTCAGTTTTTATCCCTACCGAACGTGCAATTAGGATGAGATTCTATTCGAAATGTGGCAAACACGAGTTGAATCCGTTTTCCGGGATTGACCGCAATCTGCCATTCGCAGTCCCGATTGTGCGGATAATTTCCAGGATAACCGGGCGAATTGATGGAACCGTGCGTCTTATTTGTGATATAGCCACCACACACTGCAATTAATTATAATTATTAATAGTTACTTAATTAATTGGTTAATTAATTCCGCACCGGGGCTGGTCGTATTCCACGTGAACTCAAACCCCAATCCGACAATGCTATGGTCCGAGGAAAATTTGATGTAGAGAGATTCATGCGTTGATATGACGGAGCCCCCGTTGGGCAGCACGTCGCCACAATAGCGACCCAAAAGTGGGGCAGATTGGTCAGCTCCGTCCAAAATCTGGGGACAAAATGAGAAATTATTGTATGTCAAAGTCAAAAGAGTAATTAATTATCTGTTAATCTTGAAAAATATTTAAATTTTCTTCAAAATACACAAACTGACTTCCAACTTGTTCTAACATTAAATTTGTTCACCTTCGTCCACACAATTTTTTATTACGTGAAACTATTCACTTAAAACATAACAAATACGTAATGCACTCAAACTGGAGGTATCCCAGCGTATGCGATCCGATTTTGGGCAAATTAGTGTCAATCGAGAACAAATTTAATTGGTATGAAATTTGCGACAGACACGATCTCCCAATGGGAGAAATATTTGCAGGAGAAAATGTGCAGTAAATTTAGAAATTATAACATTTATCGACTTTAAGACACGTTTTCTCCTGCATTTTGTAAAGGTATTGTTTAACGCCGTTTAAATTATTTTAGGTAGTCGTGATAAATTAGTTTGCAAGTTAGATGAATTGTACAAGTTTGTAATTTGGTACACTAGGTAAAAAACTTTGGATGACAGTGCAGGCCATTGTAGCCCCTTACTCAATTTTCAATTTTTAATCCGTCTGGGTCCGAAGTTCGGACTCCGAAGTACTCCGAACTCATGAACAAAATCCAGTTTTACAAAAGACACGATACCTTTGGAGCAAATATTTGCATACGAAGAAGAGAAATCGACATTTAAAGTTGCCAAATTTTACACTTTCCAAATTTCCTAATTTGTAATCGATTGACTCTAAGTGCTCAAAATCGGATCGCATCCGCTGGGAGACCTCGATCCATTATTATTGCAAATTTCATCCTAATTAAATTTGTCATCGATTCGAACTAGTTTCGTCAAAATAGGAGAGCAAACGCTGGGAGACCTCCATTCTTAACTTGACAACAATTAATAACTAGATTATGTATTTACGCACGGTGAGCGAATCATGTGGACACGCCCCGTCTGGATATCCCTCCAAGTGAAACCGGCTGAACGTGAGGTTGAAAACTTTGCCAATTTCCGTCCTCATGGTCCACACGCAGTTCATATTGTCCATGTAGAGATCAGGGTTCGTGTCATGCGGAAAGCTAAGCCGACCTTGATCCGTGGCCAAAACTCCGCCACAAGATTGGACCTGATCTTGACAAAATTCCCCGGTAAAATCGGATCCGCATGTGCAGGTGAAGCCCGAAGTTGTGAGAGGGTTGGGGGAACAGACGCCGTTGTTTTGACACGGTGAGGGTTGCACGAGGCAAGGATTTTGTCGGGTGGAGCATGTTGGACCTAAATAATGAATAAAACACGGGTAGAATTTTGCAGGGGTCAAATTAATTAGTCATCAATTATTATCAGAGGGCGGTTATGTATTTATTTTCATCTGATGACGACCGATGGTCAAACTTTGTGGATGCATTCTCTAACTCGCATAGATCGCAAAAATTTCAAAATATTTTCACATATTGCTAAATATTTCTAGGTTTTCAGGCGTATAAATATTTCCGCTATTATTTAGGAAATACGTAGATATTTTACATATTTTTTTTCAAAAATTCATACATTTTGTAAATATTTCAACGATGCGAGACAAATTTTTTGTGCTCAAAGAAATTGGACCGCAAAAAATCCAGGTCCTTATATTGAGAAATACAAATTTTGTGGAAATTCTTTTTGTCCTACATATTTCGTAACTTTTTCAGCGATTTTTCGTAAATATATAACCGCCCTCTGATTATTATCACATTACTCACCAGAAAACCCGTTGAAACAAATGCACGTAAAAGCGTTCCCGTGTGGTTGACATATTCCCGAATTTGCACAGGGACTTGGAGGCCCGCATGGATTTGGAGGGCCAACTGCAGAACCACCCCCACCACCGGTCCCACCATGCGGAAAACATCCATGAAGTCCCATCCCAGTCCCCGTGTATCCCGCGGGACACAAACATTGCACGAAACTCTGGCCGATCACTAAATCATAAAAAATTATGATGACAACATTTGCAAAATTAAAATAAGAATGGATATCTCCCAGCGTATGCTCTCCGATTTTGAGCAAATTAGTGCGAATCAATGAAAAATTTAATTAGTACGAAAGACACGATCTTCCAATGGGAAAGTTTGGCCGAGATATTTGCATCCGAAGAGGAGAAAACGCGCAGTATATTTGTAAAGTGCAAAATTTATCGACTTTACAGCACGTTTTCTCCTCTTCGGGTGCAAATATCTGTGCCAAACGTGTCCATTGGTAGGTCGTGTCTTTTACTAATTGCATCCTAATTAAATTTGCAATCGATTGACGTTAAGTAATTTGCTCAAAATCGGAGAGCATACGCTGGGAGACCTCCATTTGCATAAATTTTACCCGGATTTTCTGCACATCTCGCCATCGGATGACACCCTCCATTATTGACGGCGCAGAGACCAACGTACTGACAAACGATGCCATTTCCCATGTAGCCCGGAGGACATTCTCCACACGTTCGAGATCCAGGTGTGTTGATGCATTGCACCATCGGGTTCATGCTGCAGCCTCCGTTACCCACAAGGCACTCGTTGACGTCCATGCAACGGTGACCATTTCCGGTGAAGCCTGCATTAGAAATGAATTATTATAAACATACCTGTTCAAAAATTTAGTTTTCATTCAAAAGTCAGTCATCTCAATTTCTGATTGATGATTTTCATTCACATTCAGTCATTTTCTTTCAAATTCATTTCATTTCACTTCATCTGACTTCATTTCTTACTTCGCCCCATGTACTAAGCATAGGGTGAAAAATGAAATGAGTGAGAAATCTTTCATTCACAGTCACTCATCAGAAATGACGGAATCCTTGAGTCATTCACAGTCACTCATCAGAAATGACGGAATCCTTGAGTCATTTTCATTCACATGAGAGGAAATTCATTTTCATTCACCATCATAATCAATCAAATGAATGAAAGTGAACAGGTATGATTATAAATACTTATGTAGTGTTTTAGGTGCAAGTGCAGAATCACTTTCAAGAAATAACTGAGAGAAAGTGTTTTTTTTGCAGGTATTTTGACCTGCAAGAAATGCTCGGCGCAAGAAATGACGCTAAATTTGTGTGGCTGAATGGCCCACATTTCTTGCACTTTCTCACAGTTTCTTGCACCCTGAATTTCTTACACTTTCGCAGTGCAAGAAATGTAAGTTGTAAACCCGCAAAAAAAGAAACGCTGTGTGTTATAGAAATAGATAATAAATTTCATGAATTTTAGAAATTTCGGGAATTTCATTAATGTTGTAAATTTCGAAATGAAATTTCTTAATTTCCTAAATGTTCTTAATTGGTTATGAAGACTCATACTCTTTCATCTATCATAAAAATATATAAATGTTTGTTCTCGCAAATAACATAATCGTCGTTGTCGTCTTACAAATCTGATTTTGTTGTAAATTTCATGAATTTTGTGGTTAGTTTCAAAGATTTTATGAATTTTTTGAGTTTTCTGAATTTTGTAAAGTTCTTAAATTTTGTGAATATTATAGATTTTGTTAATTTTGAACATTTACGAATCACTTACAATGGAACCTTTTTTCAAGCGACGCTAGGATTGTTTAACAAGTTATATAAAAAAAATCAGGCCAAAAATTACGGATCACATGCGGCGCTTATCATTCCGTTGAATGGCTCCTTTGAAGAAAAATATTGGTTCAAAAAAAGTTCAATTTTTTAGTAAATTTTATCTCCCTTTTCCCCTCGAGGCGAAAACCAAGGCGATCGGGGGGACTTTGACCCCGATATTTTTCTTCAAAAGGGATATTCAACGAAATGATAAGCGCCATGTGATTCCTAATTTTTGGCTTGATTTCTTGATATAACTCGTTAAACAATCCTCGCGTAGCTTGAAAAAAGGTTCCATTGTTGATGAATTTTGTGGACAAGCTTTGAGCTCATGTAGCGCATCTTTCTTGGAGTTTCTTGTACCTCGAATTTCTTGCGTGGCTTGTTTCGCAGTGCAAGAAATGTTGCAAAACCGCAATAAACTGATCATAAATAACCAGGTTTCTGGTAAAATATGTGATGATCTCTGGTAAAATATTTGTGTATGTACCTGCTGGACAAGGCCCGCACATGTAGGATCCCGGCGTATTGATACAGTTCACGGGAGGATTGGTTGAGCATAAAGCGTGACCCGTGTCACATTCGTTCACGTCAACGTTACACGCTGGACTGGATCCGTCTGTTTTCCAACCCTGCAAAATAATTAGTAAGTCAATCAAAGTGCGTTATATTGCAAAAATAAAATGCATAACTTCTCTTACTTGGTCACACATGCAGATAAACGGTCTGGCTCCGGAGGCTTGATTTATACAAATTCCATGCCCGCAAAGCTCCCACGCTGGACCAGAGGAACAATCGCCTTGACGTTTCGTGCAGTGAATCCCCATCCATCCGGGGCGACATTGACAACTGAAATTTAATTTGAGTTTCGTTAATAAAAATAAGTAATTCATTGATAAGCGATTAACTCACTCATATCCGCCCGGCTTATTGAGGCACGTGGCTTGATTCTGACATCCTAAATCTGTCCCAGCAAAGTTGGCGCATTCGTTGGTGTCTTGTTCGCAGGTGGGGCCCTGCAAAAAATAATAATTTGCACATATGTATCTTTCGCGAATTAATAAATAGGCAGTTGGCAAACACACGTTTTTAAAATTTCCGTAACTCTCTTTATCTCTTGAGTAAGCCCAAAATGTTCGGAATTTTGATCTTGAATTTTTCTTTAGTGATCTTGATCTCTGAACATTTTTCAAACTGTGTCCGGAAATTTTTAACGCAACTCAAGAGATAGCGAGAAAATTATGGAAATTTTAAAAAGGTAGGTTTTCGAAATGCTTAATAACCAAATCTCGCACCTCCCAACCGTCCCGACACCAGCAAAAGGGTCCGAACGCTGTGGGGATGCATGATCCCCCGTGACTGCAAGGATTACTGGAGCAAGGATTCCTCCCTCCGCCACCACCTCCACCCCGAGCAAGGCGATTTTCCAACACTTCCACACGTGAGGTCAAACGGCGGAGGCGATTATTCACAGAATTTCGACGAGATCCGTCCTCCGTTTGTTGCGTTTGGGTCGAATTGAACAAAATTTGTCGCTCCACATTGGTCAATCGTGTATCCAAAGTTTCCACTAGATTGAGACGGTACATTGTCTATTTCAAAAAATTCGATAAAAAAATAAAATAAAAAAAATTCATATAAATGCCACAATTGTATAATTTTGTTTTTTAAATTTTTAAGCAGGTAGCAAACCCATCTTTTTTAAATTTCCGTAACCTTTCCTATTTTCTCAGTCGGGTCAAAATTTCCGGAGACAATCTTTAAAAAATCTTGCAAATAAATTATACATCAAGCAAAATGTCCTTTGATACCGATATAAATTTATCAAAAATATTTAAAATGTTCAGAGGACCCTGAAGAGTAATTTCAAAATCGGTTTGTGGAAATTTTAACCCAACTCAAGAGATAGGGAAAGTTAGGGAAATTTTTGAAATTTTTGGTAAGCAAAGATTTCGACCTGTTCTAACGACGCGATTCGCTGCGACAAACCAGCCGAAGAGTTTGACGGTGAGCCAAAGATTTGTTTGAAACTGTCCAAATCTCTGGTGCTATTTCGGACCTGAATACAAAAATTGAGATGAAATTTGCGTAAGATTTTGAAAAAGTGGTATCAAATTTTAGAAAAAAAACGACTCACCGAAGATACCAAACTTCGCATTTCGATCTCGTCAAACAGTATTTTTCCGTCACCGTTCGACGCCAATACGAGATTCCTAATATAAATATAATAACCGTGGACAAAAATAGGTTAAATGAAAATGGCCAAAATCTGCACATTTTTAGTCATTCTGAGCGACAAATTTGTAATTCGTAAGTTGATTAATGGAATGGCAGCAAGTTTTTGAAGCCAGTTTCGACGAGCTCCAATTTTTCTGAAGGCTTCTTAAGCCTGAGATTTCCTCCTTCGAAAAGTGTCAAAATCTGGAGTGTATATTTTTTTAATTGGCAACTCTCCTTGCTCTACCAATTTGTCGTCCAGAATTTTAAAATAAATTTTCAGAGGCGAGAAACGATTAAAAATGTCCTGATTTTGACGATTTTAGCGATGAGTCATTAAATCTGTTAATAATAGATTAATTATTTAAAGCTAACCTTCCTTGTGCCGGAACAATGTAAATGTTCCCATCTTCAATGTAGATTTGTGGTCTGAAAAAAAAATAAATAGATAATGGGTTATCTTTTACTTAAGATAACTCTACACGATTTAAATATTTACATACTGTGAGAGTTGATAATTAATCTGCACTCCGCCACAAGTTGGCAACGCCCTAAAGAAGAGGAAAATACCCACGAAAAGAGGTACCGAAGAAGAAGATGCTGCTGCAGAACCACCCATTTTTATTTTGTATCCCTTAATTAAACCATTATTTAAAAAATCCAACAATGACTCAATTTCTGATAAGGTGGAATCCAGATAAGAAAAAAAAACTGGTGATGATATTATGTGATCAAGTTCAATAATGCAAAAGTGTTAATGAACAACTAAACTAAACTAAATTTCATTCATTATATTGTTGAACTGGAATCTTGCTGGTTTTTACTAATAATCCATCAATCCTGTCAAAAAATGGTCGGTTCAGTGATATCGGATCTGTTTTTAGGGGAAAATCTATGGTGCAATTCCACCCAAAAGCAGACGAGCCGAAAGAGTGAAGAGAAGAATTACGCCCAGATTTAAGTATCCGATTTCTTCACTCAGAGTACATAAGTACGTGAATGGAATCTGTGTAAAAATGAGTAGTTTTTAAAAACTCTATTGTTAATATTCTGCATTATTTCGCCATTTATTTACTTATTTTGTCATATTTTTTTGTACGTATGAATATAGTTGATTGGTAGAAAAATGCTTAATATTTAAATGAGACAAGGTGCGCTACATATTTATCTATATGTACAATGCACGTCTAAAGAATTGTTTTGTAGTCACGTGACGAGATTAATTGCGCTATAAACTAGCATTGGTCAAAAATACGCACGTATCGTTAATTTAAACTAATTTAAATATATGTGTATGTATAAGATCTAAAAGAGGTTTTAGCTTATCTTATCACTATTTACTATCGTCATCCCTGAGAAAGTCGACCGCTTCTAAGGCCAAGAGTAAATCTTCGTCGTCTTCGTCGCCAAACATGGAGGAGAAATCGTCATCTTGAGTCGCCGGCGGGGTGGGGAGGACCTTTAAATGTGTCATTCAAACAGAACAATTAGAATTTGGTTTTGAACGGACACTTAAGAGCGTGGGTTCGATTTGTGTTGCAATCGTATTTCTGGGAAAGTGAAAAGAAATCTTTAAAAGGAGATGTTGAAACTTCAAGGAATTTTCGAACATTTTCCAGAAAGTTTGAACGTTTCCGGGAATTTTCGAGTATTTTTAGGGTAGCTTTTTTTACGGGATGTGGGAATTTTACGGGATTTTCTGCCCCCATTTTCCGGGAATAAAGCAGAAATCGAACCCACGCTTTAAACTACAAACTTCATGTAAAAATTAGAATTGATTAGGACAATATTTTCATGAAAGTCAGTCATACCGAGTTTGCAGAAAACGGGCGTGAAAGTGGAGTGGGAGGAGTGAATCTGGGCAAATTTGTGGAATTCTGTGCCCCAAAGAGTAGTGAAGGTTGTTGCGTATTTTTCTTGGTTGCTGCTATCATTTGAATATTTTCGAACTCTTGGAGAGCAGTTTGACTACAAAAATCGGAAAACACCAAGAGTCTGATGCCATCCTTGTTTTCCGTGATTTTTGGCGTATTTTCGTCCCCACTTCCGGGTGAGTGATCATTCGTCCTGCTGATCGGGGTTGATTTACGACTCACAAATTTGATCTTTTTTTCGCAAGGGACAACTTTTTCCGGTTTTTTGAGAGATGTGACACAAATTATGTTGCTCTTGTTCACGACGAGAATTACTTGGGCTCTGAGAGGGATGAAACGTGCCTAAAAAATGGGATTGAATTAATTATTAGTCAAATTTTCCAGTTAAAAAAAGCATTGGAAAAATGGAATTGAAATTTTGAAATTAAAATTTTTAAAGATTAAAAAATAAGATGTGTTTTTGTCACATTTTTCACGGCGATTCCCGTCCCTGCCGATAATTCGGAGGCATATTCTTCCACAAAAGCGGAGTCCAAGGCCGCCACGATACTTCCGGAACAATCCATGAGTCGAAGGCTGGGATTTTTCTGTTTGCCGGAAAGTGCTTGTTTTTCTGCTAATACTTCCGGTTCTTCTTTTACGACGAGGGCAAGAAATGGGATTTTTGTCTCGATTGTTAATGACTGATGGGAAAAAAGAACAATTATTTATTAGCGTATGGCCGGCCAAAATCGTAAAAGTCAGCACATTTTTTTAAATCATTTCTCGGCTCTGGGAATTTATTTCAAAATTCTGGATGAAAAATTTATAGAGCAGGACGTTCCCAATGTTTAAAAAATATAAACCCCAGATTTTGAAAGTTTTAACGAAGGAGATCTCAAGTTTAAGACACCTTTAGAAAAATTTGTACTCGTCGAAACTGCCTCAAAAAACTCACGCCATTCTATTAACCAACTCACTCACCACAAATTTGTAGTTCAGAATTTTAAAATAAATTCCCAGAGGCCAGAAATTATTAAAAACATGCTAATTTTGACCATTTGGGTTGGGGGTAGGTCATCGACATTAATTAATCAATCAATCATGCAAAATTACAATTAACTCACCGCATTTTTGAGCCAGTCGACATTCATCTTATTAAGTATTCCGTCCGGGTCGTTCGGATTTAAGTGGAGATGTTTCACCAACTCTCGCCAAGGTCGTTTGTCCATCTTGTAAACTTCTTGATTTCGTCCAGGTGGCGATAAATTTCTGGTTTTTTTACCTCCCAAAGTGGACTCTGACACGGTGTCAGACCATTTCGAAGGGGACGAATTGTTCTTTGATAACCGCACCCCGGCGGAAATTATGTTTGAGATTTGTTTCCTCAAGTCGGACGAGGGATTTTGTAAGAGGGGGGCTTCATCCGGGCGAAGAACCGGAAGTAGACCGGCTGGACCGGGGAAGCGTTGATTGACCGGTTTAAACATTTCTTCCAAAGTGGAACAATCCTTGTCCCAAGTGTTGAAAAATGCTCGTCGTGCGGATGTCATGGTGTAAATCGGTTTAGTTAAGTGGGTGTGGTTGTGGGGTGATTAATTAATTCAACCTGAATTATAATTTGTAATTAATTATTATTGATGGTTGAATTGCGAGAAAAAGTGAAAAACGTCAAGAGAAGAGAAAAAGGAACCTTTTTAAAACCACTTTAGGTGGGTGTGGTTGTCGGGTACTTAATTAATTTGACCTAAATTGTAAATTAAAATTTTTAATTAATTATTAGTGATGATTTAACTGCGAAAAAAGTGAAAAGCGTCAGGTAAAAGAGAAAAAGTAACCTTTTTAAAACCACTTTAGGTGGGTGTGGTTGTCGGGTACTTAATTAATTTGACCTTAATTGTAAAATTGTAATTAATTTTGACGGTTGAATTTTGGAGAAAAACGTGACAAGAGAAAAAGTAACGTGCGAGAGCGAGTTTCCGCCTGGATTTTTGATCACAAAATATCGTCTCAAGTTTGACTCTGTCGCTCATCATTTGTTTATGGCTTATCAAACCTTGATAATGAAATGATAAGACTGATTTAGTCACAAAATTTATATTTATTTATGGAAAAATACAGAAGAAGACATAATAATTTAAAATAACTGGAATTAAATCACTTACTAAAATACCTGGATATGATCTTTTTGGTTAAAAATATTTCCTTTTATTCAAAATTTTCATTATTGGAATTTAACATAAGCAAAACAAAACACGAATTTGATTTTCAACTTATCTACATGCAATCGTGTCGTTTCGATGAAAAATATTTCTTATTGAAATTTATCAAACAAGACATGAATTTGATTTCCTGATTTATTTATCTTCTTAATTTTTAATTATTATTGGGTGTGTCCCAAGTCTTTCATTTTTTGCTCCATTTTTGCAAAAGCTTCGATGTACTTTCGTTTCGCGTCGGTTTTGGACATGTCGCCGAGTTCGTTCCACGCGTCCCATTTTGCTTTTCCGGTGAGGTCGAAAAATCCTGGGCGTGAGGTGTCACAAGGTCCCACCGTCGCTTGTTTGTAGAGGCTGTAAAATCTCAGTTTTTCTCCATTCGAGGGTTGATATGGACCTGGAAAAAGGTTACAAAAAAGTTCAAAATTGAAGTTCAAAATTTTATAAATTTTTTAATTACCTTCTTTCGGCAAATTCTGCACGAGCTGAACAACTCGTTCGAATTCAGCGTCTAATTCGGCGTCCTCACTCATGATGAGATAATAATATATTGAATTTAATTTAATTGAATTTAATTATAATTTGAGAAAAAGTTAATGAAAATAATTAAGGATTTGACGATGAGAATAAATAAATAACCCTGCGTGTTGGATGGATAGTAAAGTTTAAATGCATTAATTAATCCTGTAATCATGCCACCCTTGAACTTGACCTCTTTCTTTTTTTACATTCTCACAAATATACAAGTCAGGAATGGCACATTAAGATAAGGAAATTATTATGAATGGTTAATAAAATCTCGTTGATATCACACGAAATAAATAAATATAAGAAATCCTTTGTGTATTATTGTCACTTAAATATCTCTCAATTGCATTTTTATAAAACTGTGACAATCATATATAGGAACGATTAACGCTTTAATAAATTTATGTTCGTCAGACACGTTTGTCATCAATTATATTAGGAAACGCATAAAATATTTTGCATTTCGAAATAAATATCATATTCTTCACCAGCCTGCCATCATTTGCATTAAGATGGCATCATCCTCGGCAGAAACGTCAAAAGCGTCGTCATTATTTTCAGTATTTTTTGAAGTGGATGCGGTAAAATAGTCTTTAATTTGTTTCTGTTGACCGGTTTGGCTCAAGTTTGATGATGATGACGAGGTGTCCATCACATTATTTTCAGTACTTTTTGAAGTGGAGCTTTCCATTTTGGTGAAATAGTCTTGAATTTGCTTCTGTTGAGAGGTCTGGCTTAAGTTTGATGATGATGAGGTGTTCATCATCGCAGCGGATGAGAAGTAACCGGTTGCTGTAGCGTCGTGGAAGTTATCTTTGCTGAGACCGGCTTCATTCAGTGTGTTGAGCTTGACTTGCACCATGGGCCAGAGAACGTCGTCAGCGGTTCCCTTAGCGAGCAGGTATTCTACCACGACGCTGCCTTCTTGGCCGATACGGTGGGCGCGGTCTTCGGCTTGGGTGAGAATCTGGAAAAGAAAGAAAGGATTTTATTTATATAATTTTTTGATAAATGTTTGTTCATATTTTACGCACGCCAGGGTTCCAATATAGTTCAGCGAATACGACGAGGCCTGCGGCGGTGAGGGTGAGTCCAGAATTAGCAGCCATGATTGATCTAATTTCATAGGTTGAGTATCATTAATTAGTAAATTATCGTAAGATTTGGCTAATAATGGAGGTCTCTTCGCGTATGCTCTCAGATTTTGAGCAAATTGGTGTCAATCGATTGCAAAAATTAGTATGAAATTTGCAAAGGACACGATCTCCTAAATTGTGAGATCGTGGAAGACCAAAAATCGCATTTTTTTCTCACTTTTTGCGCATATTTTGATTCTTCCTGAAAATTTTTGAGTGTGAAAGTTGGGATTTTTTTATGTAAAAATGATTTACTCATTAATACCTACAATTTGGTATATGAGTCGACCCTAGGTCATTTACATTAAAAACAGGGAATTATGGTACCATACGGTAGGTAGGTGGTTACAGGTAGCGGTACACCCCTGCTCCCAATGGACACGTTTGGCAGAGATATTTGCATCCGAAAAGGGAAAACGCCCAGTAAATTTGGAAAGTGGAAAATTTGTCAACTTTCGGGTGCGTTTTCTCCTCTTCGGATGCAAACATTTCCGCTAAACATGACCATTGGGGGATTGTGTCCTTTGCAAATTTCATCGTAATTCAATGTGTGGTCGGTTAACACGAATTTGCTCAAAATCGGATCGCATATACGCTGGGAGATTTCCATTCTAAATAAGTGCACGTACAATACAGCGACACGAATATCATCCCGAGATTGAAACTGATCCGCGCAATATTGACGATCTTCAGAACTACTATTTCCATCAATTCTAATATATCTAAACGAAAATCAAATTACAAATAAAAATCAAATTTAATTTTACAATTTGGCACTAAATCCTTATTCTCAACTCACTTGCATTTTACACTCTCTAAATACTCACAAATTCCATCAATTAATGTTCTGTGATGGGCGAAACATATGAACTTTTTCCCAGCTTCGACTAAATCGCTGATGTAAGAACTGTAAATTAATTAATTAATTATAATTAATTAGTGAAAATTTACATAATTATGATGCGTAATTTATTTAAATAAGTACCTGACTGCGGGCAGCTTAACTTTGGCCGACTCACTGTAATACTCGAGTAATCTTTTTCTCTTCTCAGCTTCACCAATTTTTAAGTGCTTCCCGTCATTGAAGGCTTGTGCTTTTGCTTGGAGCTCTCTACTCGTCAACTTGATGTGAATAGAGTCCAAAGATACAAGTTTTCTGAAAACAAAATAAAAACATTATGAGCAATTTTGAAACTTAAAATTCGACAGTGAATTTGAAATATTTACCTAAATTTTGGAGGTAATTCTTTTAATACTTCAGATTTTAGGCGACGAATCATAATTGTCTCTGCCAGCACTATGTTCAGTTCTTGCATATCTATTAATGATAATTAGTTAATTGAAACAGATTATAAATAATGACAAATAATGACTAACAATGGAGAGCTCGCAGTGTATACTCTCAGATTTCGAGTAAATTAGTGTCAATCGATCACAAATTTGATTAGTACGGCATCTTCAAATGACGCGATCTCCCAATGGTCAAGTTTAGTAAGGATATTTGCATCCAAGGAGGAGAAAACGTGCCATAAATGCAAAATTTGTCAACCTTCGGGGGTGTTTTCTCCTCTTCGGATGCAAATATCTCTGGCAAACCTGAGCACTGGCGGATGCAAATATCATGTTAATTTTTGTGATTGATTGACACTAGTTTGTTCAAAATTTGAGATAACACGCTGGGAGACCTGGATTGTAAAAATTTGCAAATCTTTCATTGTTATGCAAAAACATACTCGATGATCCCGAATAATCCCAACCATACGAACTCTTCTTCCCATTACAATAGCGAATCCCAAAGTCATTCATTCTAAACGCATATAATACAAAATTATGATAAAAATTAGGAAAACCTTCCCCAGAAAAATTAAGTGCCTTGATTTGCCTTACGAAAACATGTATTTACTAATGGCCGTAATTTGAGGGAAAAGTTCTATCGGTCTGGACAAGGCTGGCGTTCCGCTGAGGAGCATGACGCGTTTAGCATTTTGTAAAATTGGTAAGGCAGCTTTGGTTCGGGCAGTTTTGAAGTTTTTTAAATGGTGGGATTCGTCCTACGGAACAAAAATATGTGATAAGTCTAAATTAGATAAGTGAAAAAAGCTAAGTATTAATTTTTCCATACAATTATGACGACTTTAAACCCAGAAAATTCCTCGTGTCTCCGTTGTAACAGATCGTAACTGACAATGACAACTTTGGACGACTTGAAGGTATCCTTCCCCGTTTCTAGGATGGTAATTGAACCGCCAGGGATGGTGGGGAGCCATTGGAAAATAGATTCTCTCCATTTGTACCTAAAATTATAAATGCATTGTACATTAATTAAATATTCAAATTCGACAGGAAATACTGCAGGGATGGGAAAAGGACTTTGCCAAAATGCAATATTTTGAGCTCCGTTTCTTCCTAGGGTTTAGATTTCCTTCCATGGCTGTTACGCCCACAAAAAGACGAAAATCTACGTGGAGAAGACAACAATAGTTCGAAAATTCAGGCTTTGTGAAGAAATTAACTTTCCATCGCTGTCAAAATGCATCGTTTTCACGATTTTTTTAAAAATAAAGTATTTTGACAGCGATAAAACGAAAATTTCTCCAGAAACATGTATTTTTGCATGACTGTTGTATTCCCCACGTGAAGTCTCTTCTTTTTGTGGGTGTAACAGCTCCGGAAATCCAAACCCTGACAAGAACGGAGCTCAAAATACACTATATTTTGGCAAAGGTTTTTGTCCACTTCTGGGAGATGTTTAATTGACAAATTACCTCATCGACGACGGCGCCACGATTAAGAGGGGCCAATCTTCCAGATAATAGTGTGCAATTCCCAACGCTTGAATTGTCTTGCCCAGTCCCATATCATCCGCGATGAGGACGCGACCATTTCTTTTTATCCCGAAAATAACGCCTTCCTTCTGAAACGGAATAAGGGCCCGGACGAGAATCGGGTCGATGGAGGACAGGTCGACGTCATCATTGTTACTTTGAGGCGATGAAGTTCGGCACATCTTTAAATACCAAAAATAATATTAATTAAACAACTTTATTAACGTACGACTCGATGACATATCACCAAAATTGTCAAAATCAGCACATTTAAAATAATTTCTCAACGCTGAGAATTTATTTAAAAATTCTAGACGACAAATTCATAGTCAGTGAGTTGATTAATGGAATGTCGGTGAGTTTTTTGAGCCAGTTTCGACAAGTTCCAATTTTTCTGAAGGCTTATTAAATTTGAGATCTCCTCTTTCAAAAAGTGTTAAAATCTACTCTACAAATTGTCGTCCAGAATTGTAAAATAAATTCTCAGAGACGAGAAATGATTAAAAATGTGCTGATTTTGACGATTTTGAGGATGAGTTATCCAGCTCTGCGATAATTAGAATAAATAAATTCTGTAAAAATGACCAACTTTCAAAACGGTTGACGGTAACCATCCCACAGCCACCGAAGGTTTCAAACATTCCATCGAGGAGACGAGTTTGGCATGTTCGGATACCGGAAAGTTCCACGTTTTACTTTGCGGACCTGCAAAATACGAAACTTCTTTTTAGTCATAATTAGTTAATTACATTGCTAATTAAATCGTGGATAAACTCACTGTACTGTGCGCCACTTATACTCTTAAATATTGCAATGGCTTGCTGATGAAAGGTCATGTCCACTTTAAATCGATCCCTTGTAATTAACGAAGCCACCCCGGAAATAGGTTTCGTCCCGAACGGTGGCGGCGGAACTTTTGGCGTTGGTCGGGATGACGTCGAGGGCGTTGGGGCACCATCGGTTTTTGGAGGGACATTATTAGTTGTACGATAAAAATTTTGTGCAGGTGTCGTCGTCGTCGAAAGGTTACTTCGATTCTGTGAAATAATTAATTAAATAAATTACGGTTTAATTAAATTGTACAAACAATTGGTCAGGTGTTTAACTTGCCTCGAAAGGTGCCTTAGGGGTTGGGGGTGGTTGTTGACCTATCGACCTTATCGTAGCGTTATTATTTTCGCTTTTCGCCGCTCGCAATTCTAACGCTCTGCGACGATTCTCCTCAATCCGGCGACGTTGTTCTTCCGTTAATGAACTCATGATTGTGTTAATTTAACATTTAATTGTTACAAAATATAGTTAACTAATGAGTTAAATATTTTAACTGTTCTCAAACAAAACAAGGAGAACAGAACAAGAACAGAGAACACAAAAACTGTGCCGAGAAATTGGAAACTGGTGTTTTCGTGCCATCGTCTCCCGCAATATCGGAAGTCTCATCACAAAGTAGGAACGTTTGCTTTGTTCATGTTTTTTGATGAATTGTTTATGATAATTGCAAATTAATTAGTTCCAAATTTTATGAAATTTTGAAATTATGTACAATAAATAAAATAATTTTATGAGTGATTGCTCCATTTGCAATTAACGGGTCCAAATAATTTTTCGACATATGTAATTGCGTCCATACCCATATTACTAATTTTCGTTTTATTAGATAATTTGCAATTTATCACATCTTTCTATTTATCGCCTACAATAAAGCGTGCAAAATGCAAATACATTTAGTTTTCGAAATTGCATGCAAATCTGATGAGAAATTGGGAAATTATTACATAGCGATTTTAATTTGTTCCAAATTGTGCAAATCTTGTATTTTACTAATTTGCGAACTAAATTAACTCACACAACTTTCAATTCAGAATGCAAATTAATCCCCCAAGCAGCCTCGATGAATAATACTTAAGAGCCTCCTCAGAACATCAATTTATTCGCCAAAAGTAATAAATTACAATTAAAATTTACAATTAAACTGGCAACATTCGCGAAATACTTTCCCTCTTATTATTCTTAATAATAACTCCAACTCCACCACTCGTCGTGCTTGTGGTCGTCTCCCTCCGCCAATTCGACGTGGCCTCCGCTCCATCCCCAATGGTCGATCGGCGTCCCCCCTTCGTCCCTCCCCCCGCAGAAGTTCCGCCCCCATGACCTTGACCTTGCCGTCCCCCTTTCTTCCCACAAGTGACCCGCTCCACCAACATATTCCAAACTTTCAGCTTAGCATCAAACCCGAAAAAAATGAACGTTCCTTGCAACCCGTTCACCAAAACGAACGGATACCACAACCATTCCCATTCAGAAATCCCGCTGAGAAAGCCCAGGATCCACGTGACCCCCATTATCACGCCGAGCTTCATGTACAACTTCATCCGCTGGACTTCCGCTTCCGAAGAGGAGGAAGTCCGTCGACTGCAGGGGTCAGGGCTGTTTTTAGTCTCTTGACCGCCATTGTTCCTCTTGTTCTTGTCCTCCTTGTCACCGTTAAAAACCCGCTGCGCGTCCCGACTCTGGCGCAGGATGGCTTGCGCGGTCCAGCCGAAAAGGAGGATATTCAGCGCGATCAGGATGACGGCGGGGAGCGCGAAAAACAGGAAGAGCGCGACCCCCTGACCAATCCAGCAGAGGTTGTTGTGCCCGTAAAGAGGCCGGATTAGTCGGAGGGAGGATTCTGAAGAGTCCAATTCGGCGAAGAGGAAGTCGATGGAGGTGGAAATGGAGAGGATGAGGAGGGGCGCGCCCCAGGCGTAGAGAGAGTATTTTAGGAAGAGGCCGGAATTTCCTGTAATGAGGGGTTCTGGTTCATATTAAAATTTTATAAAAATGAACACTGTTGAGGGAGGAGAGATGGCACGGTGGGGTCGATTCGGAGATAAGCGTGAGGATAAGAGAGGGGTTATCGGTTTAGGAAATGTGTCGGTTCGAGAGTATTGGTTAAAACTTAAACGACACAAAATTTGGGATTATTTTAAAATTAAAATTAACTCGATAGTTCGGTACCCGTTCAAAAGTTGGTGAAGCTAAAAGTTTCCGAAATCCTAATTTTTTATACGATTTACTATCTGAATTGTAGAGACTTATTCGGAGATAAGCGTTGATAACACGGGTTATCGGGTTGGGATTTTTGGATAAAATATAACCACCCAAAATTTGAGGCTATTTTAAAATTGAAATTAACTCGATATATCGGTAGCCTTTCAAATCTCAAAGTTTCCGAAATCCTGAGATAAGATGGGTTATCGGTTTGGGAAATGTGTCGGGAGAGATTTTTGGTTAAAATTTAACCCCCAAAATTTGGGATTATTTCAAAATTAAAATTAACTCGATAGATAGTTCAGTTTTAAAAGTTAGTGAAGCTCAAAATTTCCGAAATCCCAATTTTTTATATCGATTTACTCTCTGAATTATAAGGACTTCGATGTTTGAAATATGTCTATAAAATTCATTCAATGATTACGAAACTTTCAAAATTTATAGCATTCACAAAATTTGAAAGAGACACAAAATCAGATTTGTAAGATGACAACGACGATTTAGTTATTTAAGAGCATAAATTTGCATGGCAGATATGTAGATATATATTGTTTGAGTTGAATTCAAATAATTGTTACATTTAAGAAATTAACAAATATGCAAAATTCTTGAAATTCCCTCAATGATTACTAAATATTCAAAATTTATATAAATTTATATAAATTTATAGCATTCACAAAATTTGAAAGAGACAAAATTCATAAAATTAACCAAAAAATCAGATTTGCAAGATGACAACGACGATTTAGTTATTTAAGAGCATTAAGGTTAATAAATTTTCATGATAGATTATGTATACGCCATGATCTAATTCAGATAATTATGACATGATGACATTTAAGAAATTAACAAATATGCAAAATTCCCGAAATTTACGAGATTAATGAAATTCACAAAATTCTTGAAATTGATCAAATTCCCGACACCGACAAAATTCATTTTCGATAACACATGTCTACACTCATCGACCCCACCACGTGCCCCTCGTGACCTACCTGAGGAGGAATGTCGGGTCATAAACTGTGCCGAAAAGGTTCGCCAAATGTCGAAACTCATGACATTCATCCAGAAGAAGGAGGCCAGAAAGAAGTAGTGCATCAGAACGGACGCCGCGACGCAGATCGCCTCCACCTTGAATTAGAAACCAGTTTGTATTAGCTTATATTTGTTGCATACCTGTTCACTTTCATTCATGCGACTGATTATGATGAAGAATGAATGATAGTGAATGAAAATGAAACTACTGTCATTGGAATGATAATGACTGAAGGATTCCGTCGTTTCATATGAATGACTGTGAATGAAAGGATTTTTCACTCATTTAATTTTTCACCCTATGCTTAACGTGGCATTGTATCACGTGGTTTTTTGTTTGAATTGTTGTGTCTCAACTTTCCCTTCCTCCATGTATTCAAATGGCGATTTTGACAAATGTTCACCGCCTTTCGTTTTTAACAATATGAAGATATTAATGCACCTAAAAATCGGTAATTTTTAGGCTTACTAGTTAGGAGATAAAAATTTTGATTTTTTTCTTCAATGAGGAAATATTTAAATTTTATTGATTATTTTTCATGCATTTTATATTTATCTTCTTGTTGAAGAAAAAAATCAAAATTTTTATCTCCTAACTATGTAAGCCTAAAAATTACCGATTTTTAGGTGCATTAATATCTTCATATTGTTAAAAACGAAAGGCGGTGAACATTTTTCAAAATCGCCATTTGAATACATGGAGGAAGGGAAAGTTGAGACACAACAATTCAAACAAAAAACCCCGCATCAGCCAGCATGCTATTCCGCCTTAATACATGGGGCGAAGTAAGAAATGAAGTCAGATGAAGTAAAGTGAAATGAATTTGAAAGAAAATGACTGAACGTGAATGAAAATCTTCAGTGAGAAATCACGATGACTGAACTTTGAATGAAAAAAAGTTTATTTGAACAGGTATGCTTTGAATGAAGAGTGAATTTTTGAACAGGTATGGTCGTGACCTTATAACCTCTACAAGGCCCATCTTCGAACTCATCCGTACTTAGAAAAAAATTAGAAACATGTTACCTTTGCGGTGATGAAGGCGAGGAACAAGAACTGCGAGATGAGGAGGGACAACGTCAAGCAGAACAAGTTCTTTCCGGGCAGGTTCCGTAGTTTGGGGAGGATCACGAAGAGGAGGATGTGCAGGAGGGAGAAGACCACGGAACAGCCCAGCGCCGAGAGGGACAAGTAGTTGAGGACGGGGGAAAAACGGGGGCGGAAGGAGGTCTCGAGGTCTCTGGCGCAGATGGAGATGGACGACTCGTTCCAAACCTCGTACTCCCCGGGGTGGAAGATCAGCGGGGGTGGGGGTGATGACTTCGTGGCGGTTTTGTTCGGGGTGACGAGGACCGAGTTGTTGGGGAGGAGGGTGTACTCAGAATCTGGGGAGGAAGATTGATTAATTAGTGGCTAAAATGGGAAGGAATTGAAATTTTGATTTTTGATATTTCTGAGAATGAAAGTCTCCCAGCGTGTATGCGATCCGATTTTGACCAATTTTTTTGTGGATAGATTAAAAATTTAATTAGTTTGAAATTTGTAGAAGAAACGATCTCCCAATGGGCAAGTTTGGCAGAGGTGTTTGCATCCGAAAAAATTTATCAACTTGGGTCATTTATCACAAAGGTGTTTTTCTCCTCTTTGGATGCAAATATCTCTGCTAAACGTGCTCATTGTGAGATCGTGTCTTTTGCAAATTTCATACTAATTAAATTTGTCATCAATTGACATTAATTTGCTCAAAATCGGGTCGCACATGCTGCGAGACCTCCATCATTAGCTCAGCAAATTCTCGTAAAATCGGTTTTAAACTAGTTTTGTCCAATTTTTGTATGTACAGTCTAGTAAAATTAGAATTTGGCATAATTTTGTGAAAAAAAATATAACGATAAAAATACAACGATTAATTCTTACTTATACATACATCAAATACTCTCATACATCGAATACAATAAATCGTTTCCCCGAAAGCATTTTTATTATGCAAGATCGGAAACCGTATTTTTTCGAAAAAGTTAGGATTAAAGAATTGGGATTTTCATACCGTGCACGATTAGAACGTAACAAGACGAATTTGCATTGTTCTCATTGTCCTGATTATCCAGAGAAGAAGTCGAGTTACTTCCGTCCGTCGGCATCGTATCATTATCCCCCGCGGAAGAACTGGTTTCGTCCGGACCTTGAGGATCTGGGTCCTCCTTTGGTTTGCACTTGCCATCCCCGTGATCCAACTCGTACTCCTTTCCGCACATCGTGGCCGTGCATTTTTGCCGTAAAAAGTCCCACATCGTGTCCCCCGGGCAGGTCGACTCGTACCCCACATAATTCCCCCCGGAGACAAGGTCAAAGTCGAAAAGGAGGCTGAGCCCGGTCGAGTCCAAGCTGGCCCCGGCCGCGCCAGGGGTAATTTTTCCTTGTTGGTGCGTCGTGTTGGGGGACGTTTTCATGCCAGAACCTGGAAAATTTCAGTTAACGTAACGTAGGACTCATTACCAAAATCGTCAAAATCCACCCATTTTCAGTCATTTCTTGGCTTGAAGAATTTGCATAATGTACATATGTAAGTAGCATAATTTACATAATTTATTTATATATTTTCAAATTCCGAACGTTAAATTTGTAGTTACTCACTGACTGCAAATTTATCGTCCAGAATTTTAAAGAATGGTCAAAATCAACGCATTTTTAGTCATTTCTCCGCATCAGGAATTTATTTTAAAATTCTGGACGACAAATGTTCAGTCAGTGATTTGATTAATGGAATGGCGTTGAGTTTTTTGAGCCAGTTTCGACGAGTTCCAATTTTTTCTGAAGGCGTCTTAAACCTGAGATCTCCTCCGGCAAAAAGTGTCAAAATCTGGAGTGTACATGTTTAAAAAATTTGCAACTCCCTGCTCTACAAATTTGTTGTCCAGAATTTTAAAATAAATTTCCAGAGGCGAGAAATGATCAAAAATATGCTGATTTTGATCAGTCATCCGGTCCTACATTAAATTTAACTCTATAAAAGCTTTAACGATATGTATGCATAAAAAATTATGTGCAAGAAGATGCAAAAAATTTTAACATTTAAAATATTTGAATTGAGACATTCATTTTTTGGATAATGATGTAAAAAATGTGGAGGAACAACGCCAATGACAAAATTTGAGACAGTTGACTGTTAACGTTTACCAAGTACAAGATTACCATTCAGACTCATAATACAAAATAAAAATATTAATTGGATGTGCAATTTATGCAAAATTGTGGTCAAAAATCGCGAAAATCTGACTGACCTTCCTTCAAACATCGCAAATCCCACTTTGCATCAATTTTAAGAAGCCTTCAGAAAAATGGGAACTCGTCGAAACTGGCTCAGAAAACTCGACGCCATTCCATTAATCAACTTTCACTGACTGCAAATTTGTCGCTCAGAATTTTAAAATAAATTTCCAGACCCGAGAAATTATTAAAAATATGTTGATTTTGATGATTTTGGTGATGTTGAAATACGTTGAAACATGTATACAAAATTATGTCAAAGAAGATGTAAAACATTGTCAAATCTCAAAAATATTTTCACTATTTGAAAATGTGTGTGTAATTGTGTAAAAATGTGAAGTCTCAACGTCACTGATACAATTTCAGACATTTGCTTCATTTTATTTGAGTTTAGATAATAAGTTCGAAAACAAGGAAGTCAGACTTTATGTAAAATATCTGTAATTTAAGCCAAATTAAGCTTAAAAAAATCGCGAAAATCTGAACTGACCTTCCTTCAAACACCGTAAATCCCACTTGGCATCCAGCCCGTAGCATTCGGCACAATGTGGATTTTTGAACACGTAGCCCGGCCTGCTTTCGACGAGCTGCGTGTAACTGTTACAGAGCGCCGCGACGGTGGGGTTATTCTTGGCGTAGTCTTTGGGACACTTGTCAATCACCTGGCGTCGGCAGTACCGGATCCCAAGGACGGTCTGGTAGAGGAGGCGGGGGTCCAAATCGGGCGACCAAATACCGCATGCGACCGCCTCGGAAGAAGAATTTGCAGTGGAATTTGTTCCTTCATCTAAAAGGATAGATTTATTCAGTGTTTTGTTTCTTGCGGGTGTGCTACGTTTCTTGGACTGGAAAGCAAGAGTGCAAGAAATGCGAGGTGCAAGAAACTGTGAGAAAGTGCGAGAAATATGCGCCATCTAGCCGTGTGAAATATCGCGCGGGACGTCCTTTCTTGAGCCTTGCATTTCTTGCAGGTCAAAATATTTAGTTGCAAGAAACCACTTTCTCCCCCCGTTATTTTTTGCAAGTAGTGTTTCGTTTGTTGCTGTTTTTTGTTACATTTCTTGCACTGCAAAGTAAGAAAGTGCAAGAAATGTGGCATGCAAGAAACTGCGAGAAATGCGCCATCCTGCCACGCGCCGTATGTATGAAGTATTTATAGCGGCGAGGCATAGTTTCTAGCGCCTTGAATTTCTTGCAGGTGAAAATATTTCCCTGCAGGAAACCACTTTCTCCCCGCTATTTCTTGCAAGCGATTACTTCCACCCGAAACGTTGCAATTGTTTTTAAGGGATTTTTTCAGATGTAGGTAAAATTATTGTATTACCTAGAACCCAGACTCTCTTCCCCCTCACGTACTTCGCCCGTCCGACAAACTCCTCCCGTTCGGCGGAAGAATTAAACTTTTTCGAGCAGCGGAGAAAGAGACGCAGTTTGACGAGGTCCTGCGCCCCCAATCCGTTACACTGGGCGCAAAAGATGTTCCTGTAATTAAATAGGGATGTGCCGTCATTGATAATATTATAACATAAAGTACGATCTTTCAGTATATTTTTTATCTCCAAAATCGAAAAGTTTGCATCAATTAGTTTTCATGAAGTTTTCATTAGTGCATGAAGTAGTTCAGCTGTCAACAATCGTCACAGATTTGCATCTACCGTTATCGAATAAATTACGGATTTTGCCAAAATTCTCAAACTGGCATGAAATTATGGCATAGATATTTACGTAATGCTTTTTAAAATTTCATCCACCCAGAAATGCTGCGGTTTTACATTATTGATATAAATTTCAGGAAATATTCAACACTTCCTTAAAAAGACGTTCGAAATTATTTATCATTTCGACTAATTATTTTTTTTTCACATTGATATATTGACATGTCAAATTTCAAATTTGTGACAAATATGACAAGTTGCGAATCATATTTGTCATAAATGTCCAATTTATCCGTCAAGTTAGTCATAAATCTCATATTTGTCATAAATGTCAGTCACACTGGAATTGTGACAAATTGGATGGTCAAATTGACAATTATGACGCACAAATTGGACATTTATAAGAATTTTACGGACAAATTGGTCATTCGTTTATGACAAATATGGCGGTCAAATTGACATTTATGACAAATTGGTCACATATCGGTGACCTTATCACTGACAAGCTCTTTACCTGTAAAGATTGTTCGTCACATTCGACACGACGGGAATATCATGCAAATGAGTATACGCCTCCCCCGGGGTCATCGTCATCGGCGACTCACACGACTTAACGACCCCCCTCTCCACCACCCCCACGGAACTTTTATACTCTTCCGAACACTTGCTGATCATCAGCGCCCACGAATTCTCATGCTGGACGCGGTGACACTTCCACGGATTTCGGTACAACAGGGTCACCGCGATGGTCCAGCAGCAGTCTCCGAACGTGTCGCAGGTCCCCTTGTCGCACCGGCAGTAGTGCGGCTTTTGCGCGAACGAGATAAAATCCGGGCGTCCACTGTCGCAGTTTTCCATGGAGTCGCCGCACGTCCGCCGGAAGTGGGCGGATGTGGCGATGCGGCCACGTGTTTTTCGGGGGGAGGAGGAGGAGTTAGTTTCGGAGGAGGAATAAGGCGGGAGGGATTCGGAGGAGGAGGAGACCACGTTGTCGCCTAGCTCGGTGACGATGTCCATTTCGGAGGGGATTATGATGGGGAATTTGGTCACGTGGGGGGGATTAGTGACGTGGGGGGTGGGGGGCAGCCCGATGTAGGATTTTCGGGTGGTTCGTTCCTCCAGGATTTCGTCTTCGACGGTTTCAAAGTCTTCTGAAATGGAGAAAATAATTAAATTAATGGCGTTCCAGAAGATTATCTTAGCAAAAATGTCTTAATTTGCCTAGAATTTTGGAAAAGATAAGCTTCTGATGTGTTAATGAGACATGAGTTAATTTACATTTTTTAAGTTATCTATATATACATAAATATGTAAATTAAGATAAGGCTAATTAAGACATTTTTACTGGAATATAAGAATCTCAGGGAATATTAAATTTTACCGGGAGATGAATTAGTTTCAGAGCTGCTTTCAGACTTTTTGTAAGTTTTGAGAAAGTTGGGGCCGAAGACTTGTTCCAGTTTTTGCTGGAGGGGGATTTCCTGGGGGGATTGGGAAGTGAGATCTTCGAGAGGGGGGATTTCCGTACAGATGGAAAATGGGGGAAGGAGGAGAAGGATTTTTTGGAGGAGTAGCAACCTGAAGATCAAGTGAGACGAGGAGGTGCACATGGTGAAATGAAAGGTGGTTTTGTTTTGTGAGGTTAAGAAATAGCTGGAAAGCACTCCATTTTTTGAAGTGTTTGCTTATCGGGACTCGTTTGAGTGTGTTTACACGGGGGCTTTTAATGGGAAGCACTTTACTCGTTATACTTGATACACGGTTAAGTTGAAGATGAGTAAAAACCTGTAAAAATAAACAGACTGTCAGAAAAAGTGGAATTTACAGAAGAGCTGAGAACAGACATAAAATCGTCCGAAAGTCTTTATTGCAATTACATAAGACAAGCCAGTGAATTATTTTAGAGGTTTTTTTACGAACTTGTATGAAGCTACATAGATACGTTGCAAAAATTGAAGATTTTTTTCGCGAACTTGTAGTTGCAAAAGTTTGTATTTATGAAGCCATGCACTTACTTTTTAGTTCAGTGTGTGGTCTCTAAACGATGACTACGCGGAGTCATAACTTTTGTTTATGTGATGTGATGTGATTCCCGAAAAATGCTGGGTCGGGTATGATTAGGACCTAACGGAGCGTGAGATTGACATGGGCTCCAGTCTAATGAATGTATGTACATACGACGGAAAGGAAGGAGGAGGATGCAAAAGTCTGTTTGTTTGTGTAAAGAGGAAATGTGTGGAGATCAAAAAGAGAAGGTCACCACGATTATTAGCCTCATCATCATCAGTCACCTAAATATATGCCGTAAAAAAAGGGGAGATGTGATGTGATTGCGGAATGACGGAAAGTGTACGAGCAGCGAAGTAGATACGTAGTGAAGTTATCTTCTGCTCTGTTCTTCTCTGAGAGAGTCGTAAAAGTGAAAGCCGTAAAAAGTGTCTCAATTTCCCCGCTAGACTGTAGACTAACAGGAAATTGCTCTTTGCCAACCAAGCTTCTCCTGATTAATCAATTTGTCTGGTAAGAACTGCAGGGTTTTCTGCTGTTTGGAGGTTTTTTGGTAGTGGTGATAAACATGTTTGGTAATTCGTGTATGTACTTATGGGAGGATAATTTGGAGTAAAATTTGTCAAGGGCAGGGTAGGTTTTGGTAGTTGTAATTCGTGTATTTGCTTGTGTCTGTAGGAGTCTCGTTTCACTTATCGAATCAAAATGTGAGACTAATTCAGGCTAACTTGTTGAGGGGAGCACTGGTAATTCGTGTGCTACCGTCTGTATGGGTCTAACTTAGCAAGAGGACAATTGAGACTAAAACTTGTCAAGGGCAGAGTAGGGTTTGGTACTTGAAAAATCGCGTCCTTGTGTCTGTATATAAGTCTTGTCTCACTTATCAAATCGAATGTGAGGATAATTCGGACTAACTTGTTGATGGGAGCGTAGTTGAAGCACGACAAGACCACGTCTCACGGAATCCGAGCTCTTTTATAATGTCGACCAAACAGTGTGGCGTCGTCGTGGTGGTGGTGGTCGAGGGGGTATTATTAATCATGCCCGCATTCACTTATCTACTTTCTCCTCTTGTTTTTGTCTGTATCTTCCACCTCCACACTCCGCAGGCAAGTGACAATTTGTCAGAAAAATAATAACAACATTTTCCAGACCCTTGACTAAAAGCGAACCCGTATTACGCGTGAGATATTTCTCCGAATTTCTCAGCCTGTTTCTGGTTGGTTTCGCAGTAAAATTAAATGAAATGGTGTTGTGACACTTTTTGTGGAGTGATGAGTTAGTCAAACAGACAAAAGTGGCAATGTCACCACATCAGTTTGTCTACCCTGACCTGACCAGCATGACAATGACGACGACCTCCAACTCTCAGCGAGACTATTGTTTAGCTCAAGTTGTGAGCTAAGCTAAATGCGAAATTAAGTGCTTTCTCTCAAGGTGTGTGTTTGTGAAGCAATTTGGTTCACAGCGGAAAAACCAATTACTGCATGAAATTACGAGGTGTAAATCAATCAATCTTTATGTATTGTGTAAAACACGGCAAGGATTCCGGTGTAATTAGCACATGGCAAAGTTCTCACCGTTAAAAAGAGTAGATCCCAATTTGTTGAGTCGTTTTTTATCAGGGTAAAAGTTTCCAAATTTCTGGTCAATAAGGATTTCTCACCGTATCTTGAGTCGTTTTTATCCGGGGAAATGTGTAAAAGTTTCCGAATTTCCGGTGTTTTTTTATCAGGGTAAATTAATAGATTTTTAAAAGTTTCCGAACTTCTGGTCAATTTCTTGATAAGGATTTTGTCGTGGTGAAAGTAGAATTTTTCTCTTGCGTCACGTTACGTTTTTTTTCTTCTCAAGTTATTGAATTTCTGGTCAGGATTTTTTTTCTCTGGTGAAAGTTCAAGGGCATAAGTGTCACTTATTTTTAATGAAGATACGATCCATGCTGCTGCTGGGATTGGTTTACTCTGTTATTGGAGAAGTTTACGAAGAAATGTTGGTTTTTGAGGAGCTCTTTTTTTCGATCTACCAAGTGACAAGTTGATGCCACATGGTTGCTGACTGATGAATGGAGTCGTGGTGTCAAATTGTGTCAACTTTACGTATATATTTATGAACTTCTGAGAATTTTGTTGTGTGGGAGTTGATATTTTGAGAGCAAAGTGGAGTTGGGTAAGGACGTGGACGTGAATGGATGGGGACCAAGTGTCAATGTTGACTTTCCACTCGGCGTGTTAATGACGATGATAAATGTTGACTTTGCTTTAGATTTTAGAAGCCATGGCCACTTTTATATATGTACATGAGTCAAGTGGTCGTGTAGTCGTGAGCAGTGAGTCGTGATACATATTGTTAATGTGAGGCTGGCTGTGTGTAATTAGCAGAATTTCATAATTTCATGGATGAGATGAATAACATGTACCAACGAAAAACAAATATTGGATGGGTTCACTTGTACTTTGATAACACTGGTCAAGATCACTTTCACTTTGACACTTTAAATTCAGGATCAGGGTTTCGCCCTGGTTTTATTTAACCACTGTCCAAAACCAGTTTTGGATACAGAATTTTGGGCGTCGAACTCGAAAATGTGCGAAAAAAAACGATGTAGTTCTTCAGTATTAAAGCTTTTATCGATAGTGCGTGTACGTATATGACAAATCTCCCATTAATTTTGAGCATTTTGTTGCTTAATAATACGATTTGGCATGGTATGGTTGAGAGAAGTTCTTAATTTCTCATACAAAATGTGAAAACCAAAGTTTTCCCAAATTTCGTGGTATTACATACGTACAAAAAGAACAAAATACTCTAAATTAATTACATAATTATGTGTGTATAGATTTGATTTGTACTTACTGGACGCCCAAAATAATTTTGAATACTTTTGGATGCTGTCTTTTGTTAAGTCCAAAATTAGGTTGGACATCCAAAACGAAACACTGTTAAACTTTTGAGCATCTAAAATTTGCCTTGGGTCGTATGTACCTATACTACCCACTGTGTTACTATATATCTTATCGTTGCAGATAAGCCGGATTTTGAAGGTTAATTACCTCTCCGGTAAGAAAAAGAGTGGATGGCAATTAGCGTAAAAGAATTGTATCTGAATTTTTAAAATGATGCAAAAAGTTAATGGCTTTTTTTGGGTTGGAACTTGCAAGATTTTGTGTTTTGTTTGCGAAATAAAGTTTGGTTTTGCACATAACAAACGCACTTTTCGAGATAAACAGTAAATACTGAGAAATCTTTGACTTATTGTTTACAGTACAAGTGATAAGTAAGCAAGTTTTTGCCATTATTATTTAAATACCTACACCGCATTTGGCACTTTTAGGACGTGCTAAACAAATTGTTGGTTAACAGAAAACTTTACACTTGGTTGGAGTCGGGTTGTTTACTGAAATTGAGACTCTCAATTTGAGACGATGTATGTATGTATGTAAATCCAGGAAAATTCTCTGAATGGATCTTGTTTTTTTAGCAAAATTTAGCCAATTACAGATGTCATTCTGGAGACAAATATTTTCTGAAAGGCTGAATTCCATCGGATTAAACGATCTCAAATAATCCATGGTGAATTGGACAAGCTTAAATTAATCCGACCTTAATAAATAAGTCGCATACATGGGTTGACCTGTCATCTTAAATGAGTGGATGGATGGATGGACGAATTTACTTTCTTGGTGCCTGGCTGCGTTTCCTGTCCGAAAAAGGCTTGTCTATGCACATAGGTGAGAAAAGTATGTAAAGCACGTCACGTCTTTCCCGTAATCCGTCGGGAGTTCGACCCTGTCACATCGCATGAATACGTTACTGCATTTATTGATCATTCCCCACTTGGCTTACCAATCTCGTTAGACACATATGGATTTAAGTATGGGATGCAATTTAACGACCTTTTTACGACGTATAATTAAACCGGGATCAAAATCGGAAACCTTGGCGTGCATAATGCAATGCGACAGCGACAAGTCTGCGGGGGAAATTATAGGACAACTTACATATGTCACAGCATGTGATGCACAAGCTGGAGAACATGATGGCGATAAATAAAATGTGAGATCTTATTTATTGCCTCGTATAATTTCTGGGTCGTCTGCTGCTCTTCAATCATAATTAATAAGCATCATTCCGTCAGAATAAATATGAGGATGAATATAAATATAGAGGTTCGGGGTCCGCACCCACCTGCATTTCTCCAGCAGGGTTTCCATCATCATCATCATAAAACTTTTGCATGACTTTGGGAAATTAAATATCCGCTTAACCCAACCCAACTCATATAACACGGATCCGTACCGTCTGGTTGACAGATAGTACATGTGGCGAAAGACGATTCGAATTTTCGCCAAATTAGTAAAAAAATATGTACCAGGTGGCGAAATTATTGCTAAATTTGGCGAAAATGGAAGACTCCTAAGTGCATAAAAACACACTTGGCGAAATATAAATTTAGAATAAATATAAATCGCAATTTTGCAAAAGTCTCATTTTTATTGAATTTTCATTTTTTACCAATGGATTTTGTTAATTTCTGACACAAACGGATTAAAAATTGAATGAGTAAGGAGCTACTTTTGCAAAAATGAGCTGAATTTATGTCCAAAATCCATTTTATAATCATGTCAAATACTCTATTTATAGCCGGGGCTAAAATCCAAAATTGAGTGTCACAGACCCGGCTATAATTGGAGACCGGCTATAAATAGAGACCCGGCTAAATTTTGCTTTGCTTATAATTTGGATTTCAAATATTTCAAATTTTGAAACAATATAAGTTCAGCTTACACAATTTGAGTAATGATTTTCCAGTTTAAGCAATTAAAAAAAGATCCTATAACTACACCGGTAGATTTTCTAATGCTGAGACGCTGGGAATACAGAGACGTTGTACCAAGCCATAATTTTAGACCCGGCCATAATTAGAGACCCGGCTAAAATTTTGAAATCTTGGTCCCTAGACCCGGCTATATTTGGAGACCGGCTATAATTAGAATAGGGCTATAAATAGAGGTTTTACGGTAAGTATTTTTGGCGAATTTTTCGCCGAAAGGGGTTTCGCCAAAGTGTCCGGTGAGTTAGATCTCTCATCCTCAGTCTCACTCAGCCCATTCAATTCAATAGCACGGATACGTATGTATAAATGTGTTGCCTACCTGCATATCGTGTTAGAGAGAGAGAGATGCCATATTTTTCTGCACACCTGTCTCACCTCGTCTCAAAATCTCATCTCTCGCTCTCTCTCTCTCTCGCCACTGACTTGACTTACTTCTTTATTACTATATTTTGGCTTTCTATGTGGTATTCTAGCTTTAGTCCAGCTCCATATTTTCGTTGCGTTGCGAGTGAAAGTATTGATTTTTGCTAAATATTACACATTGCCAATTGCTGCATGGCATGACATACCTACGAAAATGGTATCACACCACCGCATCATCATTCTTCTCTCCGCTAGGCACACACAAGGTGTTATTACTTTTCACCTGGAGCCACTTTTTTTGCAATGTGCAGATTTCCGTAATTTTTTTGCGAATTTAGACTTAAAATGTGTTCAGTACTGTATTGGTGCTTCCCTCCGCATCTTCCAGGCTTTGTGGAGGCTGGACTGCACTGTGTAAGGGGGAAATTGCATGCAAAAATAAAAAGAATTTGTGGTGGAAGTGTGAATTTGTATTGCGAAAATAATCTGAAATTGCAAAATTTATTTTTGCATTTTGCAGATTTACACGGGATTCTTCATCATTGAAGCGGCCACGTATGGGCTTCACTTGGAGCAGAAGGTGAGCATTTTTTGGGACATGATTATGAATTGGATCCCATTTTCAAATTATCCTAGTCAATTTTTACAGCTTTTTTTCCACGTAGTTTAACAAAGTAATGAATTTATAGTAATTTTTTATGAATTATATCTCGTTTTTACAGTTGCAAATTTCCCTACGCGAAACAAGCATGTTTTGTAACATGGTTTATGAATTTTTCAATTTTTGTTTTCAGTTTCACGGCGTTTTGCAAATACTCCTCGTAAACTTTTACATCGTTCTGCTATGCATCCTCTTCATCCGGTGGCACATCAGTAGGAGGAGTTTGGTAAGTCGAAATTTAGTCAAAATTGAGGATTGCATAAATGGAGTTAAAATAATTCCACATGTAGAGCAAGTTGAACGCCAGGTTGTGTATTTTGAAGAAAAAAATTAAAATCCAAGTATTTGAAAGATACGATAGACCCGTACCGGTAACATATTAAATTTGTTATCGATTGACACAAGTGTACCCAAAATCGGATAGCATACGTTGGGAGACCTCCATTTTGAGTGCATTTCGTGTTTTTTATATTTATTTAAAGTGATAACTTAAGGTAGAAAAAAAATGGCATAAATCGAGCTGAATCAATTCCACTCGTGGAACAAGTTGGACGCCAGTTTGTATATTTTTTTAGATTTCCATTAAAGTCAAATTATTTAAGGTGACTGACAAATTTGGGTAAATTTGGGGATCCTAATTTCGATTGAGATGTGGGAGATCATGTATTTAGCAAATATCATGCTAATCAAATTTGTGATCGATTGACACCAACCGATTAAGCGTGATGGAATAAAACCTTGATTAGCATTGCGAGCGGGCTGAAATTCAGATCAAACACGGTACGCTTAATCATTTTCCAATCAATAGTTTGGGCGTCAAAATCAGAGAGCATACTCTGGGAGACCCCCTTCGTCAAATTTTCGCAAAATTTTCGGCTTTAAACTAGTTTTAGTCCAATTTTTGTAGATACAGTCTAGTAAAATTGCAAATGCGACAAAAGTTTGACATTATTTTGTGAAAAAAACCTACTCTAAGCAACTTTGCGGGGCCTTTTAAGATGGCATTAATGTCATCTTGGTAGTTAATGGCAACACATTTGGGTGGAAAAGACCCCCACCGGCCAACCACTTGACCAATCATGCTCATCTCCGAACTCATCCTTACTTTTGACCCGAAGATCAAGTGTAGAAAATTTCAAGTCGATAGAATGTGTTTAAAGAGAGTTATCGTGCCTACAGACGGACGGACAGACAGACAGACATCTTGACAAATCTATAAGGCCATCTTAAAAGGCCTAAAACGGCGCGATAACTGCTCACAATAAAAAATGCCATAAAAATACTTGTCCCTGCAGGGCTGTCACCTCTTCATCTCGCTGGCTTCCTGTACCCTGACGGTGTTCATTGGTCAGATGATTCTCATGTACTTGGACCACATGGAGAAGGGCGGGGGCGGAAATCCGCAGCCTCCCGATCCCCTCAAGATGGACTTCATCGTGCTGATTTTGGACATTTGTTTCTACGCGATGATCACCTCGTCGTACATCATTCTCCTCGTGCAGATCTCAATCCAGGTGAATCGGTCGGTGAGGCAGGTGCTGTATGGGGAGCAGAGGTCGGGTGAAGAGTGGAGCGAGGAGGACCCCGAGCTTACCGGGACGACGACCACGACGACAAGCGTGGTCACTTTTGAAGACGAGGCAGGATATTTGACAAGATTTTAAGAAAGCGGGGAGAAATGAAGAGTACAATTTTTGAAGACATGAATTCGTTCTTGATGATTTTTTAGACTTGATAACCCATCGTCAAAATTGACACATTTTTATTAATTTCTCAGCTCTGGGAATTTATTTTAAAATTCTGGACGACAAATTTGCAGCCAGTGAGTTAATTAATGGAATGGCGTTGAGTTTTTTGAACTAGTTTCGAAGAGTTCCAATTTTTCTGAAGGCTTCTTAACCTTTAGATCCCCTCCTTCAAAAAGTGTCAAAATCTCTGCATATTTTTCAAAATTGGCAACTCTCTGTGTTGTCCAGAATTTTAAAATAAATTCCTGGGGGAAGGGAGAAATAATTAAAAATGTGCTGATTTTGACGATTTTGGTCATGCGAGGCATCTAGTCTTGCGTTAAACTCTGACAAATTGTGCGTAACAAAGTGACCCCGAGCTTACTGTGACAACTAGCGTGGTCATTTTTTGGGGAGAAGATAATCTTGTATTTATTAATTAATGAAATATCTATGTACTTAATAAGTACAATTTGAGGGTAATGAATGGTAGCATTTTCTTTTTGAGAGGGAGGAATTTACGATTTAGACTTTAAATTAAGAACAAATGTGTATAATTGAGTGCCCAGCGAGCGAGTACAAGGAAACAAGTGTCTTTTTTCACTCATTCCAGAACTTTTAATATGATCGAGACCTGATAAAGTAGTAAGAAGTATATTTAGATAAGTATGTGGGGCAGATTCATATTTATGAGATTATTATGTCATAATAATGCTTAATTAAAGTGTATCTAAAAATTTGGAGAAGGAAATAAAATGGTCAGTTTGAGACAGAAATAAATAAGTATGAAATTTTTAATGTTTTTTTTGTCGTAGCAAAAATTCATTTAGTAAAATTTTGCCTTTATCGGTTTATTACTGGACAAAAGATTCACATGATCATCGAATGCAAATTGGCTGTTGTTTTACGAGATGATGTAAAATTTTTGGTACATAAATATGAAGTTTTCGATATTTTTGTATCGTAGCAAAAAATTTAGCAAAAGATGTAGTAAATTTTTGCTTTTATCCATTTATTAAGAGTTTTATTACAAATATTTATTTATTCGTATTCGTAAGATTCCTCATTTTCCACGATTGGGTTTGGTTTTTCGAAAAATGAAGCAAATTTGGGCGTCCGTTTGGCCCGTGGTTCGGCAGCGTTGATGAGCGGAATGTCAAAAAGGTCTTCCTCTCCGACGAAAGATTCCAACATTGTTTCGCCATCGTCGTCCGCGTCATGCGAAAAAGTTGCTGCGGTTTAAGTTATTTATAAAATTGCAAATTTTATTGCAAATTTGTGTGCTAACTTTCCAATTTTTTTAAGCCATACTTACCTGCCCCACAAATAATCAAAGTAGTGATGATGATGATAAGGATGGAGAAAGGTGGGAGAAAGTTGACCCGTGAACGTGAAACAGTTGCCATAATGGGTGAAACTCGGGTTAAATGTTTTTAAAATCGGGTTAATTGTTTTTCAAGAAGGGTTAATTGTTTTTAAACTCGGGTTAATTATTGTTAAAATCGGGTTAATTGTTTTTAAAATCGGATTAATTAATTTTTAAATCGTGTAAAGCGTTAAGAATACGTTGGTCAAGTTTATTATTTATTTATTGCGACTGATAAAATGGCAGGGTTTTATTTTTGAGAATAATTCCTAGAAGGTAAACATCAACATTTCCTAGTGACATTGTTAATTTGTTTGTTAAGGGGCCGTACGTAAAGGGTGGTATCGATTTAGAGGGGATAATTTTGACCCCTGGTGTGACTTAAATACGTATGTGTAACCCATTTTATAATTAAGATGGGTAAATTTTAACATTACACGAAAAACAGACATTAAAATTAGTAAAATAAAATTAATTAGCGATAACCATTAGTACTTAATTTGCATATTTGTATTGTCACGATTATGAAATGTGTACACTGTTCGACCAAATTGGTAAAAATTGCATGAAATAGAATTGGAAATTTCTATTTGGAATTACATAGAATTGGAATATTGCAAAATTAAATTGGAAAATTAAATAGCCAACATACTTTTCTAGACTTGAGGTATTTATGTATTTATAATGGGATTTTTGGAAAATTTTATGAAAATTTTATGAAAATTTTTGAACTTGAATTTCTGAAATTCCACGATAAAGTTAAAATTAGTCAGGTCGAGTATGATTTCCACGACACAAATGGAATATTATAAAATTAAATAGTTAAGTCTCCTTTTGTAGGTTGATGCTCGTGTTCCCAATAATTCTAAAGTTTCCGAATTTATGAAATTTCACCATACGATTATAAGGTTAAAAATATAGTGTTGATTTCATCTCATTTTTATTTAAGTATAGGAATTAATTAATAATCGTTTACGTTCCACGACGTAAATGGAATATTGGAAAATTAAATAACCAATTATATTTTTCGTAGATTTTAGCGATTTTATCGATGGATGACGGATGCGCTGCACTTTACAATTTATAAAAATTATAAAATTTCTAAAAACTTGCGAATTTCGGATTTCTGAACTTCCACCAATGCATAAAAATAGCATGATTTCCACGCCACAAATGCAATATTGCAAATTAAGTAAATATCGACGTTTTTTTGAAGATGTTGGCGACGGTGTTGGCGTTTTACAATTCTTAAATTTCTAAAAATTTCTGGATTTTGAATTTCTCGAAGTCCACTATAAAGTTAAAATAAGTGTTTATTTCATCTCATATCGGTTTAAGTATAAGAAATTGATAAGTAAAAAAACTACAATGACAAGATAACCCCTAAATGACCCCGACCCGCTCAAATTGACCACGTGATTTTTACAGAGTCCTTAATTAAGGATTTATTTAATTAATTACTTACCTAATTAATTACCTAATTAATTAAATATTTAATTAATTGATTAATTAACTATAAATCTCTGAGGTCGATGCGAGGGTTGGCCGCTCTGGTGACGGCGTGCAGGAGGGATAACGTTTTCACGCCACGGTTCAAATATTGTAACGGACTGCAGTCGAAGCCACACTTTTGGTCGCCACGGATTGATTTTGATGACCCCATTTTCAACCGGTCGGCCAAATCTCCGCGGAATGGGAGATCCTGCAGAAATCTGGGAGAAATTCAAAATATTGAATTTTAAAACGGTAGAATTTGTGACTGGGATTAACGTAGGACTCGATGGGTCATCGTTGAACTCGCCAAAATCTGCACTTTTTTAATCATTTTTTGCCTCTGGGAATTTATTTTAAAATTCTGAACAAATTTGTAGAGCAGGTTGTTGTCAATTGTTTGGAAATCCAGATTTTGACACTTTTTGAAGGAGGAGATTTCAAGTTGAAGAAGCCTCCAGAAAAATTGGAACTAGTCGAAACTGGCTCAAAAAACTCAACACCATTCCATTAATCAACTCACTGACTGCAAATTTGTCATCCAGAATTTTAAAATAGGTTCTCAGAGGCGAGAAATTTTTAAAAATGTGTTGATTGTGACGATTTTAATGGTGCGTTATCGAGTCTTGCGTCAACTTGCGCTAGTTTTAAACTATGGTGCAAGTTATTATGAATGTACGTACGTATGCATAAATTGGAGTGGCGAATGCATCCTGGACAATCGCGACACTTGGCAGGAGACATACTCTGCGCATTCCTGGCTCTCAAAGACGTCCCGGGAGAGTCTTGCCATGGGGGAGAGGGACGACCCGGACAGCATCAAGGACCCCACATCCGCCCAGAAACCGAGGTCCGGAAGGTAACTGTCCGCACTGGCGACGGCGGCGGTGGCAATTTCCGCGGCTGGAGTTAAAATTGGCACGACTAAATACGTGTGTAAGAAATAGTGAGAAATTTTGTGGTCATATGTTAAAAATTTACGAATTTGTTATGGTAAATCATTGTGTAAAAGGTGTATTCGCAGAAAAATGTATCACAAAAGTATCGTAAAATCTGACTACGCTGGAGTTAGATGGTCATATGTTACATTTACGATGGAAATTTCCCAGCGCATTCCCTCCGATTTTGAGCAAACTAGTGTCAATCGATGAAAAATTTGATTAGGATGAAATTTTCGAAAGACGCGATCTCCCAATGGGCACGTTTGGCCGAGATATTAGCATCCGAAGAGGAGAAAACGCGCAGTAAGTTTGCAAAGTGTAAAATTTGTGAACTTTAAAGAGCATTGTCTCCTCTTCGGATGCAAATATCTCGGCCAAACGTGCCCATTGGGAGATCGCGTCTTTCGAAAATTTCATCCTAATCAAATTTTTCATCGATTGACACTAGTTTGCTCAAAATCGGAGAGCATACGCTCGGATACCTCAATTCTGAGGTCAATTTTAACCTTTTTTTACCAGTCAATCGATGACAAATTTGATTAGGATGAAATTTGCGAAAGACGCGATCTCCCAATGGGCACGTTTGGCAAAGATATTTGCATCCGAAGAGGAGAAAACGCACAATAAATTTGGAAAGTGCAAAATTCGACAAGTTTTCTACTTCATTTTGTGAACGATAATTTTGTATTGTTTAACGCCGTTTAAATTATTTTTAGTAGATTGGATATTTTACTTTCAAGTTAGATGTTTGAAAACGCGCCCTAAAAAGTCGACAAATTTTACCCTTTCCAAATTTACTGTGCGGTTTTTTCTCCTCTTTGGATGCAAATATCTCTGCCAAACCAAAGGGGATACTCTTATAAAAATGATGTGAACTTTTCTCCGAAATTGATTAAAACTTGTCCTATTTCACACATCTATCTACCTTGAAAGTAAAATATCCAATCTACTAAAAATAATTTAAACGGCGTTGAACAATACAAAATTATCGTTCACAAAATGAAGTAGAAAACTTTTGCACTTTGCAAATTTACTGGGCGTTTTCTCCTCTTCGGATGCAAATATCTGGGCCAAACGTGCCCATTGGGAGATCGCGTCTGTCGCAAATTTAATCATAATTAAATTTGTCATCAATTGACACTAGTTTGCTCAAAATCGGACAGCATACGCTGGGAGACCTTCATTTTTAGTTAGTTACATATTTACCTTGTCCCAAATCCTGTCTTGAATCCGAATTGGTGATGCTTCTGCAATCCACCCCGTTGAATAAATTAACACCCAGAAATAATAACCAATTTAAATTTATCACTATTATTCTCAAATTTCGCCGCATTTTTATCTGTATTTCGTTTTATAATCAAACGATCTCTGCAAGATTGACGAGCCAACTGAAACTGATGCGACATTTTTGTGCATCTTTGTGACCCCGGGATCTTATTTTGCATATGTACGACTTAATTTACTTGGTATATATTCAAATGCATGAAAAACCATGAGATCGGAAGGTGCAAAAATAAATGTGTTTGATTCGATTAACAATGCCACCTTAAGAAAAAAATGCCAATATTGCTCACGTCTGTATGTATGACAGGACCGTTACTGAATTGTGTACTCATGATCATGTACTCACGATCATGTAATCATGATCATATTTCACTGGTAAGAGAAATGAATAATTAATGAGATTTGTATCTGTGTACGCATGCGATTACAGATACATTGTTGTCCACCCTTGCAGTGGCTGCGGAAGCTGTGGGGACCATACCTGTTCACTTTCATTCATTTGACTGATGAGGATGTTGAATGATGGTGAATGAAAATGAAATTCTTGTGATTTTAATGAAAATGAGGGAAAGATTCCGTCATTTCAGATGAATGTCTGTGAATGAAAGATTTCTCACTCATTTCATTTTTCATCCTATGCTTAATACATGGAGCGAAGTAAGAAATGAAGTCAGATGAAGTGAAATGAAATGAATTTGAAGGAAAATGACTGAATGTGAATGAAAATCTTCCGCCAAAAAACGGGATGACTGACTTTTGAATGAAAACTAAATTTTTGAACAGGTATGATTGGAACATCGGGGACATTAACATTGCAGAATAGGGAGTGCGGGGTTTATATACAATGGGGACATTGTCCCACTGTCCCCACGCTTCCGCGGCCACTGCATCCTTGCAGAATTATTCTCGATCACTTAATACTAATCCGATTGGCGAAATATATGTGTGTCAGGTTTGCAAATATTTGGCATGCTTTAATCTCAATCACGGGAAGAAAAGGTGAGGTCATGAATCATTCGGGTCGATGTCATCGTCATTTGCCGAATGAGGAAAACGGACTAAAATTATTTATAACTTATAAATAATTTGGCAAGCTTATAAATTGCAGATATAAGCTTGCCAAATTTTTGCTATATGATTACGAAAGAAAATTCATTAAGTATTCAAAACAGCGTGCAAAAAAATTGGGACAAGAATGTACAACCAAGTTTAAATTCACTCATTTATTCATTATTTAATTTGTCAGGGATGCGCGACTCTATAATCATGCCTATCTTTTTCTTAACTTATCTATTTATTACGGGAACTTGTAAAAATATGGGTCGTTTTAAAATATATTGTTAAACATTATTGGTTAAATGGCTTACACGTTAACTTGCAAGAAATTTATAACAAGAAGTGGATTATAAAATGGTGGTTGGTAAAATTAACAGTAAAATTAAGAAATTCGTAAAATTATAAAGGGGCAAAACTCACAAAGAATTATGTATTAGCTATAAAATTGCATAGTTAATTAGTATCACTTAAAGATTGCATATAGTTAAAAATAAGGGCACCATAATTTGCATAATACGTCTTTATGTATGTATCTACTCCTCCAACGAATATGTAATGATTGCTTTTTACGAGGTAAAAATAAAATATTTAAATTGTTTTCATACAATTTCGAGGTAATAATTAGATGATTCGAGTATCATTATAATTTTAAGGATCACTTCTTAATTACTGCTAAAAATCTCATTCTACAATTACTAATTAATTAATTACATACTTGGCCAGTGTACACTAGATGATGATACATAATTCGGTAAATGATAATCAGTCACGTAAAATATACATGTAAATATTTATATTTATGTTGTCGGAAAATATTGCACAATGTTTTTTTTTGGAGAAACAGGTTGGGTTCAAATTGTCCAGCAATTCAACACATTGCATAAATTACTTCAGTCGCAGGGCAACTTTGCTGACCACTTGGATTCCGATAAATTGGTAATGTCGAATTGTTTGGGGTTCTTCTTTTTAACAATTTATGTATAAATATGTTATCGGAAAATTGCACAATGATTTTTTGCGGAAACTGGTTCGTCGTCGGTGGGTTGAAATTGTTCAGCAATTCTGTCGCGATTATTATTCAATGGCAGGCGAGTTCTGCATTTTATTAATCGTAACGAAACTTCTGTTGACCACTCGGATAACGATGATCGGCGTGTAAATTGGTAATTTTGAGGTTTCTCTTCCTAAAATTATGTACATATTTTGTGTAAATATTGCACAATGATTTTTTTGGAGAAATGGGGTTATCCGTGGGTCCTAATTGTCCAGCAATTTTTTCCTGGTTTTTATTCATGGCATGAAGTCTGCATTTCAGTCATAACGAAACTTTTGCTGTCCACTCGGACAACGATAATCGGCGTGTAAATCGGTAATGTCGAATTGTCTGAGGCCTTCTTCCGTGACCCAGGGCGGTAATCGGGCCGGAGGCGGAGTTGGGGACGACCCTTCCAAATTATTTCGACTCGGCGAAGAGAAAGTATTGTTCTGGTTTTGATCATGGTCACGATTTCGTGGAAATTCCAAAGGGTTGACGAGTCCTAATTTTTCCAGGAGATTTTTCGGTTCCGTTTCCTCCTCGCTGGTCGTGGGAATTTGGATGAATGTACTGGAAGAAAAGTCCTGCTCGGGATAAAAGGAGGTCAACCATTCTTGGAAATTTTGTGATCGGGGGTCCTCAGAATCGTAAATGTCGGGTTGTGGTGGTGGGACAACAGGTTTGTTCGGGTCGAAATCTGGTTTTCGGATGATTTTGCGTTTTCGTTTCTTGGGATGAAACGCGTAAGCGAGGTGAGCTCTGGAAATTAATTAAATTGTTTTAATTAAGGGGGAAATTAAGGAAATTATTTCATTAATTGGTTTAATTTCATTACATAATTCATTATATAATTGTGAGGAAATTAGTTAATTAATGTAGGACTCGATAACTCAAATCAGCACATTTTTAATAAAATTAGGAATCTTTAAAATTTTCAGAATTGTTTTTAAATATTTTTAAAAGTTAAAAGAGTAAAGTTTTTTTAACTGCATGATTTTGAAGCTAATTAGAAAAAATTAATTCTGTTATTTAAACCCATCACGTAAGATAATGTTTGTTTCTTTGTAGATAAAATATAAAAACAATATTCAAAATAAAGCCTAATAAAGTTTTCAGAATTTTGCAAAGTCACAAAAAATTGTACGATTAAAGCCAAATACAAAAATAAGTATTTTCTAAAATTTGATCTAGATAGTAGATATATAAATCGAATTTGAGGACATTTTTACAAACAAGAAAAGAAGGGTCAATTTTTTATTTTTGAAATGATGCTAGTTTTTGGGCTGATTTTTTCCAAAAACCTCGACGGGACTTGGACTCGACGGGACGCAAAATTGGTAACACGTGTTAAAAGCGACAAATGGGTGGCTTTTAAGGTAGGGCTCGTCATCAAAATCGTCAAAATCAGCATATTTTAAATCATTTCTCGCCTCTGGGAACTTATTTTAAAATTCTGGACGACAAATTTGTAGTCGGTGAGTTGATTAATGGAATAGCGATGAGTTTTTTGAGCCAGTTTCGACGAGGTCCAATTTTTCTGAAGGCTTCTTAAACTTGAGATCTCCTTCAAAAACGGTAAAAATCTGGAGTGTACATTTTTTTACGATTGGAAAATTGGGAACGTCGCTCTACAAATTTGTCGTCCAGAATTTTAAAATAAATTCCCAGAGGCGAGGAGAAATGACTAAAAAATGTCCTGATTTTGACAATAAGTCAATTCTCACATTATAAAAATTGCAATTTTCTACATACCGATCCCACCAGCGTTGTGATTCAATATCGATAAACGTTAAGCTTTTCCTATCCCCGATATACACAGGGCGTCGCTTATTACTGGCCTCGTTGGGTTTTGTCGGGGGGAGTGAAAATCGTTGTTGGTGCAGTGTCGACATGATTGGGATGACGGGTGTCCCGTTCAGATAAATTGTGGTGGCACTACTGCAACTGTTTGAGTTGGATAAGGTCGTCTCGCTGGGAAGTAGTGGTGGGGGGATTATTGTTCCGCTTGTCGTGGACGAGGGCAATTGTTCTGGGGGATTGTTCTTCACGGTAGAACATTGACTAGTGACTTCCTGGCACGTGACCCCGGAGAAAGTCATTGGCGTCGTCGTCGCCGTGGCAGAACTTCTGGAGGACGATGCTAGAGACAGTTCCTGCTGTTCTTGCATCATGATTTGGCGTAGTCGTCGTTTCTTTATGGGGAGGAGATCATAGTCGGTGGTAATAAGACGTTTATCGTCGTCGTCGGTGGTGGTTATCGTGCCATTGCTGCAGGTGGGTTCGGGTTCAACTTTGCTGATAAGATCAGGGACCATTTCGAGTGGTGGTGGTGGGGGCTGTGATTCTTCATCTTGCTCCATTTTTACAAAATTTGAATTGATTTCGTAAAATGGTGATTTGCGAGGGATAAAATCTTCATGTTTTTGTACCCTATGGATAAAAAGTACAAAATTAAGAAAATTTGAATTGGCGTAGGACTCGATGGCCATTCATTGTTAAAATGAGCACATTTTTAATCATTTCTCGTATCAGGGAATCTACTTTAAAATTTTGTAGAGTAAGTCGTTCCCAATTAAAACAAATCAAACTGGTCAAAATCAGCACATTTTTACTCATTTCCCCGGTCAGGGAAATTATTTTAAATTTCTGGACGACAAATTTGCAGTTTGTGAGTTAATTAATGGAATGGCACTGAGTTTTTTGGGCCAGTATTGATAAGATTCAATTTTTCTGAAGGCTTCTTAAACTTCTGCTTCAAAAAGTGTCAAAATTTGGAGTGTATATTTACAAAAAATTGGCAACACCTACACCTACAACTCTACAAATTTGTCGTCCAGAATTTTAAAATAAATTCCCATCACAGAAAAATGATTAAAAACGTGCTGATTTTGACAACGAGTCATCGAGTCCTACATCAAATTGTTATAAAATGTTAGAAATTATATATACATATATATTTAATTTTCACCTGTTCGAAGCTAACATTAACAGCAACCCATTTCTGGTATCGGTTTCGTCCCCATTTTCATTTCTGTCTGCCAGCCCCCCACATCGATTAATTGACATTGGGATAATTGCCCTCCTCGAAGTGTGAGGAAGTATAAAAATATTAAGTTTTTCAAGACATCGTGGTTTACAATCTGCTCCAGATTTCAACCCGGCCTTGTTTCTCGTCGTATTTGCATTGGCTTTAACATTTTTGACGTTGAACCGATTACTGAAAAGGGCAAAGGGTGACGGCGTCTGGGTGAAGGGGGATAACCCTGCGTCGACAGGAAATTGTCCGTCTGTTTGAGAAAAACTGGGATGACCACGAATTCTGGGAGGAGATAAGACACATATTAGCGAAATAAAGGTAAGATAAGACACATAGTAGCGAAATATTGATAACTGATAAGGTAAGACATATACTAACGAAATACGGATAAGATCAGAATAAATATCTGCCAAGTTCTTACAATTGACGACATGGCATATTCTTTTAAATTGGAAAAAGAAACGATCTCGGCGGCGGAAGATTTTGATGTTTGCATTGATCTGTTTGACCGATAAGCTAGTAAATTTCTGAAAAAAAATCAGAAACGTTAATCAATTAATTATTTTCGTAGAATATTTGTATTTTTAAATTGCATACGAATTAACTAATCAAATAGCAGCGATAAGATGACGACACGACCATATTCTTCGTAAGACCCACCCCCACTTATTTTTGACGGCGATGGTTTTATTTTCTGGAAATTATAATTTATAAAAATGTGAAATGGAAACTTTCAACTTTTTTATCATTAATTTCATTTCCTCTTATTTAATTATATAATTGTTTGTACTACTAACTCAAATTAAGCAATTTCACTCACTCACTCTCTCAAGGATTTCAGGATGAATCTAGTTACTAACATTTAACTAATTTTTAACGGCAATTAACAAAATGAATGAAACTAAATTGGGAGAAGGAAAAGAGATTAATAACAAGTTGAAGGTTAGGGAAGTAGTAAAGACTGAGACATAAAACACACTCTGCCAAGTTCAAAAATATGAACAAAGTGTTTTCATGAATTTGTCATGCAATGTTTTTCATGAAAAAGTGGAACATTTATTTTCAGTCTATTTTAATTGGCGTGATAAAATAATATCGTACGTAATATTTTTCATAATATTTATTTATTTTTACACTATTTTAATTCCGTAATCAAATAATTATTAGGTTGGAGTCTAGGAAAGGGGACCCCCGATTTTTTGTTTTTCTGTGAAATTTTTTTTGCACTGGCCAAAAAATTTTTATTGCATATTTGCATCGATCATGATGTGTAGATTCCAAAAAACATGTTTTCAAAATTTCGAAATTTTGGGAAAAAATTTCTAAGTTTTTAACATTGGGTCCCCCTATACCAAAAAACGACTAAGTTTTTTTGTGTAACATGTTGGGACAATGTGATAAAACAACGGGGCAACGTGAGATCAACCTGGGGGAATGTCAGATATGACTACGTCTGTGAAGTTAGAACCGGTTATGAGCAAAATTGAGACTCGGAACAATACAGTATGCACACACATTATTAGCACCCCTCAAAATCGGCTAATATCTGCTGCCGTAAATTAAGTAATAAAGGTCGCCATGCCTCCAGTGACCTAAAAATGACCTAAATCTGTCGCCATGCCTCCAATGACCTTAAAATGACCTAAATCTGTCGCCATGCCTCCAGTCACCTTAAAATGACCTAAATCTGTCGCCATGCCTCCAGTGACCTTAAAATGACCTATATCTGTCGCCATGCCTCCAATGACCTTAAAATTGCCTAAATCTGTCAACATGCCTCCAGTGACCTTAAAATCACCTATATCTGTCGCCATGCCTCCAATGACCTTAAAATGACCTAAATCTGTCGCCATGCCTCCAATGACCTTAAAATTGCCTAAATCTGTCAACATGGCTCCACTTGTCAATTTCTAGTCAATTTATGTCATGATTGGATTTTGACTTCCCCAGCGCGGCATTTCACTTACGGCATTCCTTGAAATCGAAAATAATGCACAATTTCATACTCCATAAGACTTCGCCGACCCGCATCCTGACAAAAAATTTCCCGCCCCGCACTTGTCAATTTCTAGTCAATTTATGTCATGATTGGATTTTGATTTCCCCAGCGCGGCATTTCACTTACGGCATTCTTTGAAATTTAAAATAATGCACAATTACATGCTCCATAAGGCCCCGCCGACCCGCATCCTGACAAAAAATTTCCCGCCCCGCACTTGTCAATTTCTAGTCAATTCATGTCAAAATTGGATTTTGACTTCCCCAGCGCGGCATTTCACTTACGGCATTCCTTGGAATCGAAAATAATGCACAATTTCATACTCCATAAGACTTCGCCGACCCGCATCCTGACAAAAAATTTCCCGCCCCGCACTTGTCAATTTCTAGTCAATTTATGTCATGATTGGATTTTGACTTCCCCAGCGCGGCATTTCACTTACGGCATTCCTTGAAATCGAAAATAATGCACAATTACATGCTCCATAAGGCCCCGCCGACCCGCATCCTGACAAAAAATTTCCCGCCCCGCACTTGTCAATTTCTAGTCAATTCATGTCAAAATTGGATTTTGACTTCCCCAGCGCGGCATTTCACTTACGGCATTCCTTGGAATCGAAAATAATGCACAATTACATACTCCATAAGACTTCGCCGACCCGCATCCTGACAAAAAATTTCCCGCCCCGCACTTGTCAATTTCTAGTCAATTTATGTCATGATTGGATTTTGACTTCCCCAGCGCGGCATTTCACTTACGGCATTCTTTGAAATTTAAAATAATGCACAATTACATGCTCCATAAGGCCCCGCCGACCCGCATCCTGACAAGAAATTTCCCGCCCCGCACTTGTCAATTTCTAGTCAATTTATGTCATGATTGGATTTTGATTTCCCCAGCGCGGCATTTCACTTACGGCATTCTTTGAAATTTAAAATAATGCACAATTACATGCCCCATAAGGCCCCGCCGACCCGCATCCTGACAAAAAATTTCCCGCCCCGCACTTGTCAATTTCTAGTCAATTCATGTCAAAATTGGATTTTGACTTCCCCAGCGCGGCATTTCACTTACGGCATTCCTTGGAATCGAAAATAATGCACAATTTCATACTCCATAAGACTTCGCCGACCCGCATCCTGACAAAAAATTTCCCGCCCCGCACTTGTCAATTTCTAGTCAATTTATGTCATGATTGGATTTTGACTTCCCCAGCGCGGCATTTGACTTACGGCATTCTTTGAAATTTAAAATAATGCACAATTACATGCCCCATAAGGCCCCGCCGACCCGCATCCTGACAAAAAATTTCCCGCCCCGCACTTGTCAATTTCTAGTCAATTCATGTCAAAATTGGATTTTGACTTCCCCAGCGCGGCATTTCACTTACGGCATTCCTTGGAATCGAAAATAATGCACAATTTCATACTCCATAAGACTTCGCCGACCCGCATCCTGACAAAAAATTTCCCGCCCCGCACTTGTCAATTTCTAGTCAATTTATGTCATGATTGGATTTTGACTTCCCCAGCGCGGCATTTCACTTACGGCATTCCTTGAAATCGAAAATAATGCATAATTTCATACTCCATAAGACTTCGCCGACCCGCATCCTGACAAAAAATTTCCCGCCCCGCACTTGTCAATTTCTAGTCAATTTATGTCATGATTGGATTTTGATTTCCCCAGCGCGGCATTTCACTTACGGCATTCTTTGAAATTTAAAATAATGCACAATTACATGCTCCATAAGGCCCCGCCGACCCGCATCCTGACAAAAAATTTCCCGCCCCGCACTTGTCAATTTCTAGTCAATTCATGTCAAAATTGGATTTTGACTTCCCCAGCGCGGCATTTCACTTACGGCATTCCTTGGAATCGAAAATAATGCACAATTTCATACTCCATAAGACTTCGCCGACCCGCATCCTGACAAAAAATTTCCCGCCCCGCACTTGTCAATTTCTAGTCAATTTATGTCATGATTGGATTTTGACTTCCCCAGCGCGGCATTTCACTTACGGCATTCCTTGAAATCGAAAATAATGCACAATTTCATACTCCATAAGACTTCGCCGACCCGCATCCTGACAAAAAATTTCCCGCCCCGCACTTGTCAATTTCTAGTCAATTTATGTCATGATTGGATTTTGACTTCCCCAGCGCGGCATTTCACTTACGGCATTCCTTGAAATCGAAAATAATGCACAATTTCATACTCCATAAGACTTCGCCGACCCGCATCCTGACAAAAAATTTCCCGCCCCGCACTTGTCAATTTCTAGTCAATTTATGTCATGATTGGATTTTGACTTCCCCAGCGCGGCATTTGACTTACGGCATTCTTTGAAATTTAAAATAATGCACAATTACATGCTCCATAAGGCCCCGCCGACCCGCATCCTGACAAAAAATTTCCCGCCCCGCACTTGTCAATTTCTAGTCAATTCATGTCAAAATTGGATTTTGACTTCCCCAGCGCGGCATTTCACTTACGGCATTCCTTGGAATCGAAAATAATGCACAATTTCATACTCCATAAGACTTCGCCGACCCGCATCCTGACAAAAAATTTCCCGCCCCGCACTTGTCAATTTCTAGTCAATTTATGTCATGATTGGATTTTGACTTCCCCAGCGCGGCATTTCACTTACGGCATTCTTTGAAATTTAAAATAATGCACAATTACATGCTCCATAAGGCCCCGCCGACCCGCATCCTGACAAAAAATTTCCCGCCCCGCACTTGTCAATTTCTAGTCAATTTATGTCATGATTGGATTTTGACTTCCCCAGCGCGGCATTTCACTTACGGCATTCCTTGAAATCGAAAATAATGCACAATTTCATACTCCATAAGACTTCGCCGACCCGCATCCTGACAAAAAATTTCCCGCCCCGCACTTGTCAATTTCTAGTCAATTTATGTCATGATTGGATTTTGACTTCCCCAGCGCGGCATTTGACTTACGGCATTCTTTGAAATTTAAAATAATGCACAATTACATGCTCCATAAGGCCCCGCCGACCCGCATCCTGACAAAAAATTTCCCGCCCCGCACTTGTCAATTTCTAGTCAATTCATGTCAAAATTGGATTTTGACTTCCCCAGCGCGGCATTTCACTTACGGCATTCCTTGGAATCGAAAATAATGCACAATTTCATATTCCATAAGACTTCGCCGACCCGCATCCTGACAAAAAATTTCCCGCCCCGCACTTGTCAATTTCTAGTCAATTTATGTCATGATTGGATTTTGACTTCCCCAGCGCGGCATTTCACTTACGGCATTCTTTGAAATTTAAAATAATGCACAATTACATGCTCCATAAGGCCCCGCCGACCCGCATCCTGACAAAAAATTTCCCGCCCCGCACTTGTCAATTTCTAGTCAATTCATGTCAAAATTGGATTTTGACTTCCCGAGCGCGGCATTTCACTTACGGCATTCCTTGAAATCGAAAATAATGCACAATTTCATACTCCATAAGACTTCGCCGACCCGCATCCTGACAAAAAATTTCCCGCCCCGCACTTGTATATTTACAATGACAATTTATACTCAGATTATAAATATTTATTTGAACTGAAGTTACACAAGATTTGACTAAGAATTTGATATCGGCATCGGTTTTAACTCGCTCCGATTTTGATGGAACTATTATAATTATCAGTGCCTGGATAAATAATAGAACAGGATTTTTCATAATGCACAGTGTGAGCGAAGATATGATGGAATACGTAATGCATTTTTTCCACAACGAGAAAAATTGCAAGAGAAAGGCAAACGCTCGGTTGCGGATTTCACCATAGTTTCGTTTAATATGTAAGTTGATAATAGATGTGCATTTATTGAATTTAAATAATATTTATCGAGTAAGATCATGTTTAGTAAAACAGGCAGCAAAACATTTCAAATAGGCACGAGCTGAGCGTTGGCTCATACTCTCCTTCATAATAAACCGGTTGAGTCATACCCTCTGCTCCGAATTCTCGTCCCCACCTTTTAAGCTCATCAACGGTTTTCTCATCGTTCGTGGCCCCATTGGTTGATCCATCAGTCCGAATTAATCCTTCAAACATTTCCTAGTAGAAATTCAAAATTAATTAGTAATAGCGACACGGGCCAAGTATTTCAAGCATGGCGAATAAGACATACCTGGGTTATCAATGTTGTTGGCTTGCAGCCCACCTTCATAAGTTGGACAATATCGTTCACACCGTCGGAGGAAAAGTTACTAGTGTACTGAAGTGCTTGTAGTTTTGAAATGGCAACAGCAAGGTCGTGGGCAGAGAAACTAATGCGAAATAAATCGGTAATGTGAAATTAATTTGGTGAGAAGTGAAGAAACTATACATATATGTAATACAACATATGAAATATACATATATATAATACCCCTCAGTCATTGAAGATATTTTGCCAAGATCGAATGATTCCGTTAAAAGATTTGTTTTCTTTAAATAGTGTGCTAGTATTCGCTCCCTTGCAAAGGAATCGGGTAATCCAATATAAATTCTTTTCGAAAACCTTCGCCTGAATGCATAATCCAAATGCTGCGGAAAATTTGTCAATCCTGGGAAAATTTAGTTAACTTAAGCAACTTGAAACTATGTAATGGTCTGTGCCACCAAAGACTAACCCACGACCACAATTCCAGAATAATTATTTAGGCCATCCATGCACCTGTAATTAATTGCATAATAGCAAGATGCATAAATGCGTACTACAAGGATGCGTAATACAAAAAATGAAAATACTTACGAAAGAAATCCCGTCTTGAGCCGTCGAATGTGTTCAGGATCGTCCTCTTTTCGCTGACATAATAGAGAGTCGATCTCGTCAATAATTATTATCGACGGGCGCTTCTCATGAGCCAACTCGAAAATCCGACTGAGGTACTTGTCTGAGTCACCTGCAAAATATTGACAGGATAAATTTTAAGCTGGCATAAACAGTAAAAATTAACGACACAGTTAGCATACCTATCCACTTATGCAAGATGTCTTTTGGCTCTACCTTCCAGATGCTTATCGTTGGGAAGGTTTTGCACTTTTCCTCTTTTATATAGTTAAGCTCCCCCACAAGACAGCTTAAGATATGGGTTTTTCCAACCCCAGAAGGTCCAAAAAGCAGCACGCCTTGAAGGTCACTGCCAAATTCTTTCTCCGCCACCAATGGTAGGAAAATGGTTTTCTTCATACTCACGATAGCGTGGTCCAAACCAATCACGTCCGACAGCCTCCCACTTCCTGTTTTCACGAGACACTGTAAAATAATGTCATCAGTTATGGCAACTGCTTTTTCCTTTAATTTAACTGCTTCCTTATTAGTCGATTTTCCCTTTGTGGCATTTTCGTTGTTTTCAGTAAGATCTTGCATAGAAATGGTTTGTGTTCCGCTGTTGGCTGAGGGATTTACATATGAGAAATGGATTTCTGAATCCATACCCATTAGAGAAACTAACGGATTTGTTACTGGATTGAACGTCTCAGCCAAGCCACAGCTAACAGGCATAGTCAGTCTGACCGCTGTAGGTAAGTTGTTTGTGGTTGGCAGAACCTCAGGCTGTTTATGGTCCCCCGTTGCTGTCGAAGGTTTGTCGTTTTCCTCAGTGTGGCAAATACCTAACAACGAAAAAAAATAATAAGTTTTAATTTAGCCCACCAAAAAGTGGCATAATTCGACATTTTCTGAGCCGATTTTGATAAAGTGTTGCACCGATCATTTTTACGGGATTTCGAAACTATGCACAAGTCGAGTTCGAGAATTTTTTTATCTTTACCCAGGTGATATGCACCAAAATGTGCAAAACTTTTCCCTTCAAGACATTGCTTTCCATGCCTCGTAGGTAGTGTAACTCAGTACTGCAAACATTGTAGGAAAAGACATTCTGAACATTTTAAGTGCAAAATTACCTAAATCGGTTAAGAAATGGAGGAGTTATATAGATTGGAAAATCCAAAAAAAATATTCAGGATGGACAAATAATAGCGGTGTTGCGGTGCATATATTATTAATAACAACCAATTATTAGCTTTAAATACACAAGGTCCCAAAAAATTGGAAATCTTAGTGAGGCCGTGCAATATTAACTAATAAATTCAATTAGATTGAAGCATTTGTTTTTTATCGCTCTGGGTATCATTTTTGCTGGAACCATTCTGAATTTTGCTTTTCATACGCATGGATTCTTAATTTTTTAAAAAACGAGAAGTAATTTCAAGTTTCACACTAGAAGTTTGAAAATTAAATTAACTGAGATCAAATATGAAGGTTTAATAATTGTGAAGTACATACATATTTGTTTTAAAAAGTTACAAATCTAAAATTTTGAGATACTAATTTGGATATTCCGTATTTTTATTCTGATAAAATCATCAGACCGATTGAGGGGGACCAGTGTATTCTACTTAAGTGATTAATTCTTCCAGTAAAAAAGTGGTATGGAGAGCGGTGATACAACAATTCTACAGTGTAATTTAATTTATTAGTTGTTCTTGCACGGTCTCGCTAAGATTTCCAATTTTTTGGACCTTGTTTATTATCAGAGTTGCCCTTAATTCCGCTTATGTTTTCTTCCTCGGTAATTTTCCTTTCCTGGTCAAGTTTCCCGTCATTGCAGCTTTCCTCCTCCTCGTCGCGTACACCCGTCTCTAATTCTGAGATAAGCACTTGTGGTTCCTCGTCGTCGTCGCTTTCAAATTGTGAAGATTTTCCGTCGTCGTCACTCTCCTCCTCTTCCATGGACTCCACATTGTCAGGGTGTACTCCAGCGATACACTTTTCTACAATTATTACACAAAAATTATAAAACAACTGCATAATACTTGAGAATGCGTGCAAAAATAAAGGGACGTGCATAAAATAAGTAACGATTTGGATGGACAGGGAGAGTATTTGGCCGAAGTTGCAATTAAACTTGCGCCACATGTTGAAACCAGGGCGCAACTGGTAACGCACGGGAAGGGAGGATTTTTAAAAAATCCCAGGTCTGCGTCATATATTTTATGACCGTTCCTTAACGTAGAAACTGTACCTTTTTCCAGTTCATGCAAGCAGACTATTGCTAAGTCCTCATTGACACCGATTAAATCTGTCAAGACTTGAAGTTGAAAAGTTGAGTCACGATCTAATATAACAAAACGCTTTTTAAGATATTTGTAATTACTGTAAAGAGTATTGGATCATATTTACATGCAGAAAATGTACATTATGCAAAATTTGAGGGAATGTACTTATGAATTTCTGACTACCCAAGTCGAGCAAATTGATCTAATCATTTGTGTATATTACCAATGGGCTTAGGAACTAAAGGCGAATACATGGTTGCATATCAGATTGGTAAAAAATTATAAATGAAAATTAACCTTTTGAAAATCTTTTGAGGCACTTGTTGGCTTCGGTGAGGACCTCCAAAGCTTGCCGATACTGCCTCGTCCTGTGGTAATAAATTCCCATTTGAGATAAACTTTGACTTTTCTCAAAGTCGTCCATTTTTCAGTGAATTAATTAATTTATTTTCTAAGGATGCTTTGTGGGCAAAAGTGAATCTTAAAACTAAGAAGAAACCAAGATCAGATTGAGAAACTGGGACTGTGGATGAGAGTGAGAAATTTGATCTACTCTAACCCTGATCTTTAGGATTGTTTACTCAAGATTAATGGTAATTGCATCCGTTCAGTATTTTGTCATACTCTTGTCTCCGTAGTAAGTCATGTAGTTGCAGCTCTGACTAACAAAGTGAATCACTTAATTTTGCCAAATTTTGAAATTGATTAAATTAAAAAATGATGTACGAGGAGGTGTCGGAATCGGAAACAGAGGGAGAAAGTGCTTCTGAAACCGAAAGTGTGACTCATTCCGAACAACTTGTTGACAATTCAGAAAAAGTGACGGACCAGACGCAGGAGTTACTAAATGAATCTGAAGAGGAACCTGCCAAGGAATCACGAGAAGAAATTCATGAAAGACAGGCAGAAGAAATTCCAGAGCAAATACGGTTAGTTGTTCGTGATTTCAATTCGTAGTTTGTGTGCAAAATTTTGGCTTCATTCATATATATGCATGCATGGCATCATTTTGTGTGTGGCGAGAGAGAGAGAGAAAGATCATCGGGTAAACTTTACTGATAAATCGAGCAGGTTTGACTTTTTCCCCTCGTCCAATGTACACCACATATACAAAACCATAGATCTATACATACAAAGATGCCGTCCAGTTTAGTGATCCTTATTTACTTGTCCATGATACGGAACTCACTTTTACGCATTTCAGAACTTATTCGTTGAGTTCCAACCCATTGGTAAAAACCCTTCTCTTTCGACTTTTATGCATAAGTCTCAAGCTGCCTCTGACTTTATTATTCAACCATGTTTGCATGTACATACGTCTGCTCCCATTTCTCTAAACACGATTTCAGAAAGCTTGCTGTAATTTAATTTTAGTATCCAAATTGGATTTGAAAAATTGCTTATAATTAAGGAAAAATTTATTACACAGGAATGAGCAGAGGAATGAATATCTTCCACAATGTCCTGAATTTGACTATGATAAGGATGTGAAGAGGATCAGAAAGGAGGAGAGAGAAAATATGGCAAAAGAACAAGAAATGCGAAAAAAGCAGGGAGGAACTAATTCAACCCTGCTCCCATTTTCGAGTGACGAAATGGGACTGCTTGTAAGTCGATTTTAAGCTGTTTGATGAATAATACGTTAGTATTACATTCGCTTAACCGATGGAAATTAATCTTGCAGCGCTGTGGTCCACCAGGCGGCTGGACAGTGTCTAACCCGCCCTTACAACCCTCAAAGCCATTAAAACAACCATTTGCCGAATACAATGCGAATTATGCTCCGTATTCGAAGCCAAACAAATCAAGGCTAAAGGCCACTAATCCGAAATCGGATGATAATTCTTCCAGCGGACCTTCTCTGCACCATCGAACACCAGTGCTTAAACCCAAAATTACGCATAACCTTCTCCACGAATTAGGGAAGGTTCTTCACGAGAAGTTGATCGCCTGTAATACAGGATGAAGTAAACATAGCTATGCAAGATGTTTGTACTTTGTTTGGTATGGAAAGAATGACATCCGAGGAAATTAATAATACAGTGGGAAGGATTAGCTCCATGGCTCTCGATGGTTGCGTTGAGCCAGATGACGGAAATTCCCCCAATTTTGAAGAGGAGGATGAGGTCGCCACCAAGCTTCTACGTGAAAAGTCGCCCTACTACCATTTATTTCGAAAAATACGTAAGAACTTGGTACAAGATGTGGAAGTCGACGCCGCAAGCAATCCATATTACTCGCCATCCGTGCTCAACATTTATGAAAATACATACGTTCCATTTATTGGAATTTTTGCACGGGGAGTGGTTCAGAAAACAAAGTACCCAAACTTTGTGCGCGTTACAAATGGTGGCACCGAATCCGAGTTCAGATTAATCAAGAACAATCTAATAGCAAATCCAGAGAACGTGGCGGATTTTATTCGTAATAGATTTACTATTACGAATGGGAAAAATAAGAGATTCGTCCTCGAAAACCTACCAAAATCTAAAACAAGAAAAGAGCCCCCAACTTCATCAGCAAATCTTCAAAATGATGTTACCTGTTATGCAGAAGAGAGGAATGCTGAATTTTCACAACAAGAGGTTGAAGAATGTGCTGAGACTTGGAATAAGAGGGGGAAGCGTGGGCGGACTAACAAATATATGCATAACAGACGAGATATTCGCCTCAAAGATCTTCAAAGGGGGAAGAGCGACGCAGAGGGAAGAACATTGCAACCTACCCAAACAATTTCACCGATTGCTGGAAGTGAGGTAACACAATTTCCAGACACTACAGTTTTCTTCCGGACGGAAAGCTTTCCTCCAATTCCGAAAAAAGAATTCCACCACTTTTTTCACTCTGACAGGTACGTATCAATTTCATTACTTTTCGGACCTATATTTACAATACAAACAAGTAAAATTTAACAAGCGGTCATAAGTTATACAATTTTGGATTCATTTTATTCAACTGTTAGATACAGTATGTAATTTATTTAATGCTACGATTTTTAATTTAAAATTCAAATTCAATTTTCCCAACAACCTTTATTTTATTGTCCGCGAGTCATTTTAAAACAATTCTTATATTTATATAATACACGCCAAATGGGAAGATGAATGCTAGACCACAGTTCGCTTTTGTTCCAAATTGACCAAGATTCGTTTTTAACAAATCGAGATAAACCTCCTTGGCCATGCTGGCATCGACATACATAAGTGCTACTACCCTGCAGAATTTTGAAAGCTTTACACAAGACGCTATTGGGGGACATAGACATAAAATATTTTATTTAAGCAGTTTTATCATAATTCCTTTGAAAATTGGTCACAATGCCGTCTAATATATTGTCACTAAATGGCATTGAAATACCTACCTACCTTTCTTATGAAAATTGAGTTTTAATTTGAAATTAAAAATCGTAGCATTAAATAAGTTACATACCGTAAAATTTATTTAATTGTTGTGCCATCCTCTCATTTACTCATTACTCAATCGCACCTCGCTCTAATGTAATTAGGAAGCTGTCCGACACCATAATAAATGGACGTCTCCACAAACTGATGGACGACGCCGAAGGAGAACAGAAGAAAATATTTGTGAGTCATTCCGGCACGATGTATCACCATCCGGAACTATTCTTTGGTGGCCGAAGCGTGGAGGCAGCTGGATGGCAGTCCACAATGGCCACGTTAGAGGATTTAAGTTCAGTGCATACCCACATTATGCACCCACTACGTCATGGGGACCACTGGCTGCTGACCACGGTCGAAATAAAGACCAGGACACTTCAACTGTACGATCCCCTGGATCACGACAACAATTATCTCAAGAATATAACAGATAATTTAACCCACTTTTTTGATGAAGTTTTCACCCAGAAAAGGGTTGGCGAACCCCAAACAAAAAAACATTGGACGGTGGAGTTCCCAGGCTGTCCTAAACAGAGGGATTCTTCATCTTGTGGAATTTACATAATAAAATATGCCCTCCAATACTATCAAGCTTTCCCACATATCAAGCACATTGAAATCAACCAAAATGAAACAGAGGATCAACTCAGAATGGATATTGCACAGGAAATGATCAATTCTGAGGAAGGAAAACCGTTTTTGGCAAAATTTGGAGAAGATGCAGAATTATTCATAAAAAATCTAAAGTTGCAAGACCCCAACATAATAAAATCTTTGCAGAGCAAGTAAGTAAATTATTTTGCTGTGACGAAAATATAATATTACCTACTAGTCATCCAGTATTATTAGCCGCAAAGGTCCGACAATTTTCCTGAGAAGTTTTTTGGCCATATATTACTCAAATAAGTTTAGTGATTGGCAGCAATAGCGAAACTGTTGCAAAATAAGTAAAACGACGACGATGGTGTACAAATTTTTATTCCTAAAGTTTATTTTACCTGCATGGTAACCTTTCAGAATTTTTTGCGACTAATAATATTGGATAAACAGTTAATTTTAAAACTTATTTAGCACGATTAATTGACACCGTTTCTATGGGGTGGTGCCCCATACGGTTGCGACAAATGGATTATTTTTTAGAAAATTTTCATTTTTTAAATCGTTGGGGCAAAAGTCCTTTGGTTTGCCCCAACGACTTTAACCTTGAATAACTTTTGAATAGGCAGACAAAGAGACTAAATTCCTGAGGATGAAATCATCCTAATTTTTAGCTTGATTTTTTAAGCTGAAAATCTCGAGTGTACTACTTCGAAAATTAAAATGTTTATTTTGAAGAATATCTCCAAAATATAAGTTTTTCAGGAATTTCGAAGCCAATTCTTATCTCACAAAATTTTATAATATACCAAACTGATCGTATTATCTAGACCGATCGATTGACACCCCACTGGAGGGTGTGAGATCACTTGGTCCGGATTTGACCTAGGGGGTCATCTCAATCCTCCAACTTAGCAACGGTCCACTCACACCATTTTGTCAGTACATAATAATTCAAATTTAATTTCTTCAAAAATGAAAATTTGTGTTGGAAACAATTCATTTGTCGCAACATGTATAGAATGATAAAGTGTCAAATAATATTGCTTATTTAGTAACCTGAAAAACACGAAGAAACCGAGCATGCAAAGCGAGAATGCCCAACCAACCAACAGAAGGTATACCAGTATAAAAGACAATTACATTTTCATGATACAATATTTTATTATAAAATTACAATAATTAAATTACAAGCAAATCCATCAAACTAATTTTTTGTAGTCCCCAACTGCTGAATTTGTCCGGCGATGAAATTACGACATCCAATTTGGAGAGAAAATTTAGAAAAATAGTTGAGGATGTGTTAACTGACCAACATGGAAATTTGGGTAACATTACATATAGACATTTAGAATTTACAAATAATCAAGTATCAAGAATTCGTATAATAAATTTCGGAAATACTTTTAGAAAAGCAGAAGACAAGGGTCAAAACTCTAGGGAAGGACCACGTAGCTAAGGAGAAGGATAAATACAAGCGATATAAGTACACATACTTTATAATTTAATCCATAAACGGGAAAAAAATTGAAATCACTTTTTCTTTAACTACTCAGGTTAATTGAAGCTCTTAGTGAAGAGTCAATCATGAAAGCTTATCACGAGATTAAGTTAGACGTGCTGCAAATTTATGTCCCCAAACCGGAAACATTTTCAGGGGAGTATAAATGCCCTCGTCAAAAGGTGTTATGGTTATACTTATATATTCTAAAACAATGTTTAAACTAATTTTCGTGATTGAAAGATCTGGGTCGAACGGAAGCCAAACTTTTGTGCAAATTTACAACAAATGGTCGTCTCGTATCCCTTTTCTGCAAAATCTTTCCAAATCATTTCCACCCAACTTTCTTCTGATCTGAGGAAAGCAGAGAACCTGGAAACCCTTGCATTCAATGTCAGTATAACAGGTTACATGCACCAAGTTATTCCGCACTTAAAAATATTATTGATTTTGCAGGATATTCTACA